AGTTTTACACCAAATGTGTAGCAGCTCCCTGAGGAGGAGAGGCAGACGGAGGGATGGAGCGAGGAGACGCCCCACTGTCCTCTGCACTTCTACGGCCCTTTAGTTTGTAATCGGATTTTTAAAAATTAAAGAAAAACGATGTCTTTCTAGCAACACAGAAACACTATAAATGCTTTACTCTTAGAGTCTCCTTTGAAAAAAAGTGTTTTAATCCTCACCCAAGGCTATGTTCACTGATTTTAGAGGAGGGGGAGGGGAGGGAGAGAAGGAGGGAGAGAAACATCTACGTGAGAGAGAAACATCAGTTGGTAGCCTCTGGTACACACCCCAACCGGGGAATGAACCCACCACCTAGGAACGTGCCCTGACCTGGGGGTGGAACCTGTAATCTTTTGGTGAACGGGGACAACGCTCCAACCAACCGAGTCACCCGGCCAGGGCAAAGTCTGCTTTTTAAAAACACAATCCAGTTTGAGAAACAGAATACTTTTCCTTAAGACAGAAGTTTGAGCTCTGGCAGGAGTGGCTCAGTGGCTTGAGAGCCGGCCTGGGAACCAAAGCGTCACTGGTTCGAGTCCCAGTCAGGTCACGTGCCTGGGTTGCAGGCCAGGTTCCCAGCTGGGGGCCTATGAGAAGCAACCAGTCCATGTGTCTCTCACACATCGATGTTTTTCCCTCCCTCTCTTTCTCCCTCCCATCTCTCTAAAAATAAAGTATTTTTTACAAGTTTGGGGACAAAAGTAAAAAAGTTCGGACAAAATAAAAAAAAAAATCACAGAACTGCCTTCTAAATAAACCTAAAACCTAAACCATTTCGGTGCGTGGAGCTAGGGAGTTTGCATGGGGATTCCCAGCAACATAACCATTTATAGAAGCAAAGAAAGAAGACCCATCTGCTTCATCAGTGTTACACTCAGGGCCCTTAGGATCAGCTTCCCGCAAACAGAACACGAGTGCTCCACTGCCCCCATGGCAGAGCTGCCACGGCTCACAGGCACCCAGCTGTACAGGGGGAATTCCCATTCACTTCGCCACTGCCTTTCAGTCCCTGACCCCCTGGAGGGGCAAGCTCACTTACCACTTCTCTCTCCGCCTTTCCTTTCCCCATGTCCTCTCCACGGACCGTGCGCTGGGGATCACATTGTCCAGGTTCCCTGTCTGCGGAGGGCCTGCAGCTCGGCCGGCGAGCGGCTCCCGCCGTGCCTGTAAATGTCCCTTTCAGATTAACCGGCCCTGGCCAGTTTAAAAATATCCCGGGTGCACTTAACCTTCAAGGCACCAAAGAGCAGCAACAATCCAGGTCAAGTGGGGGAGGATCTTGCTTGCAGCACAGTGTTTTCCACCTTCCGCTCCCGTGGCTTGCTTTATTTCAAAACTCTTAGGAGGCTAAGCCTCAAGGTGCTAAAATCTGAGTTGGGAGCAGTACGAAGTCACGTAGGTCCTCCCAGGACACGCCGAAAACGAACGGCAGGTTCCTCGTCGTTTGAGAAATGGCTCCTGGAACAAGGCCCCGGTGTGTGAATGGGCCCAGGTGATCCCTATCAAAAGATCACCTGGCTTCTCACCCCGGGGAAGATTTTGGTCAAAGCTTCTCCATGCACATACCAGTCAAGGGAATGTTTCCCGTTCCTGAGCTCTTGGGGAAAAACAAAACCCCAAGAGTGCCATTCCCACTCGCTCTTACTAGGGCTGGGAGCAGAGACCCAGAGTCACAGAGTGTTCTGCCACGTGGGGACGGCTGGCGGCATGTGGGACAAAGGTCACCTCCAGGTCCAAACCGGAGCGGGGCGGGCGGCAGGAAAGCAGAGGCCACACAAAAGCGCACTGTGCTCCACAACACTGGGATGCAAGTGGAAAAAACAGCAAGAGGGCTGAGCTTATGCAAAAACGGTTCACAGGGCGGCCGCGCCAGGTGCAGCCCTCACCCTGCTGGGGGAGCTGTTTCACCTGCGGGCTTGTTTTCCGAGAAGGAAAAGGCATCCGGTAGTGGACTTTTTGGGATCTTCTCCACTGGACTGTCAGTAGGCAGCAAGCTTCTTGCCTGCCTCCAGTGTCTTCTCGAAACCTCGGTGTCGTCAGCTGCCACCTGGGATGGTGCCACATCCACTTTACAGTTGAGGATGAAACGATACAGATCGGGGGCTTAGCACAGCGCCTCGAGGTTCTGATAGTCAGCAGGCAGCCCCCGGGAGTGCGGTTAGATCACGTATCAAAGCCTCCCCCACCCCAACACACACTCAGAGGAAGAACTCTGGTGGCTCAGCTCTTCTTCGAGGCTAAGGCAGAGGTTTTATTTATTTATTTTTTAATATTAGGGAAGAGGGAGAGAGAAACATCTATTTGTTATTCTACTTATTGAAGCATTCATTGGTTGATTCCTGTCTGTGCCCTGACCGGGGATCGAACCCACAAACTTGGCATATTGGGATGACGCTCTAACCAAATGACCTACCTGGCCAGGGCAAGGAATAGGTTTCTTAAAAGCCAAATGAAAGGCTTGAAACCAAAGTCATTCACAAACTTCTCCCACCAAACCTAAGAACACTAATAGAAAAATATATTTCTTCAAATGCATATTCAGAAAGTCATACTTAAGTTGTTGAACGCCCCTCCCCCAAAAACCCGTCGACCCCACGGTCTAGGGAAATGGGGGAACTGGAAAGAAGCTGCCAGTCCCGCTGCAAACCGGACGCTTTATAAACTTGGCACCTCCTCCTTCTGGGGGCCTTAATTACATCAGAATTTCTGGGAGTGGGCCGGCATTAATATCTTTCAGTTTCCTGCGGTGAGTCTGCGGTGAGGCTTGAGGAGCACTGCTTGCCTGTCTCAAACCTCTGGATGCCGCCCCCCCCCCCCCCCGCCGTGTCTGTCGCCCCAATTATGAGGACACAGGAAATACACAGCCGAGGAGCCAAGAGTGCAGAGCCCTGACCTCCCGGCCGCCCCTACTCACCACATCTGCACTTCCAAACATGCCTCTAAAATGTAACAACTGGCTCCAACCGAGACAGCGAGCACGTAACTTTACCCTGAACTCCTGTTCAGGGTAAAGTATGAAGCCGTCTCCAGCAGGCGTCCGTTCCAGTCTGTTCTCAACCCGAGTCACCGCCAGGCAACCCCCCAGGACCCTCCGGCGTGGCCCGGCGCCCACACCTCGCACATCGCCAGGGCCTGACAAAGACCGCAAGCCACTGCCACGCACAGGCACACCAATGAGGTTGCCTCTCCGGTCCAAAACCCCTTCTAAGGCTTTTTACACCGGGAGCCAACCGAAGCAGGAAAGTGAGTTTTAAAAGGGGGAAAATATATCTTATCAAATGATGGAAGCAAATTAATGACATGCTGAGGTCTATAAAAACACTTCCCATCCCCCCTACCTCGCCCTGCTGGACTCCGATCACCGATAGTGGCTTCCACACGATTATTTGATATCTCGGGGTTCCCAGCACATTTTGCATAACTGACTTCCTTGTTGCCAGAAGCCCTCAGCAGATCCCCTTCTCCTTGCCTGAGATGGGGCGGCTGGGGGCGGGGGACAGGAACCCTTGTTGGCCAGGTTCTCAGCTGCTCCCGCAGCAGCGACCAGCACAGCTGCACACACAGCGCCAGGACGCAGCAGCCGGGCTCTGTCATTGCTGGCGCCTGAGCGGGAGCCCCTGGAACAGGGGTCTGACTGTCTGTCCGTCTGTCTGCAAACTGCACCTGCACTGCCTGTCCTCCTATGGCTCCCGAAATAAAAGTGGTTTTGATGCCTGTGAAGAGTTTGAAAAAAAATGAAAGATTTCACGACACGTGCAGATCACATGACCTCCCAACTTCAGTGCCCATAAACTGTTACTGGAACACAGCTACACCCATTCACTTACACTGGGCACGTGGCTGCTGTCTCTGTAGCGGAGTTGAGGAGCTCTGAGAGAGGGACAACTGCAAAGCTTAAACACAAACTGCCTGACCCCTTACAGAAAAAGTATGCTGACCCTTGGCCCAAACGGCAAGGACTGCCTTTCACTGGGGTATATCCTGCGCTCTTTTCTAACAAATCCAAAACCCTGCAAAAACCAACGACACAGCCAAAAGTTCATCACGAATCTTGTTCCCAAAACACCAGTGATTAAATTTGCATTATTTGGGGGGGGGGCAAGGGAGTCATAGACCATTTAAGACGCTGCTCTTTGTTCTGTTTCAAGCGTCACTACAAAGATTCAGTCTACTTCTGAAAATGTTTGCTTTTCCGATTCTTTATGGTGACTCAGCGCTCACTGTATCCTGTCCCTCACAGCAGTGCGGGGGACGGAAGTGTCAAAACACAGCTTGTAACAGAAACACCAACCCACTGGAATGCCAAGGGAGGGCCCCAAGGTACAGGGGGCAAATGAAGACTGCCTCTTTGCCCTGTCTTCCTTCTGGGAAAGACCACCCTGCGTTCTTAAGAGACATCTGGGCTTCTCCAGGTGTACCCACAGTTGGACTTCTTGCTAACGCTCTTAATTACAGGCACATGTGCTACTGAGCCCTCTGACCCCTAGGGCATCCACCCAGCTTTCCATCCTGATGGGCCGCAGCGGCACCCTTCCAGCATCCTGCCTCCCACTTTGCCTCAATTTCCCCGGAGTGTCTGCACAGCGGGGAGGGTGGGAAGCTCCCCTCTCAGGATCCCAGGACCTGGCAGGGCACAGTAGTGCCCGGAATGCCAAGATCCCTGCAGAAATGTGTTCTGGCTTTAGTGGACCCTGACTCATCTATAGACTCCACGGTGCTCCAGGATGCGATGTGCCCCTCCCCAGGACCCCACCCAGTGCTTACCGAAGCCAGGCGGAGGAGGGGTGGGTGGTTCCGAGGGGGGGGGGGGAAGCAAGGGTGGCCTGGAGCTGGCCCTTCCTGCCCACAATGGTCACCACGGCAACCAGAGCACAAGGGCAGCCCAAGGGCTTCGGCAGATGCCCAGGCTCAGGAGCAGGCTGGTGAAGGGCACTCGGCATGAAAGTGTACTCTGCACAAAGTGAAACTTCAAAAACTTTTATTTCCAAACCCTAGCAGGTTTAACTTTGAACCCAGCTAACAGCAAAACAGCATCTCTAGCAGGATCTGGGATGGAGGTGCAGACCTAACAATCGTCTCTTAGCCAAAGGATTTGAAAAAATACGTATATACATCTGCATAAGTATTTTTTTAAAAAGTGAAAATCTCCAGCATTGCAAAAGACATCCCAAAATGATTTCGGTCCCTAGAAAATAGCACCTGGCACTATGTGGCCTCAAATTCAAGATACATCTGGGAAAAAAAATAAAACATTTCTTCTTAAAAACAAACAAACAAAAAACCTTTCTCCTCCTTCCTATTCAACTTCCATTGCTTATTCCTAGAAACACTCAGAGAGCCATATAAACAAGACCCGCCCACTTCTCTTGGCCTCTGTGTTCAGGCTCACCACCGATTGCTACCATCAGGAAATCAAGCCCTAGTTTCTGGGAACTGGCAAAAATAAAAAAAAAATAATAAAAAATAAAAAAAAAAATCCTATTTCCTTCAAGGAGGAAGTTGGCCTGGACTGGAACACCAGGATGTGCAAAGGGAATCTTTCTAAATAAAAACACCCAACATCTTATAACCTAAAGTGTAACCTACAGGTAAAAACAAGTAGCAGCGAACTATATAAACCAAAAGGTGCCAATCTGCCCATCTCTAACCATAAAGCAAACAGAGGGGAGGAGAGTCAAGAACTTGAGCTCCTCTCCCTTCCAAGAACTTGGACGCCTATTCTAGGCCAAAGCCGCAATGCAGAGACGGACTCGGTCACAGCGCACAGGCTTTGCTGGATACAGCCGCCCCTCCAGGGCAGCCTGGCTCATGCCCGCTTTACCCAAACCTTCTCTCCCATATGCAGAATGCTTAAGGGTCACCACGGAAATTATTTTTTCAATTTGACTTCGTCACTGACAACCTTCTAAAAACTGCCCGGAGACCACCACAGTCCCCCAGGTCGGGGTCACAGATCCTTCCAGTTGATGGGCTCCTTGCCAGACTTCTGCAGCAGCTCGTTGGTTTTAGAGAAATGTCTGCACCCAAAGAACCCGCGGTACACCGACAGCGGGGAGGGGTGGGCGGTCTGCAGCACGTGGTGGCGCTTCTGAAAGAGAACAAGAGATCGGCTGAGAGGCAGCACGCCTGGGACTCGATGGCAGGTATACCGCCCCCCTCCACTAACTGTGTGCACCTGCCTTTAGCGCTCACCGCGGGGCACCAGTGCGCACGCTCATTCCTTTGCAGGGCGACGCCACGACCTTTGCTGGGCGCCACGGCTGCAAAGGCCTGGTCTCAGCCTCCAACCTGGCACCGCCCACGCCATTTTTAAGTGCCGTATCTTAGGACCCAGCAACTCCACTGCTGAGAACACACGTGTTAAAGGACCCCAAGAGGCCTCTACCTACCCAAAGACGCAGGGTTAGGGAGGTCCACGGCAACCCTGCTTATCTGGGTAACAACTAATATAAGTCCAGTGTTACACAACTGGCCAGAAATATTTTTCTGAAGTTCTTACAGTGGAACACCACGTGGCCGCTAGAACAAGGCCAAGTACCTGTGTTGGTAAGGGAAGACCTTGAAAATACATCAAGTGAAAAAAAAGTGGTAACTGCATCAAAATTTTTTTTGATGAATACCCTAAATGCTATTTGTACTAGCTCATTCAGGGAAAAGAAACGGTGGAGGGCGCTGACTTCCATCTGCGCCTCTCGTCGCTGTCTGAACCGTCTCCCCACAGAAATGGGGCACTTTGAGTTTAAAATTCCACCTGTAGTTCACTGGGCAGGAACACAAGAGACTTCGTTCTCTTCTTTCTTCTTTTCTGTATTTGAGTAAAAACCACCTAACAAATCATTGTTTCCAAACATCCCTGCCTTCCAGCTGCTCAGTCCAGGAGGGGCCCTAACTGCAGCCCAGCGGCCCAGCATGGTCCAGAACACAGAGCCTGCAGGTGGACAGCCTGGGTCTGAGTCCTGGCTCTGCCACTTAGTTGTGCAGCCACGGGGAAGTTGCAGAGCCCCCTTAAGTGGCTATTGTTTTTTGTACATGTAAATTGGGAATATCACCAGCGCCCAGCTTCTAGTTGCTGCCCGAGAACCGAGGGATGACTGCACGGGCAGAGTAGCACGAGAAGTAATGGGGCTCAAGTGCTCATCAGCACCCTGCCTGGCTTGCCGCACCGGCCCTTCATGGGAATGGGGGCCGTGCCAAACTTTCCTCGAAGGGCACGTTGGTTGGCCTCTGGGGAAGGGAGAAACCTCTATACTCAGGACAAAGGCAGCAGGGCGCTCAACGGCAGGCAGGGAAGTGGGGCCCAGGGAACCAAGCTGGGAGGTGCAGGCAGCCTGGAGCTGAGAGAGAAAAGCGGGGGAGCTGCGGCTGAGAGGCAGAGCGGGGCCACGCCCACCACCGACCCCAGCCTGCCGGCCTGAGTCGGGGCCCTGGGGGACAGGGCACCTGAACGCTCCGGGGGAGATCAGAGGCGGCCTAAACCAAGGCTTTGGGTGGGGCCGGGTCTGAGCGACAGTGAAGACAGAAGGCAGGCTGAATGAATGACTGGATGTGGGGAGGGCGGGGGAGAAGGGGAAAAAGACAGAGGCAGGGAGGCATTATGAATGGTATCTGACTTCTGGCGGGACAACTGGGTAGATGGTACTTTTTGTCCTTGGGTAGTTCAGAGGAGGAAGTTGAGCGAGGGATGCATGCGGGAACGAAAATCTCCCTTGGAAAATGAACGAGGAAGATGTTGAGTGTTCTAGGACCACACTGCAAGAACTCCTAGATTCTCTCCACTGGCTTACACGGCTCAGAACCACATACCCTGTCGATGGCGCTGCCCTTCTTCTGAGCGTAAGAGCCCCAGAGCAAGAACACGAGGCCACTCGAGTTCTCGTTCAGCCAGGACACAACTGCGTCGGTGAACTGCTCCCAGCCTCTCTCCTTGTGGGAGTTGGCCTGATGCGCCCGGACCGTGAGGACGGCGTTGAGCAGGAGAACACCTACGGGCACACACCGAAGAAGCAGGTCAAAGGCAGGCTGCAACGAGCCAGCCCGACAGCCAAGGAGACCTTGCTCAGGGTGGCGTCCAGAACGGCCGCCTGAAATTCGGCCGTAGAGGAAGTGTTACAAAACAGACCGCTGGGCACCTCTTGGTGAGATCAGAGGGCAACCAGCTCTCACCGCTGCACTTTCAACATCTTCCACGTTTGCAACAGTGAGTGGAAATGACTTATCACCGGTCATCGGAAAGAATTTTCAAACAGTATCCTAAGTGGCATTAAATAATGCCAGAGAGTAACAAATGGAGGCCAAAGTATTTCATGGGGGGCGAAAAAATCTAACTGTAAGAAACCAAAGGGTAAATATTCTTTATCGTGGTGACAGTTTACTTGTTAAAGAAAAAGAAAGAAAAAAGTCCGTAGACACATATTAAACACATACAACACAACATACAGTGAAGTGACAAAACGTGCGGCCACCTTCTAAATGGCCCAAGTTCGACTAAGCGGATAAACGTAAAATAATAACGAGGACCACCCTTTCCAAATTATGATGAAAACATGAAAGATAACTCGGGCCGCAGGGCACAAAGGAGATACATTCCCCGACTCGGGCACCCCCGATCCTCACGACCATCTTTTACAAACGGAAGTACATGGACGGAGAGGCGAGGACGGTGGGCCCCACCCGGGAGGTACGCGGCAGCAGCAGCGGTTTTACCTTGCTTGGCCCACCCAGATAAGTCTCCGTGACCGGGATGGACAAAACCATCTATGTCTGTGGACAGCTCTTTATAAATGTTTTCCAAGCTGAAAGAAAGCCAGAAGGAAAGAGACAATCTTAAGCACAATTTTGAAAATTCAGTAACCTCTCGACATGTCAGTTACAGGCCGGAACACCAGGCCCGGAGGGGACGAAAGCACACACACTAATTCAGAGAAAATACAGCCATTCCTTCTGCCTAAACCTTCCTTTTGTTCTGTTTAAGGAACTGCACTTGAGAAAACCTAAATAAATTAGCCTGAGAGTTACAACACCCGTCCATGGATGCTTAGTCAGTGTTGTATCTATCTATATATTTATAAAAATCCTCTGAGCAGTGGTTCTGAACCAGGGGTGACTTCTGTCCCAAGGGACACCTGGCAATGTGTGAGGACACCTCTCATCGCCATTTGTGAGAACTCTCTGGTCCCAGAGGGCTGGTGCTGCCGACGTCGGGTGGTGGAACACCTTCCAGCGCACAGGACCAACCCTTTCCCCGACAAAGACCCAGCCCCCCATGTCACCAGTGCTGAGACAGAAATTTTGCTCCAGTCCTTCGCAGGTTCGATTCCCGGTCAGGGCACATGCCTGGGTTTTGGGCCAGATCCCCAGTTGGGGGTATGTGAGAGGCAATTGATCTATGTTTCTCTCGCTTTCTCCCTCCCTGCCTCTCTAAAAATAAATAAATAAAATCTTAAAAGAAAAATCCTGCTCTGAAAGCTAGTGAAAGTCCCCTCGAATGATAGGCTTGCCCGTCATTCACAAAGGACGCATCTGAAAGTAACTGCACGTGGACCCGAGCCACCCACAGAGCGATCAGTCCTACCTGGGCGGAGGCGGAACAGGTCTCTGAACACTGAAGCAGAGCCCGTGAGCCTGATTGGGCCCGTGATATGGATCCTGTCCCAGAATGACAACCTTCACCTGCAAACACCAGGAGGCAAATTAAAACAATACTCCAATGTAGACAGTGCGGACCAACACCTGGGTGACCGATGACCCACACAAGGGGACAAGAGAATGAGAAGGCGGCCCGCCTGCTGACCCAACTGAGAGCCCCCAGAAGAAAACAGCCGGTGAGGGGACATCATTACTTTCCACCACCAAATCCTCCTTCCCTCGATCACCCACCACACCGCCCCCTCCCTTCTGACACAGTTCGGGTCAGCTTCGCTCCCGCCCCTCCCATTTTCCAGATTACAAAGGGAAACACATCCTTGAAAACAAGGACTACCACCCAGAAACATAAAAGTAGCTGGTGATCTCCCAGCTACGCTATCCCGTTTTCATCCAATCAGTGTTCATTACCTACGGAATTGGGGTTACTGTACTCACTACCCCACATGTTTGTGGCACACATCACATTCCGGGCACCCTTCAAGTCAGCAGAGTTCAGTCACCAATGGGCAGCCAGCCAGCTTTCCATCCCCCCCCCATTACCGAAAGTTACACAGTAAACACCCTAGTACATGTGTCTTTCCACACTGTTGCCTTTATTTCTACAGAATACTTGTAACAGTGGCGTTGAAGGCCGAAGGGTAAGTGTATTTTAAATTTTCATAGACACACTCCAATTTGCTTTTCAACAAATTGAGGCAACTCAAACCCCGCCACCAGCGGCACAGGAAGGTGCCTGCTCCCCTACACGCACTAAGGAAGGAAACCAGAAGGTAAGGAGGCCAGGCCCAAGAGCCCTGGCGGTGGGCGGCAGATGCGGTGAAAAGTAACTAGGCCACTGTCACAGGGACGTGAAAACACAGCCCGTCCTTCTGACCTGGAGGCCGCCCACGTCTTCTTCATGCTGCTCAAGGTGTACCTACCATCTTGGAATCTCCTCCCACAGCTGGCACAAGCCATATCCTCCCGCTTTAGACACTCCCCTCAGCAGGGAGCTTTCACGGGCTTCTCCCTTCCTACTACCGGGGCTCACACGGTCCCCAGCACGAAACAACCTGTCCCAGCAGGGACGCTTTTCAGTTCTGGTCCCAGGAAAGGGACAGCTGGGAGGAGCCAGGTAACCCTCCCTCCCATTCCCTCCACGAGCTCCTTTGCAAAGAAGCCTCACTGGGCCATCTGATCCTCAGTTCCTCACTCTTTTCTTATTCTTCCCTATTTACACCGATCACTGGTATTCAGGACGGGACATGCTATTCAAACAAGGTGCAAAACAGTACTGAACTTAGAAGGACTCAGTTTTGTCTTTTAACTTCAGAAATATGGAGCTATATCCAAAGTCCTTACTCTAAATGGAAAACTGTGAAGTTCGCTAAGTATTAGGTTTAGCGGCCTTATCAAGATGGTTTATTCACCTATTCCACTCCTGTTTAACAGATATTTTTATTAAATCACAGGATCGCTGCTCTCAACTTACAAATGTGGAAGGGAAAGAGGTAACAGCAAAATGTAAAATCCTCCAGTGTAAGCAGACACTACATATATTTGGGGACTTGAGAAGAAAACCAGGTCACAAAGGTGGTGGGGAACAGGCTCCAGCGAGGCGCCATAGATCTCGCTGGCTGTCAAAAGACAGAACAGAGCAGAGGGCCGCCACACGGCTCAACTCTGACGTCAAAGAACAGGAGGCGGTGGCAAGGCTGGTGAGTAGGACGCGGCCATGTTCATGTTCAGCTTTGACAGTTCAGACAGTGGAAAAGCACAGACCAGCTTCTGAACAGGGGACTGGCAGGACCAGAGCCCCCAGGCAGCAGCCGTCGTGCACAAGGAACCAAAGCAAAGGGATTTGTTCCCAGGGCAGCAAAACTGTTTGGGACAGAAGGTAGGAGACAGAAAGTGTCAGCTCTAAAAGACGGCGTGGTGGGACAGAGAACGCAGAGCTGCAAGCTGAGGTAGGGCTGCCCATAGCCTGGTGACAAAGACATCACTGCTCCATGCCCCCGTTTCCTCCTCACCACCGCAGTACTCCTTAACACGGGACTGGGGTGCATTTCAGGATTAAATAACATACAAGAAATGAGAGCACATTGACACGGGGTCTATGTGCATATTCTTCTTTTGTGCTGTGCCAACAGCACATGGTAGAAGTCAAAAACAAAAAAAACCAAACAAACAACAACAGTAAATACAGGTTAAAATACAGCCTGACAAATCTCACAATTTTAGTATCTTACTCATTACTGAATTATGGACACTGACGTGACTCATTAAAAACTGCTATTTAATCCCCACACCCCTCTTATTAAATTCACCGACACCTAGCACTTACGTCTCTGATGTCGCACATTTGTGTCCATGTGAAGACTTGGTGTGGAGGTGGATAAACAGTGTAATTCCTTCTTTCTTCTGCAACAAAGCCCATTAGCTGATTGAAAGAGAAACTAGACTGAAAATCAGATTCTCAGTGGAAACCATACAAATTCAACAGAAAAGTTAACTGAAGCATTATCTAGCTCTTTGCTGTTTTATATCCAAATTCATTTACAAAAAAAAAAAACAAAAACAAAAAAACCCACAACAAATTTACTCAATCTGTTCAATCCCCTCCCTTTCTTTGGGCTGGGTCAAACCTGACTGGTCTAGACTCCTCCATTTCCTGTTAATGCCAATCCCCCCCCCCTTTAAAGGCGGGGCCAGGTTTCCCGCAGCTAGGTTTGTTTGTGGTTTTACTATGCAACTCTTTCCTGAAAGCAGACTAACGAAATGCATTGAAACCATATCACCTTAGTCTCTTAGACACTTTAACTAATATAAATGTGTGCATTCAAACACCATGGTTTTATTTTACCCCCTTAGCGTGAAAAAGACGTTAAAGGAGATAAAATAGGGAACAATGAAAGTAATATCCTATAAAAGTGGCCTTGGCCTGCTATACTAACAAGGCAAAGGGCCCCCCAGGCTTCTGGTTTACCTTTATAAAATACGGTTTCCCGAACTCTCCGCTGAGGTGCTTCTTCCAACTTTCACCAAAACCCACCGGCACATTGCGAGCAGCGAGTCTGAGCAGGGCCGCGGCCTTGTTCTTCTGGATGCGGTCCAACTGCTCGGGGCTCAGCGGCGATGAAGGCGGTGTGCCGGGCTCCTCCGGCTCTGCCCGGGCCTTCTTGGGTGGGCTAGCCTGCAAGTGGTCCCCGCAGAGACGGGTCAAAAGCTTCAAGGGACCTCCCCCAGGCGCTAGCAGGCTCCGCCCCCATCCCAAAGACCCAAAGAAGAGGACACCCATTCGTGGGTTTCAGCTCCACTCGCAATGTTGGTGCACAACCGGACTCTGGAAAACCAAGCCGTTGTCCCCCAGTTAGGCGTTTGGCACTAAAACCCGGCGGACAGGAGCGTTTCGCCGGAGCGGAAGCTCTGCAACTAGGAGCTCCGCCCCGCCAAACCCGCCACTCGCATCCCCACGTGGTCTTTTCGCGGCAAAAGCCCTCCTCCCGAGGGCCCGCCCTTTCCTTCCTCAGATAGGACGGAGGAACAAGAAGGGCAGCCCCCTTCGCCTCTGATTGGTGCCGTAGGCCCCGAAGCTCGCCCCTATTGGCTGGTCCCTTAGCATGGCCGCCCCTGGAGCACCGTGGCGGCTGTTTTGAACTGGGACCTCAGCTTTCTAAGTCTGGGGCACGTTTCTGCAGCTCCTCGGTCGTACAGGGCCCGCCGCCTCCCTCGCCCTCCTTTCCCCCTTCCCCGGCCCCGCAAGCAGTCCCCGCCGTGCCTCCCTCCCCCGCCTTTCCCTCTTCCCCGGCCCCGCAAGCAGTCCCCGCCGTGCCTCACCGCTGCATCCCGGCTCTCCTCAGCTACCGCCGCCACGCCGGTCCCCAGGTCGCCCGGCTCGGGGCTACGGACACGTCGCTTGCTAGCAGGATTCGGGGAGAAAAAGGAGTAGAGCGTCTTCTGGCCGATCATCCCGAAGCCGAGAGGGAAGAAAACACGCGCCGCCCGGGACCCACAAGGCTGGCGCAGACAGTGGCGGTATGGAATTGGCGCCAAGCCGCTCGCGCATGCTCCAATCGAGGGGGTGGGCTGGGCAGGGGGCGGTGGAAGGCCTAGTGCGCATGTGCGAGAGGGGCTGCTGGGGGCAGGGTAGGTACTCTCCTTTATTTACTCTTTCAGTTATTCACTTGACACATCTCTCTGCCTTGGGGCAGGTTCCTGCTTCTCTCCGCAGTAAAAAAAGATAAAAGCACCTGTTGTGGGAGTGAAATTAGCATTAAAATAGCATTTGTTGAGCTCTCAGATGCTGCATTATCATCCCATTTTCACCGCCCATTTTACTGACAGCAAACTAAGGCTAAGAATGGTCCAACTTTGTGCCTTAACCTGCAAAGTTTGGGGGAAGACTTTGAGGTCGTAAAGGTTAAACTTCCAACTAGTCATCCTCTGAAAAGCACCCCCACACCTCCAACACACCTGGGACTCTTCTTTGTCCCTCCCTCCTCCCATCCAAACCTTCAACAGGTCCTCTTGGTTCCGTCTCCAAAATAAACTCTGAATTCAGCTGCTGCTCTCTCCATCTCCTGGCTACAATCCCAGCTCGTCACCTCTTTCCTACCAAGTAATCTGTTTGAAATGGAAATCGTATCATGATAACCCCCAGGTGAAAATCCTGCAGCTTCCAAATATGGTTAGAATACAATGCCAGCTCCTTACTCTGCTGGCAAGGCTGCTTCCCTCTCTCACAGAAGCTCCCACTACGGTGGCATGAATGAATCTGGGTCTCAGCCTTCGCTGGACATAACCAGCGTGTCCCTTGTGTGGCCTTTACACCCTTGCACGAATTGCACAACCCCCCCCCCCCAAATCTGGAAGCATTGAAAAGGCAGTTCAGCACTTTTGTATTAAGTAAAGCAAACACTTTCAGGTGCCCCTGCAATCCCGCTCCTAGGTGTTTACACAAGTGAAATTAAAATCTATGTTCATACAAAAGCTTCTTCAGGAGTGGAGTTTATGTGGAATTGACCTAAACTGGAAACAACCCGAATGTCCCTCAGTGGGTGGAGAGTGGGGCACCAGGACAATGGAATACTACGTAGCAATCGAAGGAACAACTAATACAAACACCAAGGATACATCTTTTTTTTTAAGATTTAATTTACTTATTTTTAGAGAGGGAAGGGAGAGAGAGACAGACAGACAGACATCAATGTGCGGTTGCTGGGGGTCATGGCCTGCAACCCAGGCATGTGCCCTGACTGGGAATCGAACCTGCGACACTTTGGTTCGCAGCCCGTGCTCAATCCACTGAGCTACGCCAGCCAAGGCCCAAGGATACATCTTGAGGATACATCTTGAAAGCATTATGCTAAATGACAGGGGCCAGGCCCAAAAAGTTATATGTTGTATGATTTCCTTTATTAGTAAATTCCGGAAAAGACAAAACTATAGGGACAGAAAACACATCAGTGATTGGGGGCTTGGGGGAACCCTGTGGGGTGATGGAACTGTTCTGGATCTAGACCATGGTGGTGCACATACAACTGCGTACGTTTGTGTAAATCTGCAGAACGGTGCAGGAAGAAGATTCCTAACAAGACCGGACTTCACAGAGCTTTCATTCCATCGGAGGAGACAGACAGTAACCAAGATTAGGAGCAGCATTAGAACCTGACCTTGGAACATGAGGCCCTTCAAGCCCAGAGATGGTCAATAACCTGTAGGAGCCACACAACTAGAGTGGAGGGGACAGAAATGGAAGCCACAGGGTAGGACTGCAGGACTCGTGCTTCTACCTGCGACGGGATGCTGGTGGCCCAACTCCCAGGGGGAGGTGCACCAAACAACAGCTCCCCACCACAGATGATCCTCAACAGTTGCTAATAAATACTAAACTCGAAATACCGTAGTGCTTGCAACACACCCAGAAGGCCAATAGGTGGCGCCCGAGGGCCGCTCACCACCTTATTTCGCAAATTTGCCTGCATTTCCCAGCTTGCTGCGGGGATCTAGCCGGAAGCAGTGCTGCGGTTCGAGTGAGTTGTTTTCTCTTTCCCACCCTCCACCCCCCCATTTCTACTGTGGGTGGGGGAGTCGAACTACGCAGGTGCCGTCTGAGATTTTAAAGAGAACCCTCGCCACCCCCACCTCACGCACGTATCACAGTTTTTATTTTCTATCCGAATTCCCCGTGCTTGCCGAAGGATCACGTTTAACTGTTTACACGTAGATTCAGAGTCATATCCATGTGAGGATCACTGCCGTCCTTACCTGCTTTAATAATGGTTTGGGGGGGGGGCACAGTCAGCTACGGGTGGAAGGGAGATATACACACTGCTTCCCTGGATGACTCTGGGCAAGCCCCCTACCTTCTCGAGTCAGTCTCCCCTGTAAAGTGAGGATTGGGATTGTAGTTTCCAAATTTGCCTGTGGTGTGTGAATTCAAAGGGGAAATGGGGGGAGGGAAGGCCGGAGGGGTGTCTACAAATTCAGGTGCTTGGGGATGGAGTGCAGGCCTTGGGGGTTTTGCAAGCTAACCAGCTGATTCGAGCATAGCCAGGTATGTGGGAGGTGCTGGGCTGGACCAGATCAACCTCAGGGCCATTATTCCAACATGAATCCTCTACTTCCTTTCCAGAACACGGTGTTAAACTTTAAAATGGAAACCTGAAAACAGTAAGGAGGAATGCTGCTGTGAATTGCTTTGCCACAGGGCGAGTTTTTGCACGTGGAACAGAGCCTGGGCAGTATCTCTCTCTCTGCCCCATCACTGGCCCCCAGGTCTTTGCTTTGTGGAGGCAGGATGGACAAATTCCTGGTGAAGAGGGTTCGAGGGGACCTTTTGGGAAAAAGGGAGCAAGAGCAGGCTGGAGAAGGCTCAGCAGGGTTGGGAGAAGACAAGGAAAGCACCAGGAAAAGGCCCAGGAGGGAACCGCCAGGGAAGGGTGTGGACTTGGGAGGCCCAGACTGGCGACACCTTCGGTCAGAGGGCCTGGACTGTGATTACACAGTCCTGTTTGGCAAAGCTGAAGCGGATGAGATTTTCCGGGAGTTGGAGCAAGAAGTGGAATATTTTACAGGTAAGCGGAGGACTGCGGGGTGCCCGTTGAGGGCTTGTTTGATAAAACCAGTGTATATTTCGAGAAATCAGAACTCAGGAGCCGTTGATTACTGATGAGTTCGTCAATTGATTCAACACATTCTCTGGGTGCCTGTGCGCCAAGACCCTGGCTAGGTGCTTGGAATACAGACCTTAAAAAAAAACAACAAACAGGATTACCTGCTCACTGGGAGCAGACAGATGACTGAAGTGAGTCTTTGCTGGGAGAATCATCTGGGAAAGTTGAAAGAAAAAAAAAGATGCTGAGTTCTGACCGAGATCCATTGAACAGCAAGAGCTGGGAGGTGCAGCCTGGGTATCAGTGTTTTTAGAAAGCTTCCTGGTGGTTGGAACGTGCAGTCAGGGTGAAGAGCCACTGGTGTAGTAGGAGAGACAGCAGATGACCAGGCGATTCGGCACCGTGTTCTCAGCATCACCTGGGGGACTCTGTTGCTTATGTTACTCCCATTGCTGGGCCCCACCCCCGCAGTCCAATGTCTGCATGTGCAGGTCATGCCCATGCTGCTGAGGACTACACACTGAGGACCACTGCAAGGTGGCAGTGTGCTTGGAGGCACAGAGAAGCCCGAGGAGACCCCAACCTGGAGACTAGCTGTGTTAGTCCCATCATTCATGGGGCCCTGTGCCCTCTGTCCCCACAGCTGGCAAAAATCACTCTAGTGTGTCACCTAACCTTATCTTGCTCACATTTCAGCCTCCGTATTCTGTTCCTACTGTTGTTAAGGGAATTAAGCTATGGTGTTTAAAAAAACAACAACACTGGACTAGGACCATGTTTTTCTAAGCACAGGACAAGAATCACTGTTCTTACATGAAAATTTTGGGCGAGGCACACAGGCTTTTGAGGTGGGGTCCTTGGTCAGGTTATTAAGTTATTTCTGCTCTGACTGGTGTGGCTCAATTGGTTGGAGCATCGTCCCTGGCCAAAAGGTCATGGGTTTGACTCCCAGTCAAGGCACATACCTGGGTTTTCAGTTCCATCCCTGATCTGGGCATGTACTGGAAGGCAACCAGTCAGTGCTTCTCTCTCACACTGATGCTCCTCTCTCTCCCTAAAAGCAATGAAAAGATGTTCTTGGGTGAGGATGAAAAAAAGTTTTTTAAAGTTATTCCTGTTCTACTTCCCTTTCGATCCTGAATACTCGGGGAGCGAGCGTGCCTGGTTTTCTGAGCTGCCGTGTTTCACCTGCCCAGGTGCACTGGCCCAGGTGCGGGTGTTCGGGAAGCTGCACAGTGTGCCAAGGAAGCAGGCGACGTACGGCAACACCGGGCTGACCTACACGTTTTCAGGCCTCACTCTGTCCCCAAAGCCTTGGATCCCGGTGCTGGAGCGAGTCCGGGATCGTGTGTCGCAGGTGACCGGACAGACCTTCAACTTCGTGCTCGTTAACAGGTGACACCCTACTTGTCCACTTTTTTTTCTTGAAGCCACTGCACTGAATTGTATCAGTCTTCTGCCTCTCCCTTATTTTATTCATTTGCCCAACAAATAGTTCTCCAGGGCAGCAGGGCTATTGTAGCGGAGCAGTGCACACAGAGGGTCTTCGTGGAGCCCTGGGCATACGGCGGGAAGTGAAAGGTGACAAACTGCTGAGCCGCCGAACAAGATGATTTCAGACAAACAAGAGGATTTTAGACGTAGACGAGTGTCTCGCTGATTTGACTGAGAATGGCCGGGAGGAAGGGTCTGGGTTTAGGGCAGGGTTTCTCAACAGATGTTTCGGGCCAGATAATTTTGTGGTGGGGACTGCCCTGTGCATTGTGGGATGTTGAGCAGCATCCCTGGCCTCTGCCCACAAGATGCTACTCGCACCCTCTCCCCAGTCAACGCAACCAGAACGTCTCCAGATGCTGCCTGGTCCCAGGCTGGGGCGGAACCACGCCGGTTGAGAACTCTGGATGTGGGGATGGCGGTTACGGGAGGGCCCGTGGGCGTGCTGCCCTTTGAACTGGTAACTAAATGGAGAGGGCGAGCACGAGCTGCACAGCATTTGGGAGGAAGAGCAGAGGGATCTCAGAGACCTGCCCGTGGAGTGAAAATCCCACTGACGCTGGCGGGAAGCAGTGAGAGAGGGAAAGGGGGTGTGTGATCGATGAGTTCAGAGGTGAGTGAGGGCCAGACTGTGCCAGGAGTGTGGATTTTATTCTAGGTGTAGGGAGAGAACTTTCGATGACAAAGGTTTACCTATGGGCACCAGAACTAGAAGACATGTGTTTTTGGCTTCTGTTGGTCGCTGACTTTTAAAGCACGTGATCATCCAGGACCAGCCAACAAAGGGCACAGCCCCCGGGCGGGCGTGGCTCACCTGTGGAACCTGGGCAGGCCCTCCAGCCGTGCGGCAGCCGTCTGCCGTGGTGCTGGCGCGCTTCAGGAGAGGGCCGTTCTGTGACCGGGGCTGGCTTCCTCGCCGCAGGTACAAAGATGGCCGCGACCACATCGGGGAACACCGGGATGACGAAAGGGAACTGGACCCCGGGAGCCCCATCGCCTCTGTCTCCTTTGGGGCCTGCAGAGACTTCTTCTTCCGCCACAAAGACTCTCGAGGGAAGAACCCTGCCCGGAGGGTGGAGGTGGTCAGGCTGCAGCTGGCCCACGGGAGTCTGCTGGTGATGAAGCCCCCGACCAACTCTTGCTGGTATCACAGCCTCCCCATCCGCAAGAAGGTTCTGGCTCCGCGCGTCAACCTGACCTTTCGCAAAATCCTGCCTGCTAGGAAGTAAACAGGTTTTCCAGTGAGCGCTTGTTTTTCCAACCCCCCCCAAAACGGGTGTGGCGTTTCCTTTACCGGTGAGGAAAGAAAAGGTGTAACGTTACGTAACACTGCAAAATTCGGAAAGAGGACTTCCTATCAAATCAGGAAATGGTGAAAGCATACCAGTTGACTTTTTTCCTAGCAAAATGATACTTTTATTGCTATAATACACAGCAGATACAAAAGGTGCCTTTTGCAAGTACATAAATCAGCAGTTTTTAGGTCATAAACTACTGCTTTAACTTACGACTTTGCAAAAAGAAGCTATTTTGTAAATAACTTAGAACTAGAAATAAGATTATCTGGCTCCTACTCAATGCCTAATAGTTTACAAAACGAGGGAGTCAGCTTTAGGCCAGGTTCAGAGACGGCACACGAGTCATTCACATCCACGGTCCTGGCCTCGGGCCAACGGTCTGCTTGCAGCACGTTCCGCGCATCGGCCCCTTCCCGGCCTGACCGACCTCCCCCTTTAATGGCAAGTTTCAAAGAGTGAGCAGCGGCACCACAGCAGGTACTCAAAGCTACGACTTGAGGTGAGCAGTTTAAGGTCACACACCTGGGTGTTTGTCCACCAGACTCAGGTACACCAGGTGCGCTCGTTTCCACATCAAAGCCAGGGTCTGCGACAGAACCGGGAAGGGGAGCGGCAGTGGACGGCCCAGACGCTTCCAGCTGCTCCCTGCACCTGGAGGGCCACGGCCTGCAGAGCCCCCACACGGGCTCGCCGGCGTGCGCGTCCTCGGGGTGCATGCCGGCCCGCCGGGATGGCAGTCGCCTGGGCCTCCTGTGCTGTCAGCCGACACCGAGGCATCATCCACAAGTGTCCGCCAGCTCTCCCCCGCCGGGGGAGGCAAGGTGTTTCGCCTTCCCTCAGGTGGCCTTTTGGACAGGTCTGATTCCAGATCTCATCTCGGAAGAGTCCATACGAATTTGGTGTTTTTGTTTTGTTTTGTTTTGTTTTAATACAAACACCTAGCTCAAACAGAGATGACTCCTGGGTCATCAGAATGCCTCCCGCACTGGGCCGCGGGCCTGAGACTCACCTGCAGAGGGGGGAGCGCGCTCCGTGTGGTCTTTGGGCTCCTGGAAACGAAGGTGGGCCTGTGACAAAGCGACAGTCCTAGGTGTCGGCTACAGGTGTGTGTGTAACAAATAAATTAAACTTATTTTAGTGGAAAAGCCTGGCCTTCGACGGCCATCGACCTCAGCCTTCCCGTCACAAATGAGGAGGTGGGGGTCCCAGAGGGGCGGCGGGCGCCCTTCCTTCCGACTCGAGTCCTCACACGGAGGCGGGGCTGCCTTCTTCCACGGCCCCCGGCCCCGCCTGCACATCTTAAGAGCTCTGCACGAGCAATAAATAAATAGACGAGAATAACCGTCTGAAGCGGGTGTCTGTGAGATCGCGCTTCTACGGAGCAGAGGACCTGCAGGGTACAGTCCGGCTATTCACAGGGGTTCCCACTGTCAGCGCGACCCCGAGTCCCGCGCGTCCCGCGTACGAAAGGTAAGGGCAACGCGTGAGCAGGTCACTGAGGACCGAGGAAGCAGTGACAGCCCCCCCGAGGGGCAGATTTGGCAGGAGAGCTTTTACTGTCGATGTATATACAAAGAATCGAAAGATTAGAAAAAGACATACAAAAAGGGAAGGTGGGTGTTCTTTAGGCATCTTTTAACTGTTCTTTTGCTATCCCTTGAGAAACTTAGAAGAAGGCTTTTCAAAAATTGGTTCTATGACTCTTAGAGAACGTGTATTTTCCAGAATGGACGTGCTACAAAAGCGATCAAAAGTGAAAGGCACTTTTTCTTCTAAATTGTTGCCTTTGATAATTTCACTAATTCTTGTCAACCGTTTTTATGCGGGCCTGCTCATTAAAAAGGAAAGGTCTGCGCTGAAACGTCGGAGGGCTTGACAAAGGTGGCCCCCTGCGAGAACGCCTAGCAGGTAAGAATGTAAAAGAGGTGCTTCCGGAGCCTGATTTCTTTTAACGACCTGCATCAGGTGAGCGAGAAGATGCTCTGGGCAGAGTGACTGCGGTCCCGACAGGACAGCGACGCCGTCCAGCGCGTGCCAGCAGAGCTGCTCAGGGGCCGCCGGCTCCCCGGTGGAGCCCGCTCTGGGAACACACCTGAAGGCTGAAGGGCTCTGGCGGGCTGCCTGCGCACGCACACGCACGTGGTCGGAGTTTGTCTCTTTCCTGGGTGGCGTGGACAGTGCCGTCAGGTCTAGCTCTGGGAGCGGGGCGTGCTCACTCCTCGGACGTGTACTCCCGGCTCTGGTGCTGCACCTTGGAGAGCACCCGCTCGTAGAACAGCAGGTAGGCGCTGGAGGACAGGACCTCCTGCAGGCTGGCCCGGCGGACCGTGTCGTCGGAAACCCACAGCCACTGGTTGCTGGTCGACAGGGGGTTCTTGGCCGAAGGTGGGGACCGTCGGTAAGTCACGAAGTGTCCCGAGTGCATGTCTCCGTGGTGGACGACGACCGCCATCAGCCGGAAGAGGTACGCGGAGGAGCTGAACGGGAGGAACACAAGCCGGTGGTTTACAAACACGACGGAGGTCTACAGGCAGAAGCAAAAAGTACAACAACCCCGTTCGACAACGGGGGGTTGAGACAACGGCCCATCCGCACGGATGAACACTGCAGACCACTAAATCACAGACCTACGTGCACCGGCGCGATGCCCACTCTCTGAGTGTGTGTGTGCACGCCCACGGCTGCACAGAGTGGAGGACCTAAAGGGTTTCACTGGCGATCTCTAGGTGGAAGCCCAAGAAAGTAAAAATTTGTTGCTTTATACTTTTCTCTGCGTACATTCACACATATATCCACACATATGTATAATACACATATATTTGAATGTTATGTACTTTATAATGCTTATATTTAAAGTGACTTCCAGCCTTGGCTGGTGTGACTCAGTAGACTGAGTGCTGGCTTACAAACCAAAGTGTCACGGGTTCGATTCCCAGTCAGGGCACATGCCTGGGTTCCGGGCCAGATCCCCAGTTGGGGGGTGTGCAAGAGGCAACCATATATTGATGTTTCTCTTCCTCTCCTTCTTTCCCTTTATTTATTAAAAATTAATAAATACCTCTGGCTGGTGTGGCTCAGTTTAAGCACCAGGCTGTAAACCAAAGGGTGGTTGGTTTGATTCCCAGTCAGGGCACATGCATTAAGGTGCCCTGTAGGGGGTGCATGAGGGGCAACCACATGTTGATGTTTCTCTCCCTCTTTTTCTCCCTCCCTCTCTGTCTATAAATAAATAAAATTAAACAAATAAAAATTAATTTAAAAAATAAAGTGACTTCCATTTTGAACAAAAACAGAGGAATGCATACTAGTGAGTTCCGCCTTAAAAATGAAAGAAAGCTATCTCTTCGCTGTGATTCATTTCTGTGAAAAGCTGATTTTGCAAACCAAGAGACAGAACAGCCTCCAAGGAGTGAGGGTGGCTTCCGAGGAGCGGCTCACCTGTAGTCCGGAACAGCGGGCAGGGGGAAGGGCACCGGGGCTGGCAGGGTAGGCAACACGGCCGGGGAGCAGGCACCATTCATAAAAATGTGGGGTTTGGGGCCCCCTGGGTGATTCAGAACTGCAAGAGAGAAAGGCCCAAGGCAATGAAAATTAGCAGTGGCTCTGGGTAAACAGAGCGGTGGCTTTGATTACCTCCAAGAAATTTAACTGCCCAATAATGCTACAAGGAGAAAACAAGTATTTCCTTTTGTTACGTTGTAAAATTCCCTGGCTCTCTGTCCCCGTTTTAACCCCCAACAGGAAAAGCATACCGAGCGCCTGGTCCGCTGTTCACTGTGATGGCTGTGCAGATCTGAGATGGAAACACATGAGGTTCCCATCCCTTTGCTAACTACCCGTCAGAGTTGAGCAGTGGCTAACTGATTGGCATTTTGACCTGAACCAGGTCTCACCCTTGACATGACTGACATTTGGGACGGATAATTCCTTGCTGCGGGGGCTGTCCTGTGCAGTGCAGGACACTCAGCATCATCTCTGGTCTCTGCCACTATACACCAGGAACACCCCTCTCTCGGGTGTGACAGCCAGAACTGTCACCGCCCAGTGTCCTCTGGGAGGCAAACTCCCTGTCTCGAGCCACTGAGCTAAACATCCTCTGTTTTTAAATTGTCGGCTTCTAAGGAGTCCCGGCCTGTACCAGTGTGAACAAATGTTTATGGGTGCAGATAAAATAGTTGCGGAGGTATTTCTGTCCCCTTCCAGGCGTCACCCGCTGGCCTCCTGCAGCGCAGCTGCCCACTCTGAGGGCGAGCAGGCCTGCGCCCTGGGCCGGGGAGATGGGCACCGGCGGGAAGAGGTTCTTGACTTCAACGGGCCGAGGACCGAGCCCTCGCCCCTCAAAATAGTGTCCCTGAATGACGTCCTGTCAGGCCCCACAAATGGGGATGTAAAAGGGAATAAAGTGGCAAGAAACGCTAAGCGGGAGAAATCTGGGGTGCCCGGGGGCAGTCGTGTCTGGAGAGAGAGCAGCGTGCAGGTGGCGAGTTCAGGCTGGGAGCCCTCAAAGTCGGCGGGTTTCCCACAGCTGTCATCTAAAGGGCTCGGCACAGCACGTCAGACACTTTTACAACACTGCGCGACACTGCCTTCCAGGGCCAGCCCTCCCATGTGCTGTTTGCTCAAGGACCGGTCTTTTCACCTCTCGAAGCCGTGCTTTTCCCCTCAGTTAGGCTGAGGGTAATAATGCCGGCTTCCAGTTCAACCAGGGACCGCAATGTGGACAGTAATGGAATTAGATGATGCATCGGTAAAGGAGAATCATCCACCCCAGTAAGATGTTCTGTGACCCCTAGCCTGGACATTTCCTGCCCACATTTTCTGTATCAAGCCAATGACTGTACTAGGAAGAAAATGAGGAGAAATTCACTGGAATGATATGATGTGAGCCGACTACTGCTTAGTCAAAAGACTGAACGGAAATCTGAAGCTCTTCTTCTTGTATTTTCCAACCATGACAGCTTTTACAACCATATAGCTCATGACTATACAGTTTTAGCCTCTTTTAAGGAATCCCACCCCTCCTGCCCCATCCTGCTCTTCTCAAGACCCTCAGCAACCATTGGAGAATGAAGCCCTCACGGCATAAAGTCCCCAGAAGCCGGGGATGCCGAAGTCCCTCGCTTGTGCCGCAGGCTCCCGCGGCCTCAGCACCCCAGGGGAACACACCTGATTTGGGGGCTGCTGGCCCATCCTGCAGCTCCAACACAGGCCCTGCCTTCTCGTTCAGTTTGGGGCTGTGTGGACCAGGCTTATGTCCAAGGAGGTGGTACTTGTAGATGTCCATCATCAGGAATTCGTTGAACTGCACGTGCTCGTGCCGCTTCAGGGGCGTGCCGTGGCTGGACCAGCTCAGCCGCTGCAGGTGGATGCACAAGCACTGGGGGAGCTGCGGGGCGGGGGGCGGGGGGGGGGGGAAACCGGAAGTGCTGAGTGTCGGGGGCAGCCGCCAAGAGTCCTCCGAAACAGAGCAGGTAAGGGGTGTGGTATGGGCTCACCTTCCCTAGTTTTAGCTGCTTAACAAAAGTGGTCCTCTGGTGTTCCACCTTTTCCCCATTCAACGTCCCTTTGGCTTCATTCTGAAATACAAGAAACAGCATCTCTCTGCTGAAATTCCCGGAAGGACATCTAGGGAGGGTTGCCCATCAGGTTGGTGTTATTTATACCTGTGTATTCAACTGGCCCTTGACTTCCACCTGCTGAAGTGAACTCAGCTGCCTAATTTTCTGTGGGGTGTTTTTACTATTTTACTTTTACGTGGTGTGAAGGGGAGGAAAGAGGAATGAAGGAGCTCTGACACTGGCATGTAATCCATCTGCTGGGTCTTCAAAAACTGCGCTCCACACAGTCCTCTGCACTCAGAGGGGGAAACACAACCGCTCGGGAAGGTGGGCAGGCAGCACGGGTAGGGTGGGGTGTGAGACGAGTGGGAATGGTGGGGGCTATAGCAAATGGGGGGGCACACCCCATCTCAAAGCAGGGTATTCAAATGTCTAAATATTTGGTGGTTGAAACTAAACTCCTCAGGGAAGGAGGGCCGGCCCACGGGCTGCCAATTTCCCAGCCAGCTTGGTAGGAATGGCTGCGGCGGAAAGGTCCCTCTGGGAACAGTCGGAAGAGCTCGGGGGCAGTGCCGGGAGAGGTGCTGTGTCGGGGCACGCAGACCGTGGGCGGGGCGGCATTTGGGGTTAAGGCGTACCTTTGTACAGTTGTCACAGACAACATCCCGCACCGACTCTGAGGAGACGAAGTGGTGAAGGCAGTGGTCCAGGGTCAGTGGGTGGCCCTACGGCGGGAGCAGGAGAAGACGCATTACTACAGCTCAGAGGGAGCCGCGCCGCAACGGTGAGTGGCGGCCACGTGCATCCCGGGGCTTCCCTCCCGCGCATGTGGGCAAAGAAGCATCTCGGACACAACTGGATGCCTCCTGAGCAAACGTGGGGCTGAGTGCCCGAGAGACGTGCTACTGTGATGGATGCGAGGGTGTGAGGATGGAATACTGCAGATAGTTAGGGACCTCAGCCCTGGTTTAGGTATTTCCAAATTTGAATTTAGTGCGTGTGTGTGTGTGTGTGTTTGTGTGTGTGTTTTCAAAAAAGCCAACATTTCTGCAGCAAGAGAAAAGCAGCCCACCTCTTCTCGCTCGAACCGGGCCATGGTACCACACGCTGAAACTGAGCTGGGTTCAACCAATCACGTGTCTGAGTAACGCATGGCCCCTGAGCTACACGAAATGCCTCACAGCCCTTTCAGATTCAAATGCCCCGAAACAGGCCCCCAACAAACCACAGGTCAGTACATACCCACGTGGCCGCTGGAATGCTCAGTGAAAGGCTATCAAAGGTATCAAATCGAACAGGACTCTGAAACGAATATTGGAGAAAATCCAGAAAGGACTGAAGTTGGATTCAAAACATTATCAATGGAAAGATGTAAACTACTAAAGTTTAAGATTTACATGCCCAACATTAACATAATGAAACAATGTACTTACCTAGAAGCAAATTCTATTACAAACAACCTTGGAAACATACAAGGTACAGTAACAGTAAAGAACAGCCGGGAAACCTAATGTGACCCAGCTGACCCGAGGTTCTGGGTTGCATCCCAAGGGAATAACATGGACGTTACTACAAGGATGCTCGCCACAGCGTAATTTGTAACGGCAAAGCACGAATAGCTGGGATTTCTGCAGAATGATTACATAAATTATAGTATGCCCACGGAACGGAACACTGTATGAAAAACAATGTTGCAGGAGAAGGAATGACGATGCGGAAAGCTGTGCATGTTAAATGATTAATTGCAAAAAACATGATACAGTAGGGCAAGGGTCCCTGCCTTGGGTGATGGCAGAGTGGCTTGGCTAGACTAACTCTCCTTGAGATAACAATGGTAAAATCTAGACCAAGACTAAACAGAGTAACGTGAATGACTGGGGAGCCACCACAAACGGGCAGAGACCGAGAAGAAGTCAACTCCCGGAAAAGCAGGCGCTCAGTGGGAGAGGTGTGTACGGGGTGGCTCTTTGTCTGGAAGTTCTCCCCCAAACCATGTACAAATCTGGTGAAGAACATACAGGTAGAGATTTAAGAAATTCAGCAAACTCCAAGCAAATACAAAAAACTTTATGCACGGCACAGACAAACTGCTGAAGCCCCAGAATAAAGAGAAACTCCCGTAAGCAGCCAGAGGGAAAAAAGGATGCTACTGGTACAAAGGGCCGAAACGAAGGGCGCTGACTAAGCATCAGGACTGACGTGGGCCGGGACGGCAGAACAATGCCTACGAGGTGGCGGACTGAAAATAAACCGAGCGAAACCAAGACAACAGCAGCACTGTCCACCCGAAACTCTATGCTCAGCAAAACTATTCTTTAAAAAAAGGCAACACGAAAACATGAAACATCTTCATGTCAGTTCAATCCCAGTGAACCTGCTGGCAATACACCTGCACGAGGTGCTGAAGGGATCTCTTTTGGCTGAATGGGAAAACCACCCAATGGACTTGGGTCTCCAGAAATGACTGAAGACAGCGAATATAAAATTTTCTTTGTATTTCTTTTAAACACAGTTAACTGTTTAAAGCAAAAATCACGACAGTGTCATGGGGTGTGTACTGTATGTAGATGTAGACACATGATAAAAATAACACAAAGCGTCGGGTAATAGAACCGCACTTTTGTGAGTTACCTGTCTTCGCATGGAATGTGACATTGACTCTGAATGCACCACGATAAGTTAAAATTCCATGATTTTATCATATTTCTTTAAAATTTAAAAATGTATAGCTAAAAGCCAAGAGAGAAATTATAACAAAATACTAAAAAGTATTATAATGAATCTACAAAGAAACTTCTGGAACCAATACATTAATTTTCTTAAGATCTCCAGATACAAAATCAATATACAAACAACTGTATTTCTATATACTAGAAAAAGATTTTTAAACTCCACTTATAATAGCACCAGAATACAAATAAAATGCAAGGAAAAAGAAAAGGTAAACAGACAAGGCACAGACGGCAAGACACTGAGGACGCATGAGTGGTGGACTGCGGGCCTTCCTCATTACGAAGGGGCCACGAAGAGACCCCACTGCGCACACACCGGGACGGCGGTGACTGAAAGTCAGACGACTTTCAGACGTCAGACGACATCTGCACTCACGAGCGTGAGTGCTCGTGAGGATGCAGAAAAACTGGAAACCTCACTTGCTGCTGGCGGGGATGTAAAACAGTGCAGCCACTTTGGAAAACAGGCTGGCAGTGCCTCGGAAGTTTAGAAATTCTACTCCTAGGGATTGACCCCGGGGTAATGAAAACACGTGCCCCCACAAAAACTCGTACATAAACATTCACAGCAGCACTACACGTAACAGCCAAAAGCAGAAGTAACCCAAATGGCCATCCACTTGAGGGGACAGACCAAAGGCCACCTGCCCGCACAGTGGGATGCTACCGGGTGGCAAACAGGAATGTGGGCACACACCACTACACGGTGAGCCTTGGAAACACTGAGCTGAACGGGAGAGGCCGGTCCTGAAGGACCACGCACCGTATGGTTCCATTTACATGGAACGTCCAGAGCAGACAAACGTACTCACACAGAAAGCAGAGGAGTGGCTGCCTACGGGCTAGTGAGTGTGTGAGTGTGTGTGTGTGGGGGGGGGGGCTGGGGGTGAGGAGTAACTGCTGATGGGTACCGGTTTTTTGGGGAGGTGATAAAAATATCCTAAAATTGTTTGAGGTAATGGTTGTACAATTCCTTACTTTCGTCTTATGTTGGAAATTTTCCAAGTAAAAAACTATTTTAAACCCTCAAAAGGAAAGCGAGCAAACTAACGAAAAAACCCAGCTCTAGAATCTGTTGTGTCCGCCTACAGTGTAGACCCAAACTTAGGCCACAAATTCTTGCCAGCGCACAGTGGGTCTGCTGCCCTTGGCGCGGAGGAGCAGATCACACGTCAACACTGCCCCACGGGGGGGGGGGGGACAATAGTCCGTCGACCACGTATGCGGGGCCCGGGGGACCCCAGGCACCACTCGCCAGCATTAGTCCACGTGCTCCTGACCCCTCATGGACCCCGACTGAACCGAAACCCCCCCGAGAAGACAGCTGGCCCGGCCCCGCGTTTACCTGGTGCTCGCAGTGCTTGCAGACCATGTTACTGGTGAGTCTCCCGTGGAACGGGTGCTGAGGTTTCCAGTGACCGGACGCGGGGTGAGGCGCCCCTGGAACACAGAACGGCCTTGGATCTGCTGCCCCCAGCCCTCGGGCCCCGGCTTCCGAACTCCCCCTCCCGTTTAGCATGTGGCGGCCACTCTCTCCTTAGAAAAAAAACACCCCTGAGAATTACATTGGAGTAGCTCTCCTTACTGACGTGCGTCAAAAAGACAAGCCGTTCCCTTCGCAGGGAAACGCACGTGGGTGCTCAGCATGGCTCCCGTATAATGGGCGCAGCCACACTGGAAAAAGGAATTTGTGTTTGGCAACGCCTTTCTATAAACATACCCTCAACGTGCTTGAGATGGCAAAGAAGGGTACCCTGAGTGAACGGTTCATAAAGTAAGATAAACTCCTGAAATATCATCAGAGTAATAAGCGAGTTCTGAAAACTTTTTTTTTTTTTTGGACAGAAAGGGGGTTAGTGGAATAAGCACAGCGTGGCATGCTGGTCGGAAACCCAGGCCCTGGAGTCAGGCGGCCCCGGGCTTGGGCCCGGCTTGGCTCCTTATTAGCTACGGGACCTGGGAAGCCTTAGGGCTCCTTATTAGCTACGGGACCTGGGGTTCCTCAGCATGCTGGAAACGGGGGTAACTGCTGGCCCCATGGGCCCCGGTACCATCAACGTTCCGGAGCTGATGCGAGACTTAAATGCGACATCCCAGGGCCTGGCGCACAGTGCGGGCTCCAGAGATAATCGTTCTTGTTACTACTAATGCGCAAAGGAATGGGTGTCTTTTTTTTAAAGTGTGAGTCTTAAGAAAACAAGGATTTCCTTCGAAAGAGGACTGTGACCACTTGCAGTACAAGTCGCCCAAACTGGAAGTGCCGAGAACACGAGTTCCGGCTTGTTCAGCTCCGAACAGGATCATGTCAGGGACGTAAAAAGCAAACCCTTGTCTGTAACAGAAGTCAGTCCCTCTGGAGGAAGCCGAGAAGGGCTAAGGCATGAGGAACAACTCAAGATGTTCGCCGAGGGGACAATTTAAGGCTGTTTCCAAAACACAAATCCCTTTGCGAGCACACACAGTTCCAGGTGGATTAGATACCACCAGAAAAAAAAATTGAACAAATTATTGCCGTATCGAAAAAGTACCCATCTTCTACGTCACAGGTGACGGAGAGTGACTACCTGTTGTGCGGCAGGTTATCTGCTGGGGAGTTATCTCCGGCTGCTGCTGTGGGGAAAGAAACAGAGTGAAGACCCCACGGCGGCCCTCCGACCGCCCCCGCATCTCACGAGTCTCTGCGCTGACCGCCCCACAAACCAACCTTTAACAAAGGTTTTTAAAAGCAGTTTCATCACCCTCTCTGCTCACTGTGTCTACTCCCTCATCCAGTGCAATCAAAATGCATTTCCTCTCCGGAACACTACCTCCCCTCCCTTTATCAGCTAACTTTTATAATGTTCCAGGGAGATGGGGATTCATTTGGCATTCCCAGAGCTCTGCGTTCCCCTGTATTGAATGGGGAGAATGTATTCTGTCTTTTTGGCTTTTCAAGCCAACACAAATTGCGACAATGAACCCTTCCAAGGGGTCATTCACGCAGACGCCACCTGCGAAGACGGCGGTCTAAGGCCCCCCCCCGGCCCCCCCCCCCCCAGACCTCACTGCTGACTGGTGCCGGATCTGACCTGTGAGTTTAAATTGTACAGAGACTATACCGGTGGTCCCTACGCCTGTTAGGTCGGCAGGAACCGCACGAAACGTCACGGCTTACCTCCAGGGAACGAACATCGAACAAGTGTGTGACCCGGGGCTGGCGGTCCCGCTCATCCTCCAACGACGAGGTGAGGACGTGGAACAACTCGTGAGCATCCTGCCAGAGGGCAAAGCGGTCTTCAGGGAGGCCCAGGGGGGCCAGGGCAACATCGGAACCACACTCCCCTCCGTGCGGACCCCTGGGCAGCCGCCCTCGGGCTGATGCGGGCAGGGTTCACCGTCTGCCCTCCCAGGGCCCAGCCCCCAGCCCGTGGAAGGCAGAGAGCTCCGCCCAGCCATCTTCACAGTGGAGACCCTGGTCCCACAGCCCCGAAGGGGAGAGAAGGAAAGGAGGTGGACGGGGTGCCTCCCACCAGCTTCTCTGAGCCCATGTTACCTTTATTCAGACGGCCTTGACCGTCACTCAACCTGACTACCCTTTTCTCATTGTGGTAAAATACACATAACCCAAATTTCACCATTTTAACCATTTTTAAGTGTACAGTTGTGTAGTGTTAGGTACATCACATTGTTGTGAGGCCATAAGCACCATCCATCTTCAGAACGTTTATCTTCCCAGACTAACTCCGTGCCCATTAACATTAGCTCCTCATTTCCCTCTCCCCACTCCAGCCGCTGGCAACCGCCAGCTACCTTCTCTCTCTGTGAACTTGGCCATTCTAGGAACCGCCTGCCCGTGGAGTCAGACAGTCCTTGTCCTTCTGTGGCTGGTTTATAGCACTTGGCATAATGTCAAGGTTCACTGATGTTACAGAATTTCCTTCTTAAGGCTGAATGACATTCCGTTATGTGTGAGTATGTATATTCCATCGTGGGTACATACACATACATTTATATACATGTGAATACACACACGCCACGTTTCGTCCACCCATTCACCTGCTGATGGACAGACACTTGAATTACTTCCGCCTTTCAGGGATTACAAATGATACTGCTACGAACACAGGTGCACAAATATCTCTTCAAGTCTCTGCTTTCAATCCTTTGGGTTTATACCCAGAAGTGGAATTGCTGTATTGTAAGGCAGGGGGACTCCTCTTTAAGGATCAATTCAATGCCCCTCTCCCCAAAAAGCCAAAGCTGCTCCACTCCTGGTGGGGGGTGGTGAGTCTCTCTGCCCCATGCCGCTGGTCCTCACCGGGCTCAAGCCTCCGCTCTCAGTCTGCCTCCACACAGTCCCCAAAGCGATCTTTTAAAAGGCAAATAATTGACCTTATTCTTCTGCTCTCAAACTCCCATTGGCTGTTGCTGCTAGAGTAAGCCCCGACCCCCTTCTCAGCTAGAGCCCGAGGGATCCAGCCCCTAGGACTCCTCGGTCCCTCATTTGCCTTCACTTAGCCCTTTTATCCTTCCCTTTAAGTTGGGGTAACACTGGTTTATAACACTATATGAGTTTTAGGGGTGCGACACTGTAATTCAACACCTGTACACTACAGAGTACCCACCACCAAATGTCCTGGGGAGACCCGCCCTCACCAACGCTCCCTGACTTAACCCCACCCCTAGCCACTTCATCCGCAGTCGTGCGGGCTCTCCCTCCAAAGCGTACCCTAGTATCTCCAGCTCCCCTGCCTCAGGGCCATTCCACCCCTGGCCTGGGTACCTGCAATGACGGTCTCCCAACTTTCCCCTCGGCTTCCATCTTGGCCCAATGGCCAAGGGGGACTGTAGGTCCCCCTCGTACACAGCGACCAGCACTGTCCCGTTCAAACTAAGTTGGATGCCTGCCCAAAGCCTCTCGTGGCCGTCCACTGCACACAGATCAGAAGTCCAAGGCCTGCTCACCCCGCTCCCTGACGATGACAACGTCTGGAGTCCCTCTCCTCCACTGCACTCCCAGCCCCGGCCCCAGCCATGCGGGCCTTCTCCCCACCCTGCAAATACAGCGTCCTTGTCACTGTCCCAAGTCTTCCACCGTGGCTCCTGCCTCCGGAACACTCTGCACCCACGACCTTCACGGCCGCACTTCTTTCAGGCTCCAGGTCTCTGCAAAGACCTCATGCCCCCAGAAGAGCATTCCTTACCTATGGGGGTCTTGGACCCAGCTCCCAGGCACCCACACACACTTTGTCACGTTTTTTCCCCTGAAGTCACCTGCTTACTGCCTACAGCCCCAACCCCCACCAGAACGTGCGCTCCATCAGAACATGCAAGTCAGGTCAGCTGCACAGCCGCAGGGCCCCCACAGGCAGAGCAGGGAAAGGAAGGGGGAAATGTCTGCTGCGTGGAGAAGCGGGTGCCCTCCCAGGTGGTGAACAGCAGTCAGCAGGAGCATGACGGACAGCCAAGGATAACTAAGGCAAGGCTCTCGTCCTCGAGGGACTCACAACCCAGGCACACAGGTGACAGCCTTACTGTCGCCGGGCAGCACGATGTTACTGTCAGGACCAAAGAGCGACAGGAGACAGAGAAAGAATCAAATCAGCTCTTCCTGGGGGGGTCCAGGGGCCTTTGCAACAGGTATCTGGGCCAACTCTTGAAGTCCTGAGCAGGGGTTTGCCAGGGAGAAGAGTCCAAGACAGGCCGGAGCTGGATCCGAACCCACTGTCACAGTCGGGTAAGTACTGCAGGAGGGGGTGGGGCTGAAGTGTGCCCTCTAGCCCCAGACAGGCTTGCCACTCAAAGCGCTGTGTGGCTTCGGGCACGTCACTTCACTTCTCTGGACCTCAGTGTCTCACCTGTAAATGGGAATAATCGCAGTAGCTCTTGCAGGGGTGTCCAACCCACGGCCCAGGATGGCTGTGAATGAGGCCCAATACCACATCTCCAATTTACTTGAAACCTGTTTCGCTCATCAGTTTTTGTTAGTGTCTGTGTATTTGCTGTGTGGCCGGGGGACGCCCGAAGGCTGCACATCCTGCTTTGCAGGCTTGTTGTGAAAACCGAACGTAACGCACAGGGGCAGGCCCTCAGCCCGGCGCAGCCCCCACCGCCTGCCCACTGCCTCTGGAGAGCGCCCGCTGGCTCTGGAGAGCGGCTGAAGGCGGACGTCTGCTGTCGACCGACCAGACTAATCGCAGTGAAGATGCGGACGAGGCCCTGGGCTACACGCTCGGGCTGTCTCCGAAGAGGAAGGCAGACACACTCGGCCCCTTCCCACGCACCCTCACACTCCTGGGCTCAGCGACGGCTGCGCACCGAAGACGGAGATACTTCTAAGGGCCACCTGGGACTTAGGCGGACCCGTGACAGAAGAGCAGGACTTAGAGAAGGTACCTGACGTCCTTGGGAACTAACTCTCTGTCACTCTCAGTTTACAGAAATGAAAAACGCAGCTAGGTAATTCCAGTTAGAAGAGGCTTTACCAAGTATTCTCTGAAGGGAAAAACATTTCACAACATATAGTGGGTTACTCTAGATGCGCTGTAAGAAAGTACGGCTATCATTGACATCATGTTTAAGAAGTAACACGCACACAGCTTCAGATTCAAGTGCAAACAGATGACCTTTGAAAATAAGGGCAGCTAGCCCTGGCTGGCATAGCTCAGTGGGTTGAGCTCGGGCTGCGAACCAAACCATCGCAGGTTCGATTCCCCGTCAGGGCACATGCCTGGGTTGCAGGCCACGGCCCCCAGCAACCACACATTGATGTTTCTCTCTTTCCCTCTTTCTCCCTCCCTTCCCTCTCTAAAAATAAATAAATAAAATCTTTAAAAAAAAAAGAAAAAGAAAATAAGGACAGCTAGAAGGCCTTCCCACCTCTCTTTTCAGAGCTTCTCAATGCTTGTCTTTCAGCCCCACAGTACCAGGAGCCCAAAGGCCCTCTCCCCTTCCTCTGGCCCGGGGCCCGGGCGGGGAAACAGCGCAGCCAACCCCAAACTGGACAAGGCCACCTGGAAATGTGGCTCGTGAGCATGCACCAGCACATCACTGGGGGCCACATTTTTGTCCCTAGCCTTGGCCTCAGACCTGCCACTAGTGGGTCTGGGGAGGAAGATGAGGGTGGCCAGTACCGAAAAAGGCAGTGAAGCTGAGGGTGTGGACAAGGAGGTAGACGTTTCTGGAACAAATAAGGCCCTGGGGCTGCATAGGACAGCTGCTCTCAGTCTGGGGCTACTTTAAGCAAACTCTGAAGGCTGTTTTTGCTTTGTTTTGTTTTGTTTTGTTTTGTTTTGTTTTAATGACGACAGGGTCTACAAAAGGGTCTTGCCTGCACCTCTGGGCCCCTTAGGTGAAGCCACCTGCCTTTCTAAAGGCCCCGGCTACCCTATCACCCGCTGGCACGCATGGTCACTCAGATCTAAGAGGATTTTTGCTCTTTGGCAACTGTGCTTACCCCCCATGCCGCCAACCGTCCTTCCGTCCGTCAGTGAAAAAGCCCCGTGTCCCCTCTGATCATGAGACCAGGAACCACGCGCATAACCTAGCCCGGAACACGAAGGCTGTCTAAAGCGTCACGGAAATGCACACTCAGGCCAGGCACCGGCAAGGTCAATGTTGACACGTGCTCTTCCTGCTGCATCCGTGCAGCTGGTTTTCAGCCATCACGGTGAGCTCAGACCCCAGCTCACGGGTGGGAAGGATGCTCTAGCAAACCTGTTTTGCATGCAGTGTTCACCTGTTCTTCAAATGAAGAGATCTGCCACCTGTACATTCTTAAGACATCCAACAAGCAGCTTGCATCCAAGACCTCATCGTCGGTAACTTCTTGGCAGGATAAAGCTGGAAACAAAAAAAAGTAACACAATGATTAAACTCACCACCGTAACAACCAACCAGAACACCCGCACAGCACAACATATCAGAGCTAATTGAGAATTTAATAACTGTAAAAGTCGCCTCGGAATTACATCTCCTTCACCATTCTTCCTTGTTACCTTAGTATATACTATGAAGCACTCTGTGTGTGTTGAATGAATGTGATTTTTCATAAGGCTGCAGCATTTAAATAAAGCAACTGATTTTCAGTTACTTGAATTATCGTCAACATACATTTACTGTTGCAAGGTTCTTACTGAACGAAGCGATTCTAACTCACAGCTCTCAGGGGCGGGAGGACGCTCACGCACTCAGCCAGTCAGCCCCGCACTCAGAGCTTCACCCCCCCCGCCCAGGACGGGCCTCTGCAGGTCCTTGTCTGCCTGTGAGTTTCTGGTCACCGCGGCAAAGCCTGGGGCCGCGCGTGGCAGCCTGAATGGGTCTGCGGAGTTGTTACTTTCGAGACGAATAAACAAAAATGAAAGTCTGATGGGCTGGCAGGCCAAAGGGGACTGGCACGAAATACTCACAGTGATGAAAAGCAAGGACCTACAACCTGGGTGACTCCAGCCAGCAAGGCTCTCATTCAGAAGGAAGGAGATCAAGAGCTTCCCAGACGAGGAAAAGCTAAAGGAGCTCATCACCCCCAAACCAGTGTTACAAGAAGTACTAAAGGGACTTAGGGCGAGGAGAAGGAGATAAGAAGGAGAAGAAATTAAAACTATGAATAATAAAATGGCAATAACTACATACCTACCAATAATTACTCTAAATGTAAATGGAGTAAATGTGCCAAGCCAAAGGCACAGGGCGGCTGAATGGATAAGAAAACAAGACCCAAACATGTGCTGCCTACCAGAGACCCACCTCAGACAGAAATACACACAGACTGAAAGTAAAGGAGCGGAAAAGGCACTTCATGTAAATGGCAACAAACAAAAAAGCAGGATGAGTAATACTTATATCAGACAAAATGGACTTTAAAACAAAGGCTATTAACAAGAGACAAAAAAAGGACCCAGCAATTCCACTTCTGGGTATTTATCCAAAGAAATCCATAACACTAAGTCAAGAGAAATATGCATCCCTATGTTCACTGCAGCATTATTTCCAACAGCCAAGAGATGGAAGCAACCCACGTGTCCGTCAATGGCTGAAAAGGAAGTGGTACATATGTACGATGGAATATGACTTGTCCATAAGAGCGAAATCTTGCCATTTGTGACAACATGGATGGACCTAGAGGGCATTATGCTAAATAAAATAAGCCAGACAGAGGAAGACAAATACCACAAGATTTCACTTACAAGTGGAATCTAAAACACAGACGAACAAACGAAACGGAGGTACAGAGAACCAATGGTTGCCAAGTGGGAGGGGCGTTGAATGGGTGGGTGAGAAAAGGTGAGGGGATTAAGAAGCATGACCGGCAGTTACAATGTGGTCCGGGGGATGTGAAGTCCAGCACAGGGAGTGCGGTCAGTAATACTGTAACAACTACGTATGGTACCTTAGCAGGCAGATCCCTTTGTAAGTTATATAAATGTCTAATCACTATGCTGTACACCTGAAACTAATATATTAAATGTCAACTGTAATTGAAAAATGTTCTTAAATTAAAAAAATTCCAGTGCAACTCCAAAGAAAGTTTGATGAGCTTATGAATTAGTATTATAATTTTAAAACTAGGTCAGCAGTTGGTAAACATTTTAGGCCTCATGGGACTCTGCAGCAGCTACTCAACTCGGCTGATGCAGCACAAAAGCAGCCACAGACAACACTAAACGAATGGGCTGGACTGTGTTTCAATAAAACTTTATTTACAGAAACAGGCGGTGGGTCGGAGTCGTCCCATGGGCCAGAGTCTGCTGGCTCCTGATGCTGAGCATGCCCCACGCACAGGGTATCACACGGGGCCAGAGCAGGGGGAGTAACACCACAGGGGCCTGTCACCTCAGTGCTGTTTCTGGGACTTCAGCCACTCCCCAGATAAACGAAGCCAGCCTGTTTCTCCTCCTTGATGTGCAGCCACTGCACTGGAAAGATTCCTTTGAACACTTCAGGCTCTGAACCCTGGAGGTTCCGAACACTGCCACTCACACTCCTGCCTGAACTTTGCCCTCCACGGGCTCTGGCTTTGTGAGTGGGGCCCTGTGGAGCAGCAGCAGCCCTGGCAGCCAGTGCTAAGAAGTCCCGAGGCTTGGCTTACCCACGCAGATGTCACCCTGAGGCCTGACCTTTACCTCCAGAACAAAGGGAGCGCATCAGGGAAGGAACTGTCCCTTCCTCTTCCCTCCTACACACGCCAGGCAGCCCTTCTGTTAGCGGCTTCCCTCCCAAGGTTAATTTTAAGTCCCTGTTAGCTCAGTTTTGCCTAAAACGCTGTGGAGCAATTTGGCACGGTCTACTGGTTTTCACACCCTACAATCCAGCAGTTTCACTTTCTCAGGATCTAACCTAGGGAAATATGTGTTTATGTACCTGCCTGACATGTACATGGGTGTTCACTACAGCCTGTTTATCAGCATAAAGCACTTGAAGCAAGTAGCTGAATGAATTGGGGTGTCTCAGTATTACAGATACTGTGCAACTGTAAAAGTGAACAAGGTTTGCCAATAACCTATCTGATAAGGGACTGATGTCCAGAATGTATAAAGAACTCTGGAGACCCAACAACAACAACAAAAAATACAGGAAATTTAAAAGTGGACAAAGGACTTGAATAGAGAATTATATATAAAAAAAAAGACATACGGCCAATAAACACATGAAAAGATACTTAACATCATTTATCATGATCATAAATCAAACCCACCATCAGATGCTACTTCACACCCATTGGGATGGCGATGGTCAAAGAAACAGACAATAACAAGTGTTGGCAAGGACGAGGAGAACTGGAACCCCTGTTGGTGGGAATGTAACGTGCTACAGCCTCTACAGAAAACAGCGCGGTGGTTCCTCATACATTAAACAGAATTACCACCTGATTCATATACTTCTGGGTACAGGCCCAAAACAATTCAGAGCAGGGACCTGAATAGAAATTTGTTATGAACAGCTATGTTCATAACAGCATTGTTCACAGTAGCCAAAAGGGAGAAATGATAAGAATATACACCGACTTATGAATGGATAAACAAAATGAAATATTATTCAGATTCAGCCTCAAAAAGGAATGAAATTATAACACATGCTACAAGTGGATGACCTTGAAGACATCACGCTAAGTGAAATAAGCCAGACGCAAGGAAAAGTATTGCATGATGCCACTTAACCGAAGTACGCAGGCAAGTTCATAGAGACGGAAAGAATGGCGGTCCCTGGCGCCTGGGCAGAGAGGGGAACGGAGGGTGGTTCAATGAGTAGAGCTGCAATACGGGATGATGAGAACTTCTGCCGATGGCGGCGGTTACGGCTGCACCACAATGTGAATGTATTTAATGCTACAGAACTGAACTGTACATTTAAAAATGATTAAGATGGTAAATTTTATGTTCTGAATGTTTGATCACAATTTTTAAAAATGGGCAAAGGCTGGCTGGTGTAGCTCAGTGGATTGAGCGCCGGCCTGTGAACCAAAGGGCCATTGGTTCGATTCCCAGTCAGGGCACATGCCAGGGTTGCAGGCCAGGTCCCCAGGAGGGGGCACATGAGAGGCAACCACACATTAATGTTTCTCTCCCTCTCTTTCTCCTCTCCTTCCTCTCTCTCTAAAAATAAATAATTTTTTTTAAAAATGGGCAAAGGACATGCACAAGCAATTCACAGAAGACAGCAAACACAAAGCCAATAAACTCGCACACACAAAAACTGCAGTGAACGAGGTAGAGCTTCCGCGTACTGCAATGGACGTTTCTCTAAAGCACTTTATGTTATTCGGTTAAAAAAATAAACAAATAATCTATAATTCCCGTGGGCACTTAGAAATGTGTTTAAATGCACAGGAAATGGTCTGGAAGCAGGCACTGATACCTTACTGGGGGGAAGGAAGGCAGGAAACAGGATGGGGTGGTGATAAAAGAACTCCAGCCTTCTCTGTAATGCATTCATTTTTCACAAGGAGAAGTTACTCAGGCATTACTTATATAATGGAATTTTTTTTCTAAAAGTCAAAATAAAAGACACTGAAAAGCAAAAGCAGAGAAAGGGCCATATATCCTAGGGACAGTGGACCTGGCACGACTCTGGTTTCTGGCACTGGGTCACACAGGCTGTGTTCACGGTTAGGACAACTCCCAGACCTGCGTCAGAACACCTATGTGGACACCGGCTTTTCACACAGACTTCGTGATAGTGTGTTTTGTTTTGTTTTTTAAGAACTTGCTTCATAAAGATTTCTGTGTCAAGAGGAGATCACATGGGAAAATACCTCCGTGAGACAATATTTAACTGAGTGCTTTCTCAATCCAATTTTTTACTGACTGTGAAAATAAAATATGCTTACTGTTGCAAGTTTTTAAAATATAGTTAAAAAAATGTTTTCAAACTATCAGCTACACAGTCCCAAAGTGGCTGTGGGTAATGCTGTGATCTTTTTCTGTCCAGTCTCTACATGTAGAAGTTTTTGCTTCACTGAGATCAAATGATATCCTTTTGTATTCTGTTCTTTAAAACTTAATGTTATAGCTTATGCCACCTCCCAAATTAGAAAAATAGACTTCATAAAGATGATTCTGAATAGTATATACTATTCCGTTGATTGCTTAATCATTCTACTAAACTTAATACTATAGCTTATGTCCTCTCCCAAATTAGGGGAAAAAAAAAAGACTTCATAAAGATGATTCTGAATGGCTATATTTTGGGTTGGCCAAAACATTTGTTTAGTTTTTTCCATACGATGGCTCTGGTAGTGCTGAGTTGTCTTTAACTGCATTAGAAACAATTTTGTTAGATTGTCTCATGACAGCTGTCATATCAGTGTGCATTTAAAAAAACTTATCAAAATAGGCAAATTTTTGTGCAGCCATTTTAATATTGAAGATGAAGAAAATATGTAACATTTTTGGCATATTATGCTTTATTATTTCAAAAAAGGTAAAACACAACTGAAACACAAGGAAAGACGTGTGCGGTGTGTGGAGAAGGTGCTGTGGCGGATCGAACATGTCAAAAGTGGTGTGCGAAGTTTCCCGGTACTGTCGATATTTTTGCCAAATAATCCTTTGCTGAGAGGCCGTCTCACGCACCAGGAGACGTTTGGCAGCCCCTCTACCCGCCAGAAGACAGCTAACGTACTCAAAACACCCAAATCAACAAAGCTATTGGTGAAAATGAAAAATATGTCTTTGATTTTTCGGAAAAAAATAAACAAACCTTTTGGCCAGCCCAATACTATTCTGTCAATTGCTTCATCATTATACTGTCGGACAACCACCATCTCTCCCTTCTTTGCCCCCAGGATAACCAGGTGCTGGAGATCTCTGCGCATGTAACGGCATTTCCCAAATGACGTTCTATGGAGTGACCTCAGGGCGTTATCAGATGTTAATGTGGTAGGAAGGGGTGGGGGGCAGTGGGCAGCTCTGGAGTCAAAAACGGTGGTTTAAAAATGAAGTTAGATCAGCGATGTCTTAAACTCATATACAGAGTGCCTCTCCACGCTCGGGGCCCGGATCCAGCCGTTCCTGAACTCTGAGAACTCCACTGCGGGCTCGTGTCAACGACGGACCACACTGCTATTTCCATACGACAGACTTGCAGACAAGGCATTACTGAGTCAAAGGGCACTGAGCATTTGGCGAGCTATTACCGTGTGGTTCCAAACGGCTGTCCTCAAAGCCACACCCCCACCAGTGAGTATGGACACGTCACCCAGCAGCTGGTCAGGGTGGTGGGTTTGGTTTTCAATCCTTGCTGACAGGCGAAAAAACATAGTGCCTCGTTGTCACTTTATTTATATTTCTTTGATGACGGGTAAATTCAATATTTGAGTGTCTGTTATATATACACTTTGTCTCAAATACAATTTGTATTATTCCCCTTGTAAATTACCTTCCTTCCTAGCCTAACATACTTAAAAAATAAAAAATAAAAAACTTTAATGTTTTGGAAGCCAGAGTATTCTGTGACCAAAATGGTTACATCTGTAGTGAATTTTCTTCTTCCACAGAAATCTGTTACCACCAAACTGGTAATTTTTAAAATAGATGGTCATATATTTGATTTGTTTCTAAAGCAGCTGTTTGTATCTGTTGGGCTCTTAAGTGCTTTTTTCATCATGATCTGTGCAATCTTTCTCTGCACAGAGGCTGTTAGCCCTCTGCCTGTCATCTGGGCTGCTACTTTGAAGATGTACACAGTCCCCCTTCACGCCCCACCAGATAGATACCTTTCAGGAGCTGCAGCAGCGTTAAGGATAAATACTGGTGCGTGGGGGGCTCCTTCTGGTCCCTGGTGTACTGGGTGGTGAACTCCTCCAGCCACCGAATGAAAGCGGGGCAGGCAGACAGGCCTTGCAGCAGTGAGTTCATGAAGCAGGTGTTCCCCAGGTTGACCAGGCCAGGCACAAGCCCTAGGACAGGGGGGCGGGAGAGAGAACGGCACACTACGTCGGACCAACTCTTTCCTTCCTGCCCGTCTGCGGCCCAGGGTTTCTGCACTGTGGCCTTGAATTTGAAATCGAATGTGAGGAAGTCTTTAACCACGGACATCCAGAGCCAGGCATTCTGTCCGTGCCGAGGCCCTGTCCTAGTTCTGCTCCTTCAGGACACTAGCGACGGAAGGACAGGCCCCCTCCCGTGCTACTTCTGAAGCCCACAGTGGTGTCTGGCGCGGTTTGGTTTACACCGAGTGTACAAAAAGGCACAGTAACATCTCCCCCTTTCTCTTCCTCACCCTCTTTCCCTCCCTCACTCTCCTCAGAACAATGCTCCTCAGAATAGAAGAAAACAATTGTTCTGCTGTTGTTCCCCCGGACCATGATTGTGTTTGTACAATCAGTGGGAAAGACACTCTAGCAATTCTGACCCATCTTTCTGCAAAGAGGTCAACAAAATCTGACATACTCCCCGCTTCCGTTCAAATTTTTTTTAAAACTTTTTATTATGAACGTTCTCAAGCATGCATAAAAGAGAACATATAATAAACTCTAGTTATAACCATCCTCATATTTAAGGGTGATCAACATTTTGCTACATCTACCCCTTCCCTCCCCAAGGCTGACTTTTAGTCAATATCATTAGAGCAACATTTACAAAGGGCACATTTAAAAAAGAAATAAGGAAATGGACATTTGCGTTAATGAAGAAAGAACTTGGAACATTTACTAGCGACTAGAAGCTAGTTACAGAAACCACAAACGCATCACACAGTTAAGTCAGCTGTGCTGCTAAAAACCATCATTACCATATTAATAAGAACACTCGACAACTAAGCCACCTAAAATTTCTCATTACAATGCATGTCTCAAACTCAGGACTTGACAGGAGGAGAAATATAAATCTCTTTACGATAGGATATAACATAGTGAGCCATTAAAATTAACTTCTGCACAAGAACACCAAAAATGCCCTCCCCTTTGGTAGTGTTTTGGGGGAAGAAGGGTTTGGGTCAAGTCTACAGACCGTGATGCCAGGGCCTCACGCTTACCTTTTCTACGCTTCTTTCTTTCTGTGATGGGACCCCAAATAACATATATTCCTGCTGCAAGAGCCGCGGCGAGTCCACCTATGACACCCCAGTTCTTCATGACTTTATATCTAAAAGAGAAAATCAGTTTACTGTCCGCCCTCATCACAAGCCCATTAGGTGAATATACAGATAGAGGAAGAAGTAACGTTTCATCAAAATAAGCCCCTGGCCCGCCAAATACCTAACTTTCAAGTTAAAGTAACGCACAGTACAGGATTATGGCCCAAACCTCAGCACATTTCGACATTAGGGTTTGAAAGCTACATCAGAGCACAACCTTCCAAAAGTCCCGCCTCACTCGGAGGAGAAGCCGGGGCGTTCCTGCTACTCTGCCTCTCACTCTGCTGCCACCCTGGCCACCCCCCAACAACCCCCAACCTCAGGCCTTTGCCAGGCTGTTCCCTCCGCCCGGTGTGCTCCTCCCCAGGGCACGGCTGGGCTCACTCCTCCACCTCCTCTTCCCGGGCAACACGCTACCGGAACCTGCACTCCTGGTCCCTTTCACTCACTTTTCTGAGTAAAAACTCAGTTTTCTTTTCACTTTGTAACAGAAAATTCACCTATTCACTCTGTTGATTGTCTGGCTTCCGCAAATGGAAGGCAAAGTGGCCAGGGCAGGAATCTTTGTCGCTTTATTCGCTGGCGCATCCCAAGTGTCTGGAACAGCGATTTCCCACCTTTTCTGTCTTGTGGCGGCACACATGAACTAATTACTAAAATTCTGCGGCACACCGAAAAGTAGGTATAATTTTGATTCATTCACACTGGATGGCTATTGTTGTCTTGGCTGTTGTCATTTGTTTTTTATTCGACAGTCTAAGGGAAAATAGTCGGGTATGGCATATTTTAACAATTCTTGCGGCACACCAGTGTGGCCATGGCACACTGGGTGAAATTCACTGGTCTAGATCATACTTGGCACATAGTAGGTTCTCAATAATGTTTCCTGAATGGTTGGGTATTGATGAAAACATAGAAATGGATGTATCTTTCGGAGTACTGATGAAGAGGGAGTATATAAGGAATGGTACACAAGATCTTCTAAGTAATTATTATATTAAAGATCCTTAATTTTAGGCTTGTCTTGAACACTTAAGTTATTCTTTCACTACACATTTAGAAATTTCACCAGCAATTTAAACCACTGTTTTTATACAAAGTTATGCCTTTCCACGGACTAAAGCAAACTGGATGTGTGTTTATAAATATATACGTGCAATATATAGGTATTAGATATGTTTGTATATAGGTGTATATGTGTGTGTGATACATTCTTCTCCCAATATGTGGATCATGTAAATATCGTTTTGATCTCAGCTACTGGCGACACTAGGGACTCTTATCTTACAGCTACTGACGTTTTCCTAGTGTCATAACTGATATGATGCAAACCTGATAACTGAATTCCAAATGAATCTTTGTTTGCCCAAGCAGAGTCAACACCGCCCAGAGCTTGGTTAAGAAAGGGGCATTGCATTGCTCGGGCATGCTCCGGCGGGCACTCTGGGGCGCTGTATTTTTAAAACATGCAATACCTGACTATTTAGTGAGGGGCGCTGACCTCTTCTCCCTTGGTTTCTCAGATACAAAAAATGACAACAGCCAACACAATAGCCGGCCGGTGTGAGTGAATCAAAATTATACCTATTTTTGTCAGATCTGCATAAAATATATTTGTTGGTGTGTCACAGCATTTTAATAACTAGTGTGTGCCATGAAATGAAACCGGTTGAAAATCGCTGTCCTAGGGCATCATTTCCCCTTCGAAGGCTCAGCTTCCTGATGGGTAAAACGGGGATGCTCCTGGGACCTACTTCAAAGGCTTCTTGTCCGGATAAAATGAGCACTGATGCACAGGGCACATAGTCAGAGCTTAGTCAACGTGCGCTGCTATGCTTATTAAGCATACTAATTTCAGTTTATTTATGCAAGCTATTCCTAAAGTTTCTTAACGCCTCCTGTGCTGACTTTTACAGGACAGGCATATTCACAAAGGTGTCTGGGAAGATCACCAAGGACCATCACTGAAAGGGTAAAGCACTTGCCCACACGCTGTCAAATCCCGTATTGAAGCACGAACATGTCATAGTGCATACTCCACGTCAAGCCCGGTGATAACCTGAGCTTGTCCTGCAAACACCGCCACGGAATAGGCTGCGCTATCATCTCCATCTTTACAGATGAGGAAACCAAGAGGTGGAGCCAACTGGTGGGAGCGGGAGCGGCGGTGCGGATCTGAACTTTTGCCTGTCAGGCTGCCAAGTCTGTGCTTTAAACCACCAAGCTCATGAGGGACACTGAGGGACAACAGAGTGAGGAAGGGTGGGGGCAGAGAGAACTTGCCCGTGCCCCACGCTGGGCACGGACAAAAAACCCTGGGCCCAGCAGTGACTCTGGAAATGCCCACCCCTCTGCAGAACGATAACACGTGGTGCATGCATGTAAAGATCTGGCCTCTGCCCCCAGCTCTGCTACCCAGTCAGCTGCAGGATCAAAGGCAAGGCCGTCTCAAGATACATTTCCTACCCACAGAAGGGGGCACCAGACAGCTCTGCCGCTGATGGCTTCCAGACGGGAGAATAAGTCCTTCAGACCTGCTCCGGGTCCCGAGGAAGGACGCTGACCTGAACAGCAGGTCTCAGTCATTTAGGGCCAGTGACGAAGGTGCAGCGCTCAGCGCTGAAGCCTGGAGCCCATGGAGGATGAATAAAAGGAGGGAAATAGGGGCCTGACAACTGGGGACAATACTGTTGGGGAGGGGCTCCTAGGAGGAACAGAGGACCTCAGCAGGACATGGAGCTTGAGCAGGTAAAGGGGTCCTGACTAGTTTAGGGGCCCTTGCAGATAATGAGTTACTAATAAGACAGGGGACTCAGATAGAATAGGGGATCCGGGCATAACTGGGAGGGGGACTGAGAGGAATGGGGGGCGCTAGCAGGCTCGGCCACTTTACAGGATTCAGAACCATGACAGGACTGGCGAGGTTGACAAGCCTGGGGAACCCCGGCAGGCCAGGAACTGGCATGGCTGGGATAAGGACTGAGGGTGTCCTGAAAGGATGAGGGGGGTCCTGAAAGGGCTGCGGAGGCACTGAGTGGCCCGAGAAGCACTGACAGGATTCGAGGCCTTGACAAGGTCCCTAGAAGTGCTGGGGATAATGACAGGACTGGAGGAGGCACTGGCAAGCCGGGGTAGCGTCACTGATAAAATCTGGGGCGCTGGTGACACTGGGGAGTGCAGACAGAATTGGCGTTGCCGAGGTCCGGGAAGCCCCAGAGGCCCGTCGCCTCTCCCGCCTCAGGGCCTGGTCGTCTAACCCTGCAGGGCGCAGAAGCCTCCAGAATGCTCGCTCCGGCTTTGAAGATCCTGACTAGGACGAGAGAAGGCCACCGGAGGCCCAAGCGAGGTACGCAGGTCCCGGCTTCTCTGGCCACCCCGCCCCCCAAGCTCACCTGACGGCCGCCCCAGTCCGCAGGAAGCGCTGGATGGCCCTGTCGGCCGCGCTCATCGCCGCCTGGGCCCGGGAGCTCAGCATGGCGGCCGCGCGGAAGACCTGCCGCCGCCTCCGTCCCCACCGTCCCCGCCGCCCCCGCCGCCCCCGCCACTGCCGCCGCTGACAGACAGAAGTCTCCGAGGGCTCCCGAGGCGGCGGAACCCGCGGCTATGTCCCTGATCTTCAGGGGAAGGGAGGCAGAAGGACGAGCTCCCTGGAGGACCGGAAACAGCCGCCACCGGAGAGGAAAAGCCAACGGACCACATCCTGCTTTTCCTTTTCCAATGGGCTCTGGCGTCGGTTGCTAAGAGATGCCCTGTGGCTCCGGGCTGCTGCGTTTGCAGGTTTTGCCAGAGCTCCGTTCGTGAATATAGATATCCCACTTCCCAAAGGGACCCTGTTTCCTTTTAATTTTTTGGCGTGAAGAGGACGGCCCCTGTCCGAAAGCGTGAGCAGGCCTCGGACAACATTATTACAGTCAGAGTAGAAGTAGGTGGAGGAGCAAAGGCCATAAACGAGCACGTGGTCCATCTCTGATGGCATCGACAGAGAAACCGAGGCCTTTAATGATAGCCATGAAACTTATTTTTTTACTTAGGTGCATTGCTAACTACGTCCCATGCATTATTCATTCATATTCAATCTTCACAGCAACCTTAACAGTATCTGCATTTTACATCTATGAAACCCAAGAACATTCGAGAAGTAATGCTTTTCGACACAGCTTGCATTTGGTAAAAACAAGATTGGCAGTCAAGAATAGCGCTGTTCAATAGAAACATAATGCAGGCCACGTTTTAAATTTTCTAGTAGCCACGTCAAAGTGAAAAACAACAGAGGAAATTGACAGTATCTTTTACTTGACCCCGTATGGCAGGGGTGTCAAACTCATCTTCACCGGGGGCCACATCAGCCTTGAAGTCGCCTTCAAGGGGCTGAAAGTAATTTCAACTCCTTAACAGTTAAGGAGTAGTTACATTTACACAGTCCTAAAGTTATGTTGGCCCTTTGAAGGCAACTGCCCGGCTGATGTGGCCCTCGGTGAAGATGAGTTTGGCACCCCTGCCATATGTCCAAATTGTTGTCATTTCTCCGTAAAGATTATGAATGAGATATATTAGTTTTTTTAATCTAGTACATTTCAATTTGGAACAGCTGCTTTTCATGCTCTTAATAGCCACAGGTGGCCAGTAGCTACCATGTTGGACAGCACAACTTACAAAGCATTAGAGCTAGACAGAATTTGCCCTCTCTATTAATCACTTTCCCCAACTCCAAACAGTTACAACTGCTTAGTAAAGAAATCCATGCTTTTGCTCAGTGATTCTCAAAAGCTTTCAGTCTAAGAACCCCTTGGTATGCTTAAGCTTGTAGAGCTTTTGTTTATGTGGGTTATCTAACTATATTTATACTATGATAAATTAAAATTAAGAAATAACTTCCAGGTTTTTAAAAACTGGGGTATAATTTATGCAGTAAAATTCACCTAGCTTTAGTAAATAGTTCTATGAATTTTGGCAAATGCATAATCATGTAACCATTACCATAATTAAGATATAAACTCATCATTCCCCCTCCCGCCAAGTTACTCCCTGTCCCACTGTGAAATCCTCCACCCGCCCACTTTCAGCTCCTGGAAACCACTTAAGACCGAGGAAGAATTTAAAACCTACGAATACCAAAGTATACCCTCCATTAGACATCACAGCCATGACTTCATCACACGTGGCATAGCCTCTGGAAAATTCCAAGGTACAACCGTGAGTGAACAAGAGTTAGGAAGGCAAATAATGTCCAAGTGTTATTATGAAAATAGTTTTGACTTCAATAACCCCCTGAAGGAGTCCCCAGGCAGGGGTCCTGCAATACACTTAGAGAATCCCTACTTCCTGCCATCCCACCCACAGATCCTACTTAGAAGTCTACATTCCAGACTATAGTTTAAATAATTGGCATTTATAAAGTATATCCATACCTAATCCATTCACAAACATTATTGAGCACTTTATATACCTTATTTTGATTTAACACTTGCAACAGCTACGTGGGTAATAACAGTACCTCACATTTCATGAAGTTGACCATGTCTCCTCCAGCCTGACTCTCACTGCTCCTCTAACAAATAGGGGGATGGCTGTCCTTGACTAAGAGATGTTCTGATCAATAAAGATATATTACTCATTATGATAATAAGGCCACAGCCAGGAACCAGCAAGGCCTGCCCTAGCATCCATCCAGCAGATCAAGGGTTTGAGACACCTTTGTCATTCACACAGTCACTGTTCAGAGTCTTGGAGATCTTTCAGCTGCTGGAATTGCTCTGCAGGCAAATGATTTATTCAGGACCCTCAACTCCTGAGGATTAAAAACCAAAATCAGCATTATTTCCAACTGCCCCCATGTGTGCTGAGTTGGACCTCTCCCTTTCACACCATGGAGTAGGTAGTTCCCTTAATAATGCAACTTTGTGTCTACTTTCAGAGATTCATTTCCTTTCAGTATATAAATTAGTGTCCTCTTTATTTTTTTTATGTAAATCTTAAATGTGATTCAAAAGTTTTCTCCCCAATTCCAGAAGAGTGAGTGGCCTAGAGAGAGAGAAGTATAGCTCTGAATACCTTCTTCACTCCCTCTTCTGGCTCTCCTGCATCTCAGAAGAAAGGTCTCAGAAATTGTGATCACATCATCACATAAAGCCACAGGAAATATCTAGAATCCAGTTGGGTATCTTTTAATGATTTTTTGAAAAAAAAACTTATATTTTTAGAAATATTTCCATTTTGTTACATGTTTGTGGAAGACCAGCTTAAGACCACTCAGTGGTTGTTCTAACCCACTTAGTGGCCTGTGCAGTGAGGGCTGCAGACTAGTCTTTAGTGGCAGGCTGAGCACTCCATCTTCAGTAGGAAACTGCTGAATAGACATGGAGGGCACCTGTGTCTTCAGACCAGTCAATGACCTCAGGCTGAGCAGTCCCATCTGCCCTGAAACCCCTCCTTGTCACAGCTTTTTCAGCAGCAGCCTGCTCTTCCTTCTCAATCTCTTCAGGATCTCTGTAGAAGGAGATATCAGGCATGGCCTCCTATGGGTGTTCATGGAAGATGGTGCCATGCATGGGCAAAACTTCCCAGGCGAGCCTCCACTGCATCAGACCCACTGAGTGAGCCCCCTTGCTCTTGCAAGGGATGGCAATGTCCACGTAGCACAGAGCAGTGGTAGGCAGGTTAATGCAAAACATCTGGGTGAGAGGCTGGTGGCCAACCCTGAAATCAGTAACCACCAGAAGTTTTGGCTCCCAGAAGGCTGCCTGATTCTGGCTAGTGAAGGCTCCAGGAGTGAAGTGGCCAGCAATAGGAGTGGCTCCAGTGGCAGCAGGAAACTTCAGCACAGCTTGATGGCAAGTGTTCCTGGACAATATAACACTGACATCAGCAGAGTTCTTAATGGCAACAATGGCACGAGCTGCCAGAAGCAGCTTCTTCCAGGTTCTCTTCATATTTATAATGTAGATGCTGACATTTTTCCTTTTGTAGATGTGGCGTTCCACTTGAAAGTCAAGGTTGGTGCCACCCAAATGGGTGCCTGCTGCAAGGAATTTGAGGACATCCTCCTCCTTCATTTGCAGGACATTAAGGACTCCTGACCTCGTGAAAGTTTCCCTTTAAGTTACATGGGAACCGAGAACAATGCTATCTGGGCCCCTCTCTGGATACCATGGAAAGTCTTTTTAGATTAAAAAATATATATCATTGCTTTCTATTTTCCTCCAGGTAGGTAGGAATCCCAATAGTAAGGCATATATAGAGCTTCCAGGTTAGCAAAAGCACTCACACCAGGAGAGTGCACATCCCAACTCCATGGGGACAGAAGCTCCCTCACACTGAGGACCCTCCTAGCCCTCACCCTATGTATCTCTTCAACTGGCTGTGCATCTGTATGACATGAAGTTTCCCTGAACAACTCTAGTAAATTAATCAAACTTGAGGAGAAGGTCATGGGAACCTCCAATTTGTAGCCAGATCAGGCAGAAGTTGTGGCTAACCTGGCAAACTACTACTTGCAGTTGGTATCTAAAGTGCAGTGGGAGCTGTCTTGTGAAACTGAGACCTTGACCAATAGGTCGAGGTTAGCTATGACTGTGTCTCCAGGGAGGTAGTGTCAGAATTGACTTATATTGGTAGGACACCTAGCTAGTGTCATGGAGGGTTGCTTGCTGTGAGGGGAAAACCCCACACATCTGGTGTCATAAGTGTTGTGAGTGAGTGTGAAAGTAAGAGAGAAACACAGTTGGAGAAGTGGGTTTTTCCCTACTTAGGAAAATTGGTAAAAGAACTAAAGGAAAAATGAGAACAATGTCTCACCAAATAGAAGATATTAATAAAGAGGTAGAAATAAAAATATAGAAACTCTGGAGTTGAAAAGAATAACTGAAATTTAAAAAAATTACTAGAGGGTCTTGGCAACAGGCTTGAATAGGGAGAAGAAAGGATCATGACTTTAACATAGATCATTGAGATTATTCATTTTAGGAACAGAACAAAAAGGAATGAAGAAAAATGAACAGACCCTCAGAGACCTGTGGGACACCATATGCATAGTGGGAGTCCCAGAAAAGAAAAGAAAGAAAGAGGCAGAAAAATATATTTGAAAAAATAATGGCTAAAAACTTTCAAAATTTGATGGGAAACAATAATCAACACATCCAAGAAACTCAGTGAATTCCAAGCAGTATAAATTCAAAGAAAGTCACAGCTAGACCCATTAAAATAGCCAAAAAACAAAGAGAATTTTGAAATCAGAGAGAGGTGACTCGCACACAACAGTAATCTCAGTAAGATTAACAGCTGACTTATCATCAGAAACCATAGGAGTCAGAAGGAAGTAGTATAACATATTCAAAATTCTTCTGTTCTTTAAAAAAAACCTGTCAACCAAGAATTCTATATCTTACAAAACTCTCCTTTAAAAATGAAGGTGAAATTAAGACATTCTCAGATAAGTAAATACTATATTTGTCACTAGTAGACTTTCCCTACAGGAAACGCTAAAGGGAATCCTTTGTATTAAAATGAAAGTACACTAGACAGTAATTCAAGCCCACATGAAGAAATAAAGAGCATTAGTAAAGGCATTTATGTAGGTTAGTATAAAATATAGAAAAAATATTTTTAAGGAACTGCATAAAGCAATCATTATAAATCTATGTTCATGAGTACATAGTGCACAGAGGTGTAATTTGTGACAATAAAAGCTTAAAAGAAGGAGGAATGAGATATATGAAGTTTTTTAAGTAAATGTTTTCATTTTATTTTTATTTAAACTTTTTAAAGCAAAGTTTTCTGTATACTACTGAAACTAGGTTGGTATTAATCCAAACTAGAATGCTATAAATTGAGATATTAATGGTAATTTCCAGGGTAACCATTAAGAAAATAACTAAAAATATGTAGTAAAAGAAATGACAATGGAATTTAAATAGTACACTAGAAAATATATATTTAACACAAGAGAAGGCAACAATGAAAGACTGAACAACAAAACAGACACTGAAAATAAACAGTAAAATAGCAATGTAAATTCTATATGAGCTATGATTACATTAAATTTAAATTAATTAAACTCTCCAATTAAAAACCAGAGATTTGCAGAATGGCTGAAGCAACATGATCAAATTATGTCTAAAAAATCCCCATTTTAGATTCAAAGTCACAAATAGGTTGAAAGGAAAAGGGTGGGAGAAGTTTTGCCATGCAAACAGTAATCAAAGAAAGCAGGCGTGCCTGTACTACTATCAGACAAAATAGACTTTAAGCCAAAAATTGTTACTAGAGACAAATAAGGACATTTTAGAATGACAAAAGGGTCAATCCACCAAGAAGATATAAAATTGTAAGCATACATGCACTTACAACAGAGCCCCAAAATACATGAAGAAAAATAGGACAGGAAGGAAGGGAGAAACAGACAATTCAAGAATAATAGTTGTACCCTGACTGGTGTGGCTCAGTGGATTGGATGCCAGTGATCGAACGAAAGGGTCACCAGTTCGATTCCCAGTGTAGAGCACATGCCTGGGTTGCCAGCCAGGTCCCCAGTTGGGGGCATATGAGAGGCAACCACTGTATGTATCTTTTGCACACCAATGTTTCTCCTTTTCTCTCCCTTCCCCTCTCTCTAAAAATATATAAGTAAAATCTTCTTTAAAAAATATAATGATAATTTGAGACTTCAATATCCCACTTTCAATACAGGACAAAACAACCAAACGGAGGGTCAGCAAGGAACGAGAAGACTTGAGAAACGCTGTAAACCAGCTAGATCTAACTTTCTTCTCAAGTGGACGTGGAATGTTCTCCAAGATAGAACATATGTTAGGCCATAAAAAAGAGTCTCAATAAACTTAAAAACATAGAATTACCAAGTATGTTCTCTGACCATGTGGAATATAATGAGAAATCAATAACAGAAGGAAAATTGGAAAAGTCATAAATAGGTGGAAATTACACAACACCGTCCTAACTAATCAATGGACCAATGAAGAATTAACAAGAGACATTTTCAGTACTTTGAATGAGCAAAAATGGAAACACAAGGCGATATTGTGGAGAGAAGATCACCATTTCTTCAATGATGACTCAGGCATTGTGAACTGCTTCTGTTTGACAGCCGCTTTGCTACCTCTCTGCAGGTGTACTGGCCACCAATTCACCTCCACCTCTGGTTTGATGGGACACCTCAGCACCACGAGCATGCTGGGAGTCCTGCAAGGGGGGTGTTTTACATCCCTCCCAAACACATCATTTGAGCGATTGCATTTTTTTACTGGGAGAGTTTCAGAGTTTGTCTTTCAAGCCAGCTGCATGGATCTTCTCTCTAGCCTCTCTGGGCCTCTCTAGTCATAGATTAGACATCTTGTACGTTGTGGCTGAATGGGACATGTGACCAAAGGATTCTTTGAAGTTGCTTGCCTTGACATTTTTAAACAAAGGCTTCACTTCCTAGCCAAGCCTCCCCTTTCTGCTGGCTCCTGGGGCAAAGTCAGGGCATACCTAAACCTCCCAGCACAACCCCAGCAACCTGGAGTAAACAGTTGTAGTTTTCCCGCTCAGTTTTTTCTCCAATGTCAGTTCCCCCTCCCAAAATGGACAAGTCTCTATCAATTTATACCCATAGGCTTACTTTGTAAAATTAAGTGCTCTTTTTATAACTAGTAGAATATTGTCCTTATAAAAATACGGGTTACAACTCAGCTGATTGGAGAACTGCTTTTACATAGCACATGCTTTTTATTTTTTAATTTTTTAAAAAGATTTATTTATTTTTAGAGAGGGAAGGGAGGGAGATAGAGAGAGGGAGAGAAACATCAATGTGTGGTTGCTGGGGACCATGGCCTGCAGCCCAGGCATGTGCCCTGGCTGGGAATCGAAACTGCAATGCTTTGGTTCACAGCCTGAGCTCAATCCACTGAGCTACGCCAGCCAGGGACAGCACATGCTTTTTATATTCAGTATTTCAGGCTAAGGGGCAGCTTGTCAGTCTCTAGTTCAGCCTCTATTTTAAAATACTCACTTTTTAAAAAGAATATGCGGAGAGCCCTGGTTGGGTAGCTCAGTTGGCTAGTGCATTGCCCCCACATGTCAAGGTTGTATAAATAAGTGGAACAACAAATCAACATTTCTCTCTCTCTCTCTCACCCCTTTTCTCTCTCTCTCTATAAGCTCAATAAATAAAAATTTAAAAAAGAACATGAGGAGGGACGTCACGGTGAGGTACTCTGACGTGAAATAAAACCCATCTGGCTTTTGGCATGCCCCCATTTCCCAGGCAGATGGGTACTGTGGTTAGCTGGAGGCAACTGCCTTTGTGATATTTTCAGCTGCCCAAGGATGTCTCAAAGGTCAGAGGTATGAAAACACAAGCTATATTTTTCTTGGCTCATACTATCATCCAGATATAACCCCAGAACAGGGATTCACAATTCTCAGCAGCATCAGGATCACCTGGGACCCTGTCAGAAATGCAAGCTCAGGCTTCGCCCCAGGCCTGCTGGATTCCAGACGGTGGGAGTAGGGCCCAGCTAGCTGTGGGTTAACGAGCCCTCTGGGGGGGCGGTGCTGACCCACATACAAAGGTGAAAAACCACTGCTTTAGAAAAATATAACCATTTTCTATAAAAGAAGAGAAAACATTACATATTATAAATTAATGAAAACATTATGTATTCATTTAATTCTCTAAGATTTTTTCCCATTGACTATCATGTACTAAGTACTGTTCTCCAGGTTTTCAGGGGGTGCAGGCAGGGAATATACATGTGCCAGGCTTGCACCGGCCTGGCTGCAGCCTGGGCCGTGTGGGGCGGGGGGCTGGTTTTAGACCCTGGTTGCCAGGGGCCAGAGAGAAAGGAAGACCCAGTGGAGAAATGCTGTCTCCCCTTTTCTCCAGAAGCTCATAATCTTATTATATAAAATTTCTCTATTTGTATGTTGGAAAAATTGGAAACCAATTTTAAAAGTAATTTTTTATAAAAGGAACAGCTTTTTTTGAGATGGAACTCACATGTCATATAACTCACCCTTTTTAAATGTACATTTCAAAGTCGCTTTTAGTATCATTAATATACGTGCCTGTTACCACATTTAATTTTGGAACATTCTTGTCCCCTGTAAGAGAAATCTCACATGCATTAGTAGTCACTCCCCGTTGAATTAGATGGGGGAGAATAATTTGGTTTAATTAATCTTTGATTTCCCAGCGTCACAGCTGTAGAAATCACTTAATAATGCTTGTTGGATGAATGAATGAGAGCTCTTTGCCCTTTTTATACTTACTTTACATTTCTTCTTGATTCATTTCACTAGACCTTCAGCTTCGTAATGACAATGACATGTCTGACTTGTTCTCTGTCACACGCCTAGCGCCTGGCACACCACAGGCACTCAATAAACAGTACTTGAATGCAGGATTAATTTTTTTTTTCATTCTCTGCATTTGTTATAACAGCCTGAATTCCAAGGATATTATACCCATCGCAACATTAGTGAATCCCTACAGATAAACATTTAGAGAGGCGTCGTCAACCAGAGAGTGCTCATTGGTACCTCGACAGCCATTTCACGGGCTGGGGCGCCCTATGGGCACCCCAGTAAAACACCACCGGCCCCAGAGAGCTAGTAAATTCTTCTAACCAGAAGGGCTCTCCCCGCCCCCTCTCCCCTGCACAGCCGGCTCTGCCCTCCGCCGCCTCCTCTCCGCCCACTCTCGCCGCGGTCTCCTGGCGGCGGCGGCTTTGTCTCGTGGGCTGCTCCCTGGCGGCTTCCTCCCCCGAGCAGCTGCCGCCAGAGGGAGGAAGCGGCGCGGGAGCTGTCCGGCACCCCGGTGCTGAAACCCCGAGTGCTGGTCATCCACCACCACCATGTAAGGGCCATGAAAAGGGCTCGTCCTGGCGCAGCGCGGACATGGAGGAAGACTTATTCCAGCTAAGGCAGCTGCCGTGAGTACCATGGGGGCGAGTGAGAGGCAGGCAGGCTTTCCTTTAAAAAAGGAAAACCTGCAGGGGGGCATCGCCGCATGGCTTCTTGAATTCAAAGGGGACTGTTTCAGAGGAAAGAATTAGGCCTGGAGGAGAAAAGCCATTTTCCTACCCCAGGAGCCCAGTCTCTATCTTTGAGGTAGTTCGATTTTTCAGATCCGTCAGAATCTTATGGGGACCTACAGGGTGTTATGTTTTCCCTTTTAATTGCTCTCAATCCTAGAGGGATTTTGAGGTCTGTGTTTTAAGAAAGCATTAGCTGCTGTTTGCAAATGTGGACTGAATTTATGAGCCCATGCAATGACATCGGTTATTTCCAGCCCTTCTCCTGTGCCGTGAAATTCCTCATTTTTCTGCAAGGTCTTTTGGAAGGGGATGATAATTGATGTTGCAAACTGGTTTCTAAAAAGCTAAGATGCCTTCCAAGAGGGAAGGCTTGGGCAAAGTCCGGTTGTTTTTGAAGTGTGTGAATGAGAGGGCTGAGCACCCTCGCTGAAACCTCTTGCCTTCTTCTGAATGGAAGGCTTTTGTAACAGCTAGAGTGAGACTCACTGTCAACAGCTATCCTTGGGAACATCAGGAATACACTGCTCAGAGGATGGGCATTTTAAAGCGATACCAAATTTGTTCTGAGACTCTTGAGGGAATACGACCGAGCAACGGAAAGGACAGGGGCCTTGCAAGGGGGCTTATGGATTTCTTCTACCACAAGCCGATGGTGATTTATTAAGCAAACTCCAAGAGTGTGGGATGGGACATTAAAAAGAACATTAAGAGGCACTGTTGTTTTATTTTTTTAGAAGCACTAGCCAAATGGATAACAGTAGACACCATTTGGATTTGTTGGGAAGGATATAATATTGTTAGCATGTGTGTATTTTCTGGACTTAAATTTTTTTATGTCTCTAAGCCACTGAGGAATTCTCCCAAGTGACTTTTAGTGTGACTGATACAGCTCTCTGAGGCTCTGAATACCGAAGGATATTGTCATATTTACTTCTTAATCTGTGTAAAATTAATTTCATTGCATATTTCAATTAATTCAAATTTTAATTTTAAGCTCTTATTAATGGATCCACAAATAACATATCTTATGTAATAAAACATTATTTCACAATTGCTCAAGGGTGCTCAGTTGATAATATGCAGAGGTTGATGTGTGAATACATAAAAATGGACATATCTGAGTGCAGATCTCTCAAGGAAAACATACTACTTTCATTGAAAATAAATAATCATGTTAAAAAAACCAACATATTATCCCAAAATAAAAAATAATTCTGAAACTCAAATACGAAATTTGGTACTCAGAATAACAATGCAATTGTTATTCTGACAAAACTGGAGCTGCAGTTTTACTGGCATAAATTTTCAAACAATGTCAGAGCATGTGAACTTTGCAAATTACTCAGAGGTTCATGTATATTTAACTTACTAATATATAGGTGTGACATTATTGTCACAATTCCTTTTTTTAAAGATTTTATTTATTCATTTTCAGAGAGAGGGGAAGAGAAGGAGAGAAACATCAATGTGTGGTTGCCTCTCATGCACCCCCTACTGGGGACCTGGCCCGCAACCCAGGCACGTACCCTGACTGGGAATCGAACTGGCGACCCTTTGGTTTGCAGCCCACGCTCAGTCCACTGAGCTACACCAGCCAGGGCTACAATTCCTTTCTTAATTAAAAAAGGTAAAATAATAAGAGGCTTTTACTTAAATTAAATAATTAATTAATTAATTAATTTTAAAGATTTTATTTATTTAGAGAGAGGGGAAGGGAGGAAGAAAGAGAGAGAGAGAGAAACATCAATGTGTAGTGGCCTCTCACATGGCCCCCACTGGGGATGTGGCCCGCATTCCAGGCATGTGCCCTGACTGGGAATTGAACCAGTGACCCTTTGGTTTGCAGGCCCACACTTAATCCACTGAACTATATCAGCCAGGGCTAAAATTTAATTTATGTTTTATTAATATATAAGATAAAGTACTATATCAACTATATAGGGTAAAGTTCAAAAAGAAGCACAAGAATAAAAATTCAGTCTCTCCTCAAACCCCAGCTTTATGTTTCTTGTTTATTCTTTCTGACATTTTATGCACACAAATATATGTAATATCTGTTAGAGAGGCCAAATTGTGTACTGGTGAAGAGCACTGGGCCTTCCATAAGACAGACTTGGGTTCAGACCCTGACTCTGCCACTTCCTGGTTATGTGACTTCAAGCAAGTGACTTAACCGTTCTAAGACTCAGTTTCCCTAGCCATAAAATGGGGGTCACCATAGTACTTGGCTCAATGGGGTTATTGTGAAGCTCAAGTGAGCTAATATGTACCACATACCCGACAGACACAAACCACTCAACATACATTAACTACTATAATCATTACATCTGAAACATCATTTATAAAAACAAAATATATTGGCTCCTGATGTTGGACTTCCAAAAACTGTAATCTGCAAACCCCAAACTACATTTGAATGAGGTCAAAATTAGCCCTGAGATGTACTGACCTTGATTTATGTTTTTTTAAAGAGTAAAGTAAAAGGAATAGCTGTGTGGATTTGAGTGGGTTACAAATCATGACTTGGATGGTTTTAAACCACACCCTGTCTATGTTATGCACAACTTGTAGGCAGCAGATTTCCCGAGAGCACTATGGTTTTAAAAACTGGAATGCATTGTAGAGGGTTGCCAAGCATGGGCTTTGGAATAGGTTCAGACCCTTGGGAGGCCAAGTGTTAATAGATTATAAGCCACTAAGAAGTTTACAGGGTCAGGGCTTAGGGAAAAGGGAATGAGGATGTCTAAGGAAACAACTCCTCCTTGTACTTGGGGTCTCCTTCACGGAACTCTGGGATGGCTCATTTGAGACCAGCAGCTTTTCACCTGCTGTCCACTCGGGCACACCACCATGCACAGGAGATCCAAGAAGCTGAGATTTGGTATTTAGTTTGGCCTTCTGCAAGCTAGACTATTCTGAGTCTTTCCTTTCTAGGACAATTTCTTGAAAGCAACTTCTTATTCATTCATTCAATTTACTTGGGTGCCATCCTTGACACAAGAGATTCTACAACTGAATAGGGTTGACATTATCTCTGCCCTTGAGATGCTTATAATCCAGCACCATAATGTTTGATACAGTAGTCACTAGCTACATGTGACTATTTAAATTTAAGCCTAAATCATGCAATTTGTATGTGAAATAACCTTTACAGTATAATATATAGTATAAGTATAATGTACAGGTAAAATACATGAAATTTGAAATATCAGTCCCTTGGTAGCACTAACCACATTTTAGGTGCCCATTAGCTACATGTGGCCAGTGGCTGCTGTAAACACAGCTCAGGTCAGAAACATTCCCATCCCTGCAGAAAGGTTTATTGAATGGCACTGACCTGGTGGGAGAGGCAGACGCTGAACACATAGCTGCCCAATAATTAGGAGAATGGTCTTACAGGCTACACAAGGACAAGTTCAGGGTACAATGAGACTAGTTTTAGAACGAGGAGGGAGAGGATCGGAAAAGACTTCCTTGAGGAAGTGGCACTGGGGCTGAGTCCCCAGAGATGTGCAGGAGTCGTCCAGGAAGAGAGATGGGACGTGGAGAAGTCCAGACAAAGGGGACTGTGTGTGAGAGGGGGAAGTCCAAGTCAGGCCAGTGGGGCAGACTGAACGAGTGGCTTGGGAGAAGGCTGCAGAGGATGGCAGGGACCGAGCCATACAGGACCCTGCAGTTTGTGACAAGGAGTTAGAATTTCACCCTATGCTCACTCAATCCATTTTCTATCCTTTCTTACAAAACCTATCTTTCAAGATTGAGCTTAAGTCCATCACTTCAGTGAATCTTCTCCTGACTTCTCCTGGTCTTAAATGGGGGTAAAAGACCGGGGTTCAAATCCTGACTCTGTCACTTATTATCTGGGTGGCCTTGGGGCTGGTGACTTTATCTCCCCAAGGCTGGGAGCTCATCTTTAAATCAGGGTAGTGACAGTCTCTGCATGACGGGAAGATCACCACTGTGGAGCTCTCGGCCCAGTTCCAGGCTCCAAGTAAGGGCTCAGTCAATGACACTGATGTTATTTGTCTTCCTTTACTTTGGGTTTGTCTCTCTTATCCTCCAACTTGTTCGGGTAGTAAAGCACCAGGAAGCTGTGGTCTCCTTCTTAGAACACTAAGCAAATATCCTACTGAAAGCTAATGAAAGTACATGTCCAAACTTCAACTCCTGATCTTTCCTCCACCTTGCTCTTTTTCCAGCCTCAGCCATCTCAGTTGATGGTAACTCTGTCATCCCATTTGGGCCCAAAACTTTGGAGTCAAGTTTGACTCCTCTTTCTCTTACATTTCACTTCAATCCACCAAGAAATCCCCCTGGTCTCACCTTTAAGCTATATCCAGACTCCAACCACTTTTCTCTACCTCTACTGCTGTTTCCTGGTTCAACACCCCATTGTCTCTTGTTTGGATGTATTGCAGTGGTCACTTTACTGGTTTCCTGTTCCTGCCCTTGTCTCCCTACAGCCCCTTCTCAACACAGCATCTAGAGGGATTCTTTAAAAGTCAGAACGTGTCCCTCCTCCATTCAAAACCCTCCCGTGGCTCCCCATCTCACCCGTCTCTTCCCCTCTGCCACCAACTCCTCCTGCTGCAGCCGCTCTGGTGTCCTTGGTGTTTCTCTACCATTGCAGGTAGACTCCTGCCTCCGGACCCACTGTTCTCTGTCTAGAAAGCTCTTCCTCAATGTCTCTGCTTCACCTGTGTCAAGTCTCAAATGCTACTGTCTCACCAAAGCCTACCCTGACCACCCTCTTTAAGAGTGGAACCGTCTCTCACAACTATTAACATGGCTCCTATAAAAAAATACAAATACGAATAATAAGTGTTGACCAGGATGTGGAGAAATTGGAATTCTTGGGTACTGTTCGTGGGAATGAAAAATGGTGCAGCCTCCGTGGAAAACAAGATGGCGGTTCCTTTAAAAATTAAAAATATGCCCTGGCTGGCGTATCTCAGTGGATTGAGCTCAGGCTGCGAACCAAAGTGTTGCAGGTTCAATTCCCAGCCACGGTACATGCCTGGGTTGCAGGCCATGACCCACAGCAACTGCACATTGATGTTTCTCTTTCTCTATCTCCCTCCTTTCCTTCTCTAAAAATAAATAAATAATATCTTTTTAAAAATTAAAAATAAAGCATGCGATCCAGCAATCTCACTTCTGGGTATATACTCACGAAAGAATTGAAAACAGAATCTTGAAAATATATTTGTACACTCCTGTTTACAGCAACATTATTTTCAATAGCCAAAAGGTGGAAGCAGCCCAAGCATCTCTTGATGGGCGAGTAGATAAACAAATGTGGTCTCTCTAGTCATGCAATGGAATATTATGCAGCTCTGAAAAGGAAGGAAAGTCTGACACCTGCTACAACGTGGATAAACCTTGAGGACATCATTGTGCTCAGTGAAACAAGCCAGTCACAGACAGACAACTACTGTATGATACCACTTACGTGGGGTACATAGAGTAGTTCAGTTCATAGAGACAGAAAGTAGAATAGCAGTTGCCAGGGGCTGCAGGGGAAGAGGGTGGGGAGTTGTTGAACGTGTACAGAGTTTCAGGTTTGCAAGATAAAAAGAGTTCTGTGGCTGGATGGTGGTGATGGCTGCACACCATCACGAAGGCGCTTAGTGCCGCCAAACTGCACTCTCAAAAATGGTTAAATGGCGAGTTTAGTCGTGTGTGTATTTTCCCACAGCTGAAAACAATGCCGCCCTCTTTCCCCATCTGCCAGCACCGTGTTCTACTTTTCCCTTTCTCGTAGTGCGTATCACCTTCTAACATATAATTTACTTATTTATCCGTTAGTGGTCGTCTTCCCGCACTAGAGTGACAGCTGCACATGGCAGGGGTCTCAGGTACCCAAGCACCTGGGACGTCACCTAGGTTCCATCTGATACTGGGTTCCAGTGTAGACCAGCATATGGAGGCCGAGAGATGAAAACCCAGAAAAATCTGTTCATCACCTTGATCATTCTGCTCAACAGTGGTGGCTACACGGCTGCGTCGACCTGGAAAGATCAGACACAGCCTTGTTTCATCGTATTAGTCTCTTTGCTTCCCCATCTTCTTCTTAAATCAGGGAGGTTGGGAGAACGCATTTTGACTTAGTGACTACGTGTCTCCTTGATAACTCTTTGGGCCCATGGTCACCCTCACAAGGACTCATTTTTGAATTCTAGAGAAGGACCTAGAAGCAGGTTTCGTTTCCTCTGACTGAGGAGACCTCTGCATGATGCTTTCTCTCTGTTGCCTCCTTTCATCTCCATGGCAACGCTGAGAGATAAGAATTTTCATCTCCATTCTACCAGTCAGGAGACAGACTCAGAGAGGTAAAGGAGCCTACCCAGGGCTCCATGGCTGCTGAGTGGCATCGGCATGGGATTGAAACCCAGTCCCTTTGTGTGGCAGAGCCGGGCTCTCTTCTTCCCTATGGCAGACCACCGCTCTTCACGCAAGACTGTCAATGGCAGCCTGAGAGGATCGCAATGAGGTTTAAGCTTCCTCTTCAGTCTGATAGATTCAGGAGCTCAGGAGATAAAGGCCCAGAAAACTCAGATGAAAAGAGGGAAAAAAATCTTCTGTATCTAAAATACCTGAATCGAGTCTCAGACCCCCCAACTCAAGGGACGAGGTGAATGAATTTCAGGATGGGGCAATTAAGATCTTTACATTGACAGCTATTTCCTCAAGCTCCTCTCTTCTTTAAATAGTGAAATTATGTAAAATAAATGTTCCCGGCTATTTTGGTGAATTATATGCTATCTATACCCCACAAATGCCAAGGAGTTGCGAGCCAGCCTGCTTTGAAGCCCTCATATATTTAACATATGCCGCTGCTATTTTCTTTCATATTTCTCTTCTTTTTCCCCCTTGGGAAATCTTGGCTCGTGTACTTGATGCATCCTTTTAGAAACACGGCCGACTGAAGATGTAGCTTGGCTTTCTGAGTCTCATTTAATGTCAGAGGTCTCCTTTTCATGTCTGTCTTAAAACAAAGCTTCGTAAATAAAGGTGCCCTGGCTCCCTGTGGTTTGCCAGGAATGTGAACAGATCCTGGCTTAAAACTGCAGGGAGCTAGGCCGCTTTCTCAAAGTCACATTTCACAAAGGTCAATGTACTCCACGCTCAAGGCAGAAAGGTGGCTTGGGTGGAGGCGGGCGGGAGGGCAGCTAACATTTACTCAATGCCCGCAATTCCCCATTCATCAAGCTCAGTTAATCTTCCTGATGGCCCCGCGAGCCCTGTCATCTCATCGCCCCTGTTTCACAGATGTGACATGCTTAGCAGATGCTACCTGATCCCCAAGGGCTCTGTCAACAGTCGCTATTGTAATGGGTATTGATTATTAACAGGTAGATGCCCAGGTTAAAAATGGCAAACGTTACAGAAAGGTCCAAAATAAAAAGCAAACAAATTTCCTTTCCCTCCACACGCCTTGTTTCCAGGCAGCGCTCCTCCCCAGGAGCAACCAGTCTTCAGCTCCTCCTGTCTCCTTCCAGAACGTCTAGGCTCCAGAAGCATAAATAATCTCTGGCAGCGCTTCTCAGACTTACTTGAACTGCACACACTGTCTGGGGACCTGGCTGAAATGCAGAGGCTGATTTAGTAGGTCTGGGTCAGGGGCAGAGACTGCATGTCTAAAAAGCCCCCCAGGGGATGCTGGGCCTCTGGTTGGAGACCACACGTCAGTCTCCGTGGCTAGGATCTATCTAGGTCACGGGATCACATGCTAGTTTATTCAATAATGAGCCCCAACAATTTTTCCCAGTGGCTCTCACAGATGAACTTGTGTGCATGTTTACATATGTGTGTTTATTGGTAAGATACACATCACATTCAATGGACCATTGTGATTTGTTTAAAGCACACCATTAGCGGCATGACGGTAAGTCCATTCACGTTAATGCACAGCCATCGCCACCACCCACCTGCAGAATGTTTCCATCTTCCCCGCTGGAACTCGATGGCCACGGAACACGGGCTCCCCACTCTCGCTCCCCTTCCTCCAGCAACTGCCTCTGCCTCTGTGAATCTGACTCGTTCTGGCCCCTTCGTGTAGGTGGGCAATATCTGTCCCTCTGTGTTAGGCTTATTTCACTCAGCATCATGTCTTTAAAGTCCATCTCTGTTGTAACACACACCAGAATTTCCTTCCTTTTTAAGGCAGGATAATAGTCCATTGGACGGATAGACCACGCTTTGCTTATCCATGCACCCATTCACCCCCTGACGGACATTGGATCCTTTCCATCTTTGGCTGTTGTGATATAGATCAACTCAAAAACATTTTTTTAAAAGACATTTTCTTAAGTGGATGTGCCATAATCTATTTCCTCACTCCCTTCCTGAGGATTGCTTCTGGTTTTTGTTAATACTTATCACATTTAGTTAACAATTATCACATGCAAAGCTGCAAATAGCCTGCTAGCACCCGGGGAGAACAGCACCCACGGAGTGGCTGGGAGCGGGAACCCTGGGAAGTTGGGCAGCTTTGCCAACGTCTGGCTTAGACACCCACTGTGTGACCTTGGACAAGCTCCCAACCCCTCTGTTCTTGAGTGTTCTCATCTGGAATATGGGGATAGTGGAAGTGAAGGTTAAATAAGACAACCAACGAAAGCACAAACCCTGGACCTGACTCACAGCAAGCTAATAGTCCACATCAGCTGTTATTTGTGTGGTGAATCCCTACCTACTTATGTCTGTGATGAATTACCAGCATGGCCAATCTGGGTGGGTGCACAGAGCATTTTAAATTTTGAAAGATACCACAGATTACCTTCCCAAAAGGTTGCAGTGGTTGCTATGAGTCACAGAGAGAAGCACGGAGTCCTGGAGAGACCTTTAGGAGAGGATGTGATAAAAGCAGTAGTCAGGGAAGATGATCAGCCCACATGGTCATTTCCTTCTCCGACATCACCCTCAGAGTAGAGGGTGACCCACAGACCTTTCCTTCATCCCTGAAAATGAAGTGATAATGTGAGTAAATGTTCATGTCCTTCCTTTGCCTAGTAATTATCTGTGTTTTTATCTTGTTTGAATACCTTGGGGGACCGTTTATGGTTGTTTTTTTTTATTTTGGGGTTGCTTCCTGGGGACAGAGAGTCCCTTCCCAGAACCCACTTCACACCGCCCCTTTCTCAGTGGGGTGCAGAGTTTAACTGTCCCATCTGCAGGGACCATGCTGCCCCCAGGTCCAGCCATACTATTTCCTTGGGGGAATGTGGGCCCCAGGTGGCCAGATATTCTACTTAAAGAGACATCAGAAGGCTTGCTTTTTATGTGAACTCTTTCCATTAAAAAGTTGAGCGTCCACTTAAAAATATTACATATAAGCAACTTTTTGTGGGCATAATATAACCTTTAGGTGACCAAATGGTTATCTCTATTACAGAGAGGTGAGTCTAAATTCTGAAACACATGCTTCCAAACAGTATTCAGGTCTAGAATGAAGATATCCTCATTCTCACAGCCCACCGTGTGAACAGTGTCCCTTTGGAGTGGTGCAGTGCCCAACCTGTACACCTGCCTGTGGCAGTCCTGGCTGAGACACAGCCTTCGAAGTTGTGTCACCCCCAGCAGGCCGGCTCAACAGAAATGCCAACCCCTTACCCGTTCATTTCCCCTGACTATGAAAACAAAGCCTTTCACCTGTCTTGGGAACAAGAGCTGTGCAGCAAGGCCGGGGAGGGGGAGCTCTAGCCTTCATGACCGGATTTGCTCTGTCCTCTAGAGTGGTGAAATTTCGTCGCACAGGCGAGAGTGCAAGGTCAGAGGATGACACGGCTTCGGGAGAGCATGAGGTCCAGATCGAAGGGGTCCGCACGGGCCTAGAGGCGGTGGAGCTAGACGATGGAGCAGCTGTGCCCAAGGAGTTTGCCAATCCCACTGACGGTGAGGGGGCCCTGCGGCTGAGACATCAGCCCAGGCCACGGTCAGGGGCTCTGAGATGCCAGGGTTGCCTCCGCAGGTGGCACTTTCAGAGGGACCTCTTGAAGAGGCAAGTAGGAGGGCCCAGAGGGCCCAGGGGTGATACTGGAAGTGTGAGCTGAACCTACATGGCTTACATCACCAAGCAAGGTTACATCACAATCCCTGCCATCAGCATCATTGCATAACACTTGGCTGAGGACAGCATGACGACAGTGGTGATGATGTTGATGAGATGTGATGATGATGGTGATAATGATGATGGTGATGATGATAGTGATGATGATGATGGTGATATGATCGTGGTCATGATGATGGTGATGATGGCAGTGATGATGATGATGGTAATATGATGGTGGTGGTCATGATGATGGTGGTGATGCTGGTGACGATGATGATGGTGATATGATGGTGGTGATGGTAGTGACGATGGTGGTGATATGATGGTGGTGGTCATGATGATAGTGTAATGATAGTATGGTGATGATGGTGGTGGTGATGATGATGACAGTGTATTGATGTGGTGTTGATGAAGGTGATTGTGATGGTGAGAATTATAACACTGATGATAACGGTGAGCGTGAACGGTATTTTTGGTGAGCGTGATGGTAATGATGGTGATGATTATAAGCGATGGTGATGGTGATGGTGATGATGATGATGATGGTGATGATGATGGTGATGGTGATAGTGTATTGATGATGTGTGAGGATGGTGGTAATGATGGTGATATTATGACAATGATAATAATGCTGGTGGTGATGGTGGTGGTGATGATGATGTTGGTGAATGTGATGGTGATAATGATAATCGTGATGGGAACAGTTGACATTAGCTGAAGGTTTACTCTGTGCCAGGCACTGTTCTAAGCACTTTACACATATTACCCATTTAATCTTCACGTTTCTAATTGGAACTATTATGATCACCTTCCCCATTTTGCAGAAGAGGAAACTCAAGTACAGAAAGGTTAAGCATCTTGCCCAGAGTCACGCAGCTAGAAATCAGTCAAACTATATTTAAACCCAGGTGATCTGACCTCAGAATCCACATTCTTACCCATGACGCTGTGCTTCCTCTGAGTAGAGCTGTTCAAACCAAGAGCCTGAGGTGGTGCTGTGGGACCTGGTCTCCCCTCATTGCTTGATGCTGGTGGGTGAAATCATTCTATGCATTCCTGAAAGGCCCCCGATTCCCAACAGGAGGGAGAATTACTGGCCCGAACCCAAGGCCTGTTGTTCGCAGAGCTAAGGAGGCAATGACTGGGGAGAGGGGAGGCAGTGGTTAGGAGCAGTGTCTTTACCGTCAGGCGGTCTGGGCTCAACTCCCAGATCAATGCTGTGTCAGCTGTGTGACACTGGGAAAGTCCACTTCCTCCTCTGTAAATGGGGCTGAGCCTGGGCCTTAACAAAGTTGTGACAGGGACTTAATGAGGCAATGCCTATCAAGTTCCTAGGGTGGGGCCTGGCTCATGGTGAACTCTCAGCAGAGCACCATTATGTCATCATCACCCTTCATGTCACTGACGATGTTAGAGGGCTCACTCTGCTGTCTCCTCAAAATTTCTCCCGGAAAAAAAGCCAGAAGCAGCTCACACTTTTGGAGAACATTGATTGATGTTCGAGGCTCATGATTGACATCCCAAAAAAGCGAAAGTTGCCAGAAGTGATGTTGAAACCATATTAGATTTATGGAAAAGTTGTAAAGACACTACCGAGAATGCCCACATGTGCCTCCTGGGAGCATCAACCAGTGGACGTTCGTCACAACCAGAAGATGAGCTCTGGTGTAATACGTTTTCCTACGTCCCAGACTTTTTGTTTTAACTTCACCAGTCTTCCCAGCAGTGCCGTTGCAGGACCCAGCCCAGCACACCACATTGCACTTAGTCTTTTAGTATTTTCCAAAACACTTATTCGCTTACCAATTATGTCTTTATTTTTTCAGCATACCAATACCATGGGTTTATGTAGAAATCATTTAGACCCTTTAGAAATGTGCAAAGTAGGTAAGCGGCTGCTGTCCTCAAAGATGAGCCTGCGGCTACTCATCCCGACTTCCCCTGCGTGGTGCCCACACACACCTGCTTTCATCTCAGAGACACTTCTTACGGCACGAACCTCACCACACGCTGCCTGTCACGCAGCAATAGAGTGTGGACACCTTTCATTTGAGTACAGATGAAACTCTGCTTTTACAAAGTATTCTTTTTCTGACTATGCAAGTAATGCATTGTACAAGGAAGGAAGCTAAAGTTGCAAATGATTTCTCCCTTCCTGCCTTCAAAGACCACGAAAATAAAACCATAATGTAAATTTTGTGTATATTCTGTGCATAGTCACATATACTATACACCCATACATGCGTCCATTTCAAAGAAGAGAACCATACTAAATATTTTGTTGTCTATCTTGCTTTGTTTTAAAAAAATTAATTAACAATAATATATATTGCACACCACTTTCTATATCCGCACATTCTTTTTAACAGTCGGGGCATATTTTATAATGCGGATGTGTAAACACATAAAATTATAATATATGTCATCATTTATTCAACCAAGGCCTGTTGATAGACATTCTGCATTTTTCTGTTTTCCCTTTTGTAAACAATGTTGTCATGGATTCAAGAGCCAGGCATCTTTTCAAACTTGCTGGAATGCTTTTTTAGGATAAGTTCTAGAGACAGCATGTGCTGCCTTTAATGAGTTTGCCTGAGGTCCCCACCAGCCCCGCTCCACACCAGGACAACCGTGGGATGCCCTAACTCGCTTCTCCCCTCTCCCTGCCTCCTTCCCAGATACTTTCATGGTGGAAGATGCGGTGGAAGCCATTGGGTTCGGAAAATTTCAATGGAAGCTGTCGGTTCTCACTGGCCTGGCTTGGGCAAGTATTTCCGGGGCAGAGACCTCACATTTACTCCTAAAGAGACCCTTATGCATGCTGCTCCACTGGGTTTCCATCTACAAGGAAGGACAGAGTGCTTTCCACAAAGAGCCTTGGCTTGAACCAATAAGGTTTACCCTGAGTGACGCGGGTGGTAATGCAGGTCAGTGCTTGGGGGGAGTCGGGTAACGTTGGCAATTGCCCACAAGGATGAGTTGGAGCTCCTGGTTAATTGAATGGTTCTCCATCCTTTGGGGCTCAGGGCCTCTCTGAGATGATGAAGGCATCTGTGGAGCTCACCCTAGAAAATCACGCACAGATAAAACTGAGCCCTTTGTTTCATGAGGCGCAGGACCCCTGGTGAAAATCCCTCCACTGACCTATTGCAAACAGAGCATCTAGACCATTAGTACAACTGAAATTTATTTTTATTTTATTTTTTTAAAATTTTATTTATTTATTTTTAGAGAGGGAAAGGAGAGAGATAGAGAGAGAAAGAGAAACATCAATGTGCGGTTGCTGGGGGTCATGGCCTACAACCCAGGCATGTACCCTGGCTGAGAATCGAACCTGCGACACTTTGGTTCGCAGCCCGCGCTCAATCCACTGAGCTACGCCAGCCAGGACTGAAATTTATTTTTGAAATTATTTTTCCAAATGGATCTTTAATTTCCCCATATCGTTTTCCCACTAATCCGAAAGGCTACCTGGATCATCCACATATTCCCACAGCTTCATAGAGCTGCGTCTGGACTCTCATTTCTGTCCCATTGTTCTATCTAGTCCTGTAAAGGATGTTTAATCACCAAGGCTTCCAAGTATGTTTTAATATATTAAACGGTCACACTTGTTAAATATACTGAGAATACTACACGAACAAGGACCTCTAACCCAAAGACAAACTAATCTTTAATTGTACTAAAGAGAAAAGATCCTTGTCTCTCTATGTCTATAAAAAATGTTTTTCTTAGATTTTTGAAATGGGATGTTTTCCCACTTTATTCAGGAAGTGCCCCTATTGTTTTTTAATATGGAAAAATCCCACACAGAAAAACAAAGTTTAACATCTAGTTGTCAATTCCCGCACGGTACCACACTGTTTTAACTCCTAGAGAGTCTAACTTGTTTTGATGTGTGGTGGGTGCTCAGCAGGCAGGAGAAGAGGGGTTTCTGTATGCTGCCTTGGGGGTCCCTGGGTGAGGGGTGAGCCGTCCATGCACGGCGCAGCATCCTGGCCTCATGACCTTTGCTCCCCCTCTGCAGATGGCGGACGCCATGGAAATGATGATCCTGAGCATCCTCGCGCCCCAGCTGCACTGCGAGTGGCGGCTCCCCAGCTGGCAGGTTGCGCTGCTGACCTCGGTAGGCAGCTGGCGGCTCTCTCCTGTTGCATGCAGTTCTGGTCCCCCGGGTGGTCTATGGGGTGTCCCCCTGCTCCTGCTGCTGCCAAAGGCTCAGCAGAAAAGAATTAAACTCTGCATGGAAACACCACGACCTCAGCTTCCTTCCTTCCCCAGTAGGTTGACAACCAGTGGGACCACTGCCCCCAGGGGTCCTACCCCCTGGGGGCTCCAGACATGCTGCTCAGTTGCTAGGAAGTTGGAAGCCATCTGGGCATGTCACTTAGACCTTGTACAGCTCACTCGTCCAAAAAGGAGATTCCAGTACTTTCTAACCTCCTGTCTCCTGTTTTCATACTCTCCAAACTCTATCTTGCAACCTTTGATATTTTCGTAGCAACAGAACAAGCTATGTCTTTGGTATGGCTAGGAATTAGTAAAATGCTAGTTTTGCAGTCATACTGCCTGATTCCAGCCCAGGCGGCCTCCCTTACAGATGTGTGACCCCAATCAAGTGTCCTCACCTCTCTGAGCCTCAGTTTTCTCACCTGTAAAATGGAGACAATAATGACACCCGTTCCCGAGGACGGCTGTGAGGTTTCAGCAGTAACACGAAGCACGCAGAACAGTGTTTGCACCTCAGCAGGACTGCAGTGAACGTTGGCTTCTTACTATTACTGGGGTGTGACATCACAGGGTCAATCTGTTGTTCCCTTTCTCTGCGATGCTCCGTGTCTCGGTCTAACAGAAACCTTCTTCCCACCCACAGGTGGTCTTTGTCGGCATGATGTCCAGCTCCACCCTCTGGGGAAACATCTCAGACCAGTACGGCAGGAAAACAGTAAGGCCACCTCTCCTAAGCGCACGTCCCTTGGGTTATCTCCATGGTGATGGTGACAAGTAACAAAACTTATGCCGCTTGAGCCCTTGGGAGGCCTAATTAGGAGTATGTTGACACTCGGTGGGAAGACACTGCTCTGAGGCCACTGTGGATTCTTGAAGTCACCCATTCCCGGGGCCGGGGTGCCAAGCACGTACATCTCACAGTGTAGAAGATGCTGTTGGCCCCCACGTGATCTCCTGGGCACTCGGCATTCACACGAGGCCAGGGCAGTCAAGGGTTGGTAGAGAAAGACATCAGCTCCCTTGCCCTTAAGTATCACCATCTTTCAACCCCAGCAGGATGGAGCTCTGGGGCCAGCAGGGGACCCTGCCCACTGAGGCACCCTGAATGGTCTGCCGTCCCCACCGCTCCTGGGACTGCCACCTAATCAACTATTTGCACTAGAATTCTTGTCCAAGGGGTGACAGGAAGTGGATTTGCAAACACAAAGGGGATTTCCAGGTCTGGAATTGCAAGGAGTTCTTAAATTTGCTTTCCAAAAAAGTTTTACCTATTTACTTATTACTTGAGAGAGAGAAACATCAATTTATTGTTCCACTTATTCATGCGTTCACTGGTTGATTTTTGTCCGTGCCCTGATCTGGGATTGAACCTGCAACTCTGGCATATTGGGACAGCTCTAGCCAGCTGAGCCATCTGGCCAGAGCTGGGTGTTTACTGTTTTGTTACTTCATGGCTTTGATGGTCTCCTTTGTATTTTAGTTGTTTTTGTTTTGCTAGGCTGTACTTGGGCTCTTTGATTCTTTTTGTGTGTGAAGCTGCAGTCCTTCCAACTATCAGCGTAGGCCTTAGGGGTGAAACGATCTCCGTAGCTCCAGGTGAACTTGACTTCTCGAAGCCGCCACTCCACGGGTGCACGTTCTGAGATACTGTGCTCCCCGACCGCTTCATTCTTCTCTTTCTTGGACTTGCCTCATCAGCCTGCAGTTTCTCCAGAGGCAGGGTAGTCCAGTGGTTATAAGCTTGAGCCCTGAGATCAAGTGGATCTGGGCTCAGTCCTGACTCTGTGACTCCTGGCTGTGTGACCTTGGGCAAGTCCAAGTCTAGACCCTTAACCATGATGCTAGAGGATGGAATCCATAGGTGTTCAGTAAATATATGTTGGCTCAGTGAATGAAGGAATGTTCGAACAGTGCTGTACAGGAAGCAGACTCCAGCCACAGCCTCTCCTTCCAGGACTGGACAGGAAACACCTGGCCCAGTAGATCCGTGGGAGGTGCTGACTAATGAAACCGCCGGGAAGTGGCTACGGCAGGGCCAGAGGTGGCAAGGTTTGGGAAACCAGCCGTAGCCATGGTAGCCCAGAGGATCTTGGATGGCTTTAGGGGCTGGAGAGATGAGTCAGAAAGGCCTCTCCAGACGTCCTAGAGAGAGTAGAGCCTGGATTACTGTGGTCTTCAGGGGGCAGCTTTCTAGACTCTGCACCTCCCACCCACTTCCCGCTTCTGGAGGGTGTGAGTCACTGCTTTAGAGATGTTCTGGTTGGTTGATAGAGCAGAAGGAGATCTGGAGAGAGGGAGGGAGAGAGGGAGGAAGGAAGGGAGGAAGGAGAAGAGAAAGAAGGAAGAGGAAGGGAAAGAAGGAAGAAGGAAAGAGAAGAACCTTTTAAAATCAAATAAAACCATTTCTGTGGTGGAGCTGGGTTTAAGGGGCTGTAAGCCTGGGACTGTCTTTTGCTGGACCTAACCTTAACCTTCAGGCCTATGAAATAATGGGAAGGAAAAACTCTTCTGAGATCTTAACACGGCTTCTTCCCGAGCAGGCTGGGTGTGGGGACAAACGACTCCTTCCTCTCTCTCTGGCTAAAAACATTTTTTATTTACTTGTTCTTGAGGCAAACATGTGCATGCATAGAAAAATTCAGGAACTTGTAATGAGGACTTTTACTGGACCCCCAGTTCTGTCATCCAAATGCTAAATACTGAAGCCACGAAGGCTATCAGGGGAAAGGAGTAAAAATACCTTAATTTGGGGCCTGAATTTGCCACTGGGTGACTAAACCAAGTCAATTCCTTACCTTGGGCCTCAGTTTCCTTATTTATATTGAAGCAGGTTGGATTAGATAATAACTGATATTAACAGCTACCATTTATTAAATTCCTCAGACTAAAGGGCAAATGGGTTTTTGTTCCTTGGGTCTGTTCTAATCATTCAGTAGGGGATGTCAGGAACATGGATTTGAAGAGTCAGAAGCCTCAGTGGATAGTGCTGTGATTGATTAGTGATGTCTGCCATGGGCACAGAGTAGGCGGCTGGCTAGGTGAGTTTAGTCAACTGCCCGAGGAAAGGGGCAGTGCCTGCATTGTTCACAGAGGTGGCCCCAGCGCCGAACACAGCACCTGGCTTCTGGCAGGCACTCAGTAAATATTTCTTGAGTCACTGAGCTGGGTGCATGAGAATAAGATCTTGTTTCTATTTTTGGCGATCTCCCTGTCTCTCTAGACCAACAACTGACTTCACTGATGAATCGTCTTTGTTTACCCGAAAAGTCCACAAAGGTCGCCATAGCTTAGGATCCTGGCTTCCCTGGGAAGCGTGTGTTTATCCTGCCACCAAGGGCGGTGACTCACACGGCGTTCCCAGGAGGGAGCCCTCCAGAAGACAGATGCCTTTGTGTTTATGATGAGCCTCCGAGGGGAGAGCGCTAAGCTTGGGTTTGAAAAAGTTTCATGGATGAGTTTTCAGTCATGCCATTTACTTCATCTTGTGGCTCCAGAACACATTTTGGCACCTTCTACGACAGTGGTTCTCAAAGAGAGGAGTGAACTTTGCCTCCCCACCGACTTAGCGACGTCTTCAGGTGTCTTTGGTTGCCACAGCCAAGGGGAGGGGCGCTCCGGGCACCTAGTGAGTAGACGTCAGAGAGTCCGTGTGAAATCCCACGGTGCCCAGGGCAGTCCCCACCGCAGAGAATTGCCAGATCCCAGACGGGAATGGTGCCGAGGCTGAGAAGCCAGGCCCCGGGAGGGAACATGCAGACACTGCCAGTGGCCTTCTCGGGAGGAGTTCGTTCTTCATCATCTTACGGTGTCACCTGGGGGCCAGTCAACCCGCATCTCAGTATTTGCTCCTTTGCTCAATAAGGGGCTCATCTGGACAAGTGAAATATTAATATAACATCATCATGACAAGCATGGGCTCTGCGACCAAGCTGCTTAGGTTCAAATCCCAGCTCCTCCAGTGATGGGCTGCATGACCCCTGGCAAGTTCCTCAGCCTTGCTGTGTCTCAGTTGCCTTATCTGTAAGTGAGATCATGACGGTCTCTCCCTTTGGGTTGTTATGAAGAGTACATGGGCCCTTGACCCAAAGGAAGCATTTCAAAAATGTCCATCATTATTCCCATCACTTGCCAAGCTGATGGTGCAGTCTTGCTCCAGGGTTGACATCCTTCCCCCTGACCATGGTTGCTGGGAGACGTGGCTCAATTATCCCCAGAATTCAGTTGATCGGTAGGACATTCATCCATCTCAGATAAACAAAGCTTGGGGTGGGGGGCTGCCTGGAGTGTTTCTCCAGCTTTCCTGACCAGCTTGTTAAATTCCACAGCCCCTGCAAAGCCGGCTTGACCAGGGACAGAGGAGAGAAAGCACCCCAAAACTGCAAGGCCCCCTCGTCTCCTGCATGGAATTCCGGCCCAGCTTCAGGGAGGATGGATCAGGCACTAATTATAAACCTTCCCCAGAACTCTTCCAGGAGCAGCAGGCGAGCTGGGCAGCTGGCGAGCTTTGGCGAGTGCTAAAAATCTCTTAGCTCCTTGGTCTGCCTCCGCCCAGCTGGGAGGTGTCTGTGAGGGTGTCCGCTGCGTGACTTTGCAGGGGACTCACATATGGGGTTGGGACTCAGTGGGCTGCTTCTGTTCCTGCAGAAGTTTCTGGAGCCTGGGGGCTCGTGGCAGCCACCGAAAGGCAGGGCGACGTTGGGTGTGCAGACTCAAAGGGACGAAAATAAACGCATCCAGGTTCAAAGCCTAGTGAACGTGGAGCAGGTTACTCCACTTCCCTGAGCCTCAGTTTCCCCTTCTGCAAAATCGGGTGACAACAGTAAGAGCTCGTAGTGCTGTTTAAAGAAGGCAATGTAGGTCAGGGCTATGTTTATGGATGCTCAGGGAGCCTGTGATCATCGGTGACTTATTGGTTGGAACTCCAAGAACAATAGCTGCAGAATATGACCAGGTCACTTTGTAGTTCAAGGCCTGCAGGTCCACGTTATCCCTAAGGAGGGAAAGGCAGTGACCAGGGGGCCTCTCATTGCAGTGGTCTGAAGATTTCCCAGGCTTCCTTGCCCTGTGACTGTTTTTCCTTGTACGTGAGCATGACTGAGGAATGCCTGGCTTTGGGGGTTCGGTTAAGAGAGAGTCACCTGTAGGTGACTGAGCAAGCTCCTCTTGGGGGTGACAGGCCTGCCACCCAAATGGTAGCAAGACTTTTAGCTCCTTGGAGCAGGAGCTGGGAGCCTTTCCAAGCTCCAGGTTGCAAGCTGACGAGCCGTGGGCCAAACAAGGCCCACAGATGTGTATTCTTTACGCTGTGCAACGCTTCACAGGGTTCCGAGTCAGTTGCCTCTATTTCAAAAATGACACATTTTGCTTAAAAATACAAGAATTGCCCTGACTGGCGTAACTCAGTGGATTGAGCGTGGGCTGCGAACCAAAGCATCGCAGGTTCGATTCCCAGTCAGGGCACATGCCGGGGTTGCAGGCCACGGCCCTCAGCAACCGCACATTGATGTTTCTCTCTCTCTCTCTTTCTCCCTCCCTTCCTTCTCTAAAAATAAATAAATAAATCTTTAAAAAAATACAAGAATTATGTTTTTTTTTTAAACTGGCCTATCTGCAGCCTAGGATCCACATTCCATGAGGGTAACTTTTGATTTTAGAAATTGAGAGAGAGGGGGAGAGGGGAAGGAGAGAGAAAGAATCATCATTTTGTTGTTACCCTTCCTTATGCATTCACTGGTTGATTCTTGCATGTGTCCTGACTGGGAATTGAACCTGCAACCTTGGCATATCAGACCAATGCTCTCACTAACCAACTGAGCTACCCAGCCAGGGCCCATGATAGTAACTTTTGGCCATAGCTGAGTAGAGGCTGACAAGACAGGTCAAGTCCTTTTTCATGCACTCAGACTCACCTGTCCTTGCTGCACCGCACCTGTATGGTGCATGCACGTTCTCTACCAGAGGGCCCTGGAGGGGGGGAGTGGCTTGTTCACAGTACAGCACTTGGGGTTGGAAATCCTGGCTTCAGTTTGGACTCTGCTGATCCTGAACAAATCAGTCAACTATCAATACTTCTACCATCACTGTGCTACTTTGGAAATGAAAATAATCTCTTTCCAAAGGTTACTGTGAGGATGTGTGTGAATGAAAGTTCCATGAAGTCAGAGGCTCTGGCTGTCGTGTTCCCTGCTGCATCCCAGGACAAAGTCCAGTGCCTGGCCTCCAATATGTGCATAGTCAATGGATGAATGAATAAATAATAGCATCTTGAGTGCCAGGCACACAACAGGTGCTCAATACATGCATACTGAACAAATGAGTGAGTGAATGAATGAATGATACATATCAGTACCTCCAGTGCAGGGCACACAGATGTTCAATACATGTTTATTGAATGAATAATATGTATCAGTACTCTAGTGTCTGGCATACAGCAGGCACTGCATACATGCTTACTGTCGAATAAATAATTGAATGAGCAAATTAATGAATCTATAGTGTCTATGCATCTATTTCTAGAGGCTAGCATGCAGGGGATGCTCAATAAATAAACATGGAATGAGGGAAGGAGGAAAGAAAAGGAGGGAGGGAGGGAGAGAGGAAGGGAGAAAAGGAGAGGCTAACAGTCTAAAAGGCAGAACAGATGTTAGGGGAGAGTGACAAGTATAGCTAATGAGAAGCCCAGAGGACATTTCTGCAGGATCCCCAAGCAGTGCTCGGTGGGGACTTGCTGGCAGTGCTCATGGCTTCGCAACAGCCACAGCACTACTCACAAATGGTCGCTGAGTCCTCATTTTCTGGGCAGCTGGAAAGCCCTGGCATCAGCAGGCAAATGCAGAGCCAGCTGCGGTCTGCCGTGACCCCACAGGACAGGCCAGCGTGCCTGTGTGTGGTGCCTGGCATGCAGGTCACCGGTGACCTCGCTGGGGTCACACAGACAGCCCCGGGAGGGAGGCTGAGCCTCCGTGCCCCAGTCTGGGTGTCCTCTTCTCTTGCTTTCCTCGTGTCCTGCTCTGCTTCCCTTTTTTTTTCCTCTTTTTTCTGCTGCTAACGAGGTCCTGTTTCTGATTCGAGACTCTTTGGGTTCCAGGGAAGAATATCTCTACTGAGTTGGCTTAAGCCAAAAGAAAGGAGTTAAGTATGTACGTGGCAGGTACCAGTTTCATAGGCATGGGTTTAGGGGTGCATAAACGTTGCTTTATTATTATTGCAATAGATCCAGGGCTTCCTACTTTAATAATTCTTGTTGTACCTGTTCTCTGGTGCACGCTGTATCTTTTTTTTGTATGAACTGTTTTTTTTTTTAATAAAATGAATTCTGGGGGAAAAGAAACTTTACAGAGCCTCTTAAGTAGGAAATCAATAACAATTGCCTAAGGAAATATCTGCAAAAAATAAATGCAATGGAAATAAAACAATGTTATTAAGTTGTAGCTGGTTATTGTTGCCCCCCTGTTCCCTGGGTTCAGAGGAGAGATTAGTAGGTGGTCAAAGGGTGTTAAAGACAGACTGGCACCACCCAGGTGCTTCCTCTTGGACATAATCAGAAGAGTGGACATCGGAAGGAAGAAGAAACCACCTTTTTGCTAGGTGATTCAGAGTTATTTAAAATATTCTATTACTTAAAATCATTCCCCCAAAGACCCCAAATCATCCGCTAAATCTCCCAATTTCCCGAGTTGCTTTAATTCAGTTTACGGGTTTACAGCGAAAATCATAGGTTTTGCGCTTTTCTCCCAACCTGTCAGTCCCCAGGGGGCCGGAGAGGGAGCTCGTTGCCTCTGGGAGGAGTGAGGCTTCAGAGCGAGGCCGCCCGGGACCTCCTCCCAGAGCCTGTTCTCCAGCGGATGTAAAGTCTGCAGTTCTGCTCCATCATGGAGATGATGTTGGTTGTTATGTAAAAAACTATCCTTTCGATTCTGTTTACTCTCAATTCTTTCTCAATCTCCAAGAGTAATTAACACCCAGGAAGATGCAGTGTGTTTTTGTTGTGGCATTAAGACCTTACCCCAGGTAGGTCTTAACCTTGGTAAACACAATGTTCCTTTAATTAAAAAAAAAGTTATTAAAAATTTTAAGAGTGCTCCCTAATTTCCAGAAATAATTTCAAAGATAAAATGAAATAGCCACTCACATAATTTTGAAAAAGGAAATCAGTTATAATGTCCTAACTAGGATACGAGGGAGACATTTTTTAAAGGAGATAATTAATGTGAGATTTATTTGCAACCTGCAAATGTTCCTGTAGGACTTTGCCTAGGTAATAAAAGGAAGCGGTGAATATTTGCCCCTGATGATCAGTAAGCGTGTATTTAACTGAATCTTGTTGATGATTTTTTCTTTCTAGTTGACATTTGGAAATAAGATTCAGATCGTTCTATTCGTAGGTCCGTGTCAAAGCCCCGTGAACGGAGACCGACGCTGAAGTGTTCCCTCAGTGACTCCAACTCCACGCACAGCGTTGCCATTGGCAACACGGTGTCCTGAAATGATGAGCAATTTCGTAAACTTCCAGATAAAACAAAGCCCGATCTTCCTTTGATTTACCTGGAAGTTGCCTTCCTGAAAAATTAAGTATAGTATGTTCAAACTGTACCCCACCCCAAATCCTGCTGATGTGTAAACTGGACTGAAGATCCAGGTGTAGATAATCATAAACAGAGTTTTCAGCAGCGCGATGGTTGGGTGGGAGGTTTGATCTGAGCTGGTGGGGGACGCAGGACAAGTCTTCATTGGGTCTCGTGCACAGTGGGACCGTCTTCCATGTCCGGGCCCTGGCTAGGAAATGCCAATCACTGGGACCAGCAAGAATGCCCCACCGTTTTGCCACACGCCCCCTGGAGGTTGGCAGCACCCACACAGAGTGTGGTGTGGGTTACCCTTTAACATGACTCTGTCGGTGACTTGAAATATGAGGACCTGACGGTGCTGAGAAGCCCTGTGACCTGGTGTCTCCCTTCTCTGCAGGGGCTGAAGATCAGCGTGCTCTGGACACTGTACTACGGCATCCTCAGTGCTTTCGCGCCCGTGTACAGCTGGATCCTGGTGCTCCGCGGCCTGGTGGGCTTCGGGATCGGAGGGGTCCCCCAGTCGTAAGTAAATACCCAGCTCTGGCCTTCCAGCCAGGCGGTCAGTCAATGGGGGGGGGGCTGTTCATGGCCTTGAGAAACACGAAGGTGGTTACAACAGGGCGTGTGGTACCGGGGGAGCCTGCTGTGACCAGCAGATGACATCATTATCAGTGTTGGAACAATTCCCAATGAAAAAGCGCAGCACAATGGCAGGGAGGTCGTAAATGTGAACTAATAGTAAAAACAATAGACCTAGCATGGATCAGACGTTCCTCAGACACATCACAGCAGCCCCAGGAAGTATGTTATCGAATTATTGCAATCTCCATTTTACAGGTGAGGACACTGAGACTCAGTGGGTGAAGTTATTTGCCCAAGTCACACACAGGATGTAGGTGGAACTAACAATCCAAGTTGGTCTGCCTTCGACATTCATGCTTTTGACCGCCATGCGTGCTGCCCCTCACCCCCTCGTACTGTAACAAGAGCCAGGGGATGGTGAGGTGGGTGTTGTCGTTGTTGCTGCTGCTGAGGTGCTGAGAGCAGTCAGAGTTGTAGGGAGAAGTCACTCTCGGCCGTGACACTGGGGAGTCCTAAAGCAAAGCTTGGCAGACAGCAGCATGTGGGCTGAATCGACATGCTGACTGGTTCTCTAAATAAAGTTTTATTGGGAACACAGCCATGCCCATTCATTTACAAATTATGACTGCCCGGTTTCATGCTACAGCAGCAGAGTTGAGTAGTCTCAGCTGAGACTCTATGGCCCACAAAGCCTGAAATATTTACTCTCTGGCCCTTTATAGAAAAAGTGTGTTTGACCTCACTCTAAAGGACGCTGGTAATAACCAATATTTGGTGTTTACTAAGAGGCGGGGGCTATTCTAAATAGTTTACCTAGATTATCTCCTTTAAGCCTCCCCCCAAATTTCCTTATCAGGTAAATTCCGTTAATGTCATTTTACATATAAAGAAACTGAAGCACAGAGAGGTAAGTAACTTGCCCCAGGAGGCTCCGTGAGGAAGACACGGAGCCAGAAACAAAATCCGGGCCCCCCAACTCCAGAGCCTGGGCTGTCGCCATTGCAATTTACTACCTGGCTGCTAAGGAGGCAGAGGATTTGGAAAGACCCAGGAGGGGGGCTGGAGAAAATGTAGGATTGTCACTGGATGGGATCTTCATGAAATGAGGGAGCGACAGCTGTGTCATAGGGAGGCTAATGGTCCAGTTCAGATAGCTTCTCAGGCTGAGACCTGTGAGCACCGGAAGTTGAGGTTGGATGGGTAGACCAGGGCAAGCCTGCTAAAGCCTTGACTGCCGGGCCAAAAGGGTGTCAGTGGGCCGTGGGGAGCCACCGAGAGCTCTGGAGCAGAGGAGGTGCTTTAGAAGCATTCATCTGGCAGCGGTGGGCAGGATGGGTTTGGAGGAAGGAATCCTATCAAAATCATTTAGGGGCATTTTGAACAAGGACCAGGTAGCTGCCTCCTAGTTTACTCCTTTATTCACCCAACAGTTCTTGAGCGCCCGCTACGGCGCAGGCCTGTGCTAGGTGCTGGGGATGCAGCAGTGAGCAAAGCAGACACGTCCCGGTGGCAGGTCGGGTTGCCGGGAAACAGACTGAGAGATTTGTGCACAGGTGTTGTTGGGGTCAGCCTCTGTACGGAGTGGGCAGAGGGAGAATTTGAGTTGTAATGTGATTGCAACAGAGGCCTCAGCCGATCCTTTAGGGGTTCAGACGTTGGGGTGATGCTTGAGAGTTGTTCCAAATTGAGGCACGGAGGCTGGACATTTGTACCCTCATCAGCCACTTGGACGTGGGCTGCCCTCAATGAGGGAGTGTGGCGCTTGGCCAAGGCCATTCCTGCAAGGGACTCCGTTCTGAGCTCTTAGCAGGCAACACTGCTGATGGCTCCAGAGGGACCTCGTGCCTCTGGCCCGGGGGTGAGTCCAGGTGGTGCATCGCAGCATCCACTGCAGCCAGCCCCTGGCACTGCTTGGATGCACTTGCTTCATGGAACAAGTTCACCCCGTTTGGGAAGGGCTCCTCCAGGATTCTGGTTGGTCTTTGTCCTGAAAGGGCTTATAAGAGGATGGTTAGTGGAATGAACTCTGGCCAAAGCTAGTGCTGCTGGCCACACGCCCACAACCAATGCGTAGTATTGCCCTCCTCCACTACCTGTTCTGGATTCCCTTCACCTTGGGGTAGCACGTCTGCTGACGCCCCCTGCTGATGCCCCCTGGCCTGAGGTCCCTGGTGACCTTGCCCTTCTCAGCCATTGCTGCTGCTTGTCCACTCTCCACAAAAATGAGGCAGGGGATTTCCAAGAGATGCCCAGTGTATCACCTGGGGGACAAATTAGGTGGCCCTACTGCCTCCTGGTGCTCAGGATTCCTCAGACAAAAGGCTCCCTCTTTTTCTCGCTTGCCCATTTCATGACACAAGGACCCCAAAGTTACTAGGTGGCAGCTGTTGTGTAGTCTAATGGCACTCTTGCTCTGTCCCCTGGGTGAAAGCATGCCCTGTCTGGGAGCCAGGACAGATTCCTCAAATTGGGTCACTGGGAATGACAGCAGTGACAGTCCTTCTTCACACCGTTGATTTCCAGAACCACGTAGTCTTTCTACATCTCACCACATAACAGTCATTGATTACAGGGTGTCCTGGGTCCGGGAAATAGTGCCCCTTCCTCACAGGGCGTCATCTCCAAGCTGATGCCTCCGGGGCCCCTAGAAAAGGCTGTTCCTTCACTGTCTCAGTCCAGCAGCGTCAGGAGGACCTCGCACGTGACAGGGCCAGTGGATTCCGCGGTCTGCACCTCTGTGGCTGCTTCTCCCTTGTTATGTATCCCTTGGTCCCATGTCCTGTTGTGTGCAATCCTGTGTCCAAGGGTCCAATACTCTGACAATCCTCTGATAATGGTGCTGGCTGAGACCCCCACGGGCAGGGAAGGCAAAGCAATATGCAGAATGCATGTCAGTTCCAGTCAAGGTGGTTTACTGCTCCTTCTGAAATGGAAGGAGCCCCATGCAGATGACTTGTCACCAAGTAACATGGGCTGGCTCTGTCCTGAGGGCTCTGCTTTGGTCTCGGCTGCTGGCGGGTTGGCTCTTTGGTGGCAGGACTAGCAAGATTGGCCCCACACCCCTGTTAACCATTCAGTGACTGACTTCTTGAGCCTGCTGAGCGTGCTGATTGGGGAAGACCGGGACAGAGAGATGACCTAGAAGAGCAATGCTGGTGCCTCAGTACTGTGGCTAGGCCTTGGGCTCTGAAACCGGATTCCCCGGTTCGAATCTTGACCCTGTCCCATAATAGCTGTGTGACCTTAGGCAAACCATTAAACCTTTATACACCCCAGTTTGTTCATCTCTAAAATGGGGGTGATGGTATACCTACATCCTGGGGACACTTAGGATATTAAATGACAGCGCAGTAAAGTGCCCAGGGCAGCGCCTGGCAGAACACGCAGTGAAGGTGGGCACGCGTGTGGTGTGCTGAAGGCTTGGTTAGGAAGCTCAGCGTCAGTGTGGTGGACGGTGGATTCACTGTGTAACTGTGAACGGAATGAATGGGGGGAGGGAGACGTGACCACGCGGATTTAACACAGGAACAAGTGCCCAGACTCTGTCTGCCACTTAGAGGCCGAAGGGACAGTGAGTGGCTCTCAGCCCTCAGTCTTTCCCCTCCTTATCCATTATCGATCCTGCAGGGCTCTGCGGAGCGGGCCTTGGACGGGTCCTCCCGGATCGGGGGTGAGCTGAAAGCCACTGGAGCTGGAGGCGGCGGCGATTAAGCCAAGCCCATAAATCTGGGCTGGCAGGGGCTTGTGCCCCGTGAGCTCCATTCAGGCCCAGCTCCGGGAATTCCTGCAGACACAGCCGCGCCCCCGTCCACGAGCCATTCATTGTCTAGGGGACAGTTGTCCCCTAGTGGCGGGAAGGAATGCACTCCCGGAAGTCCACATTCAATTCCTCTCCCTGGGATGCTCAGGTAGATGACGGCAGAACCCGCCCCCAAAGGGCCCCCTGGATTTTCTCCCCACATGAGGAAAGGAAAGGGAAGGAAAGGGAAGGAAAGGGAAGGGAAGGAAAGGAAAGGAAGTATTCTCAACGTCCGCAGCAATTCTTGTTCAAGATTGGTGCAGTGAGCAGCACTAATTTCTGCTTCTTCTTCCTCCCCATTTGCTGCAAGTGGCATAAAAGGTATGAGAAATAGGGAAGTCTGTCATGGTGCTGGCAAGCAGGAAGAGGGTGCCAGCAGCAGACTAGACATCTTGAGGAACTTCTAGAAGATTCTAAGCAGAGGGGATTACCATGGCAGAGGAACCAGAGGTGAGAGAAACCACCTCCTAAAACTGCAAACGGGAGACATCTTTGAGGAGAGAGGACAGGACGCCAGGAAAATAAGGACACAGAGCAGCTGGGAGGGTCTTTACCCCTTACCCTTGTATTGTGAGGGTCCCCAACCTCCCGGCCCCCACACCCCAAACATCATACCTCCCCATTTAGCTGTTCATTTCTTGAACACGACTCTAGCTGTTCTGCTTGTTTATTGAGCTATTACTACATTTCGGGCACTAAACCATATGCTTTATACACATGACCATTCTAAAACTCATAAAACCTTAGGACACAGGTATTATTATCTCCATGTCACAGGTAAGAAAACTGGGGCTTTAAAGAAGTTCAATAACGTGCCCAAGGTCACACAGCTTATATAGCAAACGGCAGAACTGAGATTGAAACTTCACTTGACCCTCCCAACATACTCTCTTAATAACTCCATTCGACAGCTCCTTTGTCTATGAGGAAAGCAACAAAACCATGAACAAAATCCCAGAGGAAATATTTTACCACCCAAGAAAGCCTCTGGCTTCCCAGCTCTTGCTTCAGCCATTTGCATAAAAATAATCATCTTAATTATGCGATGTTCTTATCTAGTTATAAAAATGGCTCCCCTAAGTTCATTATTGGAAAACATTGAGCTGGAGATATTTTTATGTAATTAAATGTTAACTAAGAGCTTCCATTCATTTAGAAGAGCTTTGCCCAACTGTGCTACCTCACAAAGTCAAACCAGTGGGAGTTTGCTGTGTCATTTTTAAAAGCCCAACCATCAGAAGTCCTTATAATGTACTCTAAATTTTCAGTGTAAATACAGATTATATTATTGGCAAATTTTAATTAAAATGCCTTTCAGTTTTATTGATACGTAATTGACATAGAGCACTCTATACGGCTGAGATGTACAGCAGAATGACCTGACTCATCCATCTTGCAAAACGCTGACCTCAGTGGGTTTAGGTAACATCCGTCATCTCACCTACAGATTATATTATTTATTGGGAGCCCATCCCTCTGTCCTGATCTGTGCCTTTCTGTGTGCCTCCCTCTCTTTCTCTTCTTTCCCTTCTTCCCCCAAAGCAGGCGTTCACAATGTTTCTTGGTGATAGCAACAGTAATTCATGGTGACGATGATGATGATGTTAACTGAGTGCTTACCGAGTGCCAGGCCTAAGCTAAGTGCTCTCTTCACACTACCTCCTCTTGTCCATGGAACAACCCTATTATTCCCATTTTACAGATGAGAAAACTGAGGCTCAGGGGTCAGAAGTGACTTGCTTAAGGTCAGATGGTTATTCAGTGGTGTGTGGCAGTTCCTTTTGCTTTGTAACAAACCATCCCACCACTTCTGGCTTCAAACAATGATTGATTTAACTCGTGATCCCGCAGTGAGGCGGTTTGGGTGTTCCGGTCTCAGTGGGGCTTACTCATGTGTCTCCAGTCAACTGGTGCATTGCGTGGGTGCTGGCTGGGCCCCCGCGGCCACAGCTGCCTCCTCTGTGTGCCGCAGGCCTGTCATCCTCCAGCTGGCTAGCCTGGACACCTGGCCACATGGTGCCTGGGCAGGGGTCCAAGACGGCAAGCACAAGCCACAGAACCTCTTGAGGCTTAAGCTTAAGCTTGGAACTGGCACACTATCCCTTCTACGACCTTCTATTGATCAAAAGCAAATCACTAAGCCCAGATTCAAGGGCCCGGGACTTAGACCGGATGGAAGGAGCCGCACAGTCTCATTGCCAGGGAGCACGGATCCAAGGAAGGGAGATTGTGGGGCAGCTTTCCCAAACCATCTGCTGGGCTCCAATCCAGGTTGTCTAATGCCAAAGCTCTCCCATCGGAACAAATATTGGGAAAGAGTTCTGGCCGTATGTGGTGAAAGTTCCTGGTAAATCATTAATGTCCACGGGTCCCGAGGACTGATTTGGAGATGATTCCGGGAAGGCAGAATGGGCGGCTCTGAGCAGCTGCTGTTCTCTCTCATTAAGGCAGGAAAGAGGGATCACATTTAGGAGGCCAGATCATTCTCTTTTCTGTCTGTGAAGGAGCATTAAGGAGGTACAGACTTTAATTGGAGCAGGGGAGTTACATGTAAGTTTATTTTGATCATTACAAACAAGACACTTTTGTTTGAGAAAAAACTTTAAATGCAAGTTGGCATCCTACCGCCGAAATGATGACCGCCTGTAATTGTACCTACCACTTCACACGTGAAAATAAGTACAAGATACAGGTGGGCACTTGGGGAGATCATTTCTATTTCCAGTAGAGGGCGCTGTGTCCTTCAGAAGAAATGCCACTCGCTTTAAGAGGCTGGCACCTGAGGTGTGTTTCAGCCGCTCTTAAAAATGCTGCATTCCCCAGGTAGCAGCTGCCCACCTGTTGTACCTTGAAACCTGCCTTAGAAGGTTCTTCAGATGTGTCTACAATGAGCTTGCTCACAAACGTGCCCTTCACATGGCTTTTTCTTCCAAAGACCAAGCAGAAATGCCAAATGGAGGTTACAGGTCATTTCTTTCTAGGCATGTGATCCAAAGGGCAAATCTCTAACCACCAAAGTGCTATCAACGCGACTACTCGCAGCGGGGGTTTATTTATGCCGGCATCGGCTGCTTCTTGGCATGGCTGATTTTGTTGCCCGTTCTTTTATTCTTCAGTGTAATTGTAATAATCACCGCACTTTGGATGGCGATCAAACAGCTCGTTTTCATTATAAACTGCTATGAATAATGGCCAAGTGCGGGGCACAACAATTTCAGGAAAAGATGTTTCTTGTGGCCTAGGTTGCAAAAAATGAGAAATTGCAAACAGTCTGCATATTGATCAACAGGGCTGCAGCTGTTAAAAAATAATGCTGTAGCTCTATGCATATTAATAGGGAAAGGTCCCCAAACTGTTTTATTGGAGGCAAGATCCTGACACAGATTCAAGAACAAATACAATTGACTCTAGAACAACGTGGGGGCTGGGGCCCCTCCACTGTGCAGTTGAAAATCCAAGTATAACTTTTGATCCCCTAAAGCTTAGCTACAGTCAGTTCTTCAGATCCACAGGTTTCACATCTACAGATGGAACCAGCCATGAATAGAAAACTGTATTTTCCATCCATTGGGTGAGAAACTGCTGCTGCTGGGAATGCAAAAATAGTTCCTGACCCAAGATTAGTGTTGGTTGAATCTGCAGATGTGAACCTGAAGGCTATCAACGGGCCAGAATCTGCGTATAAGTGGACCCACCTGATTCAAATTCGCGGTGTTCAAGGGCCAACTGCAGTGGTTACTCTGCGAGTCTCTGCAGCATAGGTGTCCAGACTATCCCATGCCAGAGACGAGCTGAGAGCTGCTTCTTCGAAGTTTAAATACTTTGGCACTTCTGGTCTGCCACACAGGTTAGCAAAGCAACTTTTAATGTCCAGAGAGGGCACTCAGGAAGGTTTCGTAGGTTCTGGCCATTGGGAGTTGGAGTGGCAAGCTCGGCAGTGATAAGAGGTGAGGCCTTTGGATGGGCGGGACACTGACAGTCCGCTGCACGTGTTAAGTAAAGGAAGGAAGAGAGGGAGGGAGACAGGAAGGAAGGGAGAATTGGAAAGGAAGTGAAGAAAAAAGAAACGAAACATACCATGTTGCTTAAATGTGTTTATTTATGTAGAGAAGGGGCTGAAAGGTTGCAAGGCAAACTGCCGTAATAATGGCTTTGGGGGAGGAGAATGGAAGAAGGGTTATGAGGAAAAAGAAGGGTCATCATACATACCTCAATGCACCCATGTACTACTTCAGCTTAAAAAAAAGACTGTACGCTGCCCTGAGGGGTGTAGCTCAGTGGGTTGGCTGCCATCCCCACAAACCGAACCGTCACTGGTTCAATTCCTGGTCAGGACAGGTGCCTGGGTTGTGGGGTTCCCAGCTGGGGTGTGCAAGAGGCAACCAATCAGTGTTTCTCTCTCTCCTTTCCTCTCTCTCCAAAAATGAATAAATGAAATCTTAAAAAAAAAAAAAGAAGAGGAAGACTGCGTGCCGTAGGTTCACTGTAAAAAGAAATCCTTGGCCTCTAAGGCAGGAATAGCTTTGCCCTTAGAATATGCTTTTTCACATGTTTGCATGGTTAGTGGTTTGGCCTTAGTTTGGCGAGTGAAAGGTAAGTATGCTTCTTATTTTATTATTATTATTGATTTGTAAGAATAATGTAAGTACACCTTTTGAGAATAGAATAAAATTCCAAAGAAATCACTCATCGTGACCACTGTAATCTTTTGCAGCCAGTGCGACCTTGGTCCCTGCTTTTAGAGTTGAGTTAATGAAATCCCTAATAGTGCTTGTTGGAAGAGGTACTTGTAGGAATATAAATGGGAACAACTTTTTTGGAACCGCTTTGAGATCTTAAAGTCTTAAAAACATGTATTCTCTTTGCCGCAAGTTCTACGTAAGGAATCCATCCTATGGAAACCATAAAAAGACAAAGATCTCAGCCTCAATATGTTCATTAAAGTATTGTTTGTTACGGTGAAACCATCCAAATAGGAAAATGGTGGATGGGATGCACAATATAGACAGACCTGGATTAAAATTTTGGCTCTTCCACTTACCAGCTTGCTAGCTAGCTGTGTGACCCTGGCCAGCTAATGGCTTCTCTGACATAGTTAGATGGGAGTTAAAGATATGCACACACATATTAGAAACTATAATTAACTACCCTCATCGACTCACAGTGTTTGTTGAGTAGGTAAACCATGTGAATTAAAACATCCAGAACAGTGTAAAACCGTGCTTGGCACAGAGTAGTTCCTCAATGAAAGATAGTTATTATTCATGTATATAATAGAATATATGTAAAAGGATTTTTAATGGCATGGAAATATTTATAAATAGCATAAAAGAGAGGTTCAGAAATCTTGAGTATGGCCTCAGCCAGGAGTTTAGAGAGAAAGAGAGCAGACCAGGACAGAGAGAGGGAATACACTAAAATACACCGTGAGATGAGACTAGATGACATGGACCTTTTTTTTTTTCTCATAATTTCCTCTAAAAATCATCTATTTGAACTCCTAAAGCCTTTCCTCTGAGGTTCTTGAGCATTCTTCGGTCTCTGCAGCAGGAATGGACTTTGTCCTAATCCTAAGAGGGACTTTTACAGATGACAAAACTATTTCTAAATCTCCATGGTATTGCTGAGGCCAACTTTGAAAAAGTTAGCTTGTCTGCAGGGCAAGGCGCTGTGGGCTGGATGCCACAGAAGCAGGACCGAGGCAGAGGTTCTTGTACAAGTGGCTCCTGCAGGGGGCGCTCTCAGCAGTGACAGGGAACACCCGAGGGACAGTTCTACAGCGAGGCTGTCCATCATCCCACCGCCCAGTTTCCCCCTACATTTTCCCCTGGGTTGTGGAGAGGGCTCAATGGAAGCAATGATTACATTTGAGAATCATCTGGGGAGTTAGCTAAAAAGGCAGATGCCAGGGCCCCAATCCTGGGAGCCTGTTTCTGAAGGTCTGGGTGGAACCTGAGGAATCTGCATACACAGTCATCATCCCGGGAAATTCTGATGCAAGTGGTCCACAGACCACACTCAGGAACCTTGACCTAGGAATTCAGTAAATGGTAGCAATCTTTCCGCTCACTCCTGACCTTGACCCTTTCTGTCTCCGCTTTCCCAGGGTGACGCTGTATGCTGAGTTCCTTCCCATGAAAGCCAGAGCTAAATGCATTTTGCTGATTGAGGTAAGGAGGGTGGCTGGGTTTCTGGAGAATGTTCAGCGTCTGGCATATGAGGTTCTTGGGTGTCTTGAGCCTCAGGACAAGGAGCAGGGAGTTTAAGAAAAGTATAACAGACTCAGCATGCACAGACTTAAATGGGTCATTTATGTTGGTTTTGACACGGTTGTTTGGAAATATGGATAAGTGCTTCAACAGGCAAGAAAATTCAGTTTACTGTCCCTTAGGGAAAAAATGGTGGCTGGCAGGTGGCATGTCCTTGTTGAACTAGAAATGGCTTTTATCTGAGAGTTAGCGCTGAATGGTACCGCTTGAGAGGACCAAACTCCTGCCCTCCGCCCGTGTCATTTCACTCCACCCCCGTGTCCTGTCTGAGATCACCATTCATGGCCACCTCTGGGGTCTACAGGCTGCTCCTAAAGTCTGCTGGTCCAGTGAGTCCTCCTGAGCCCTCCTTCTGCCAGGGACCCACTTTCCAACCATGACCTGGAGGCTCTCGTGGCAAACTCACAGCTGGCCAGAGGCCCCTCCACCACATAGTGTCAGATGGTATATTTTGTCCTTCCTGGACACTGATGTCCACAGTGATAACTGTGATGCCACTTTGACCTCCCTCGTTACCATGACGACACTGACAATATCGATTGCATCAACCCCAGGGCCCAACTTAACTATCTTCACTACACCCAACCCTGACCAGTCAGGACGGTTGTCGGCTGGTCCGGATGGACCAGTTGTTTAAATATTGAAATGCTGATGCTGAACCCTGACTACCCCTCACCACCTGACCCCCCTGTCCTCCCTTAGGAACCCCCCAAGAACTCTTCCAGATCCAGCTACTGAAGGGTTAACTCCTGGCACTGTCACGGTGGGGGTGGACCAGGTGTGTGGCCAGTGTCCATTCTGATTGTCAGTGCTACACCGCTAGCTAGACACTTTGACAGCCACCCTGGTTGTCGGCAACAAGGATGGACTGTGGCTAGTGTCAGCAAAAGGAGATTTAGGAGGGCTCTGGGGATGGGGCCAAAACTGCTGGGATAGCCGAAGGAGCGGTGTGGGAGTGGACAATCACTGTGGGGTCAGGGTCGCAGCAGAAAGTAGCATACTCAGATAGGAATAGGAATAGGAATATTGGAAGAGGATTTCACAAAAGGACTATTTACAATGGCCTTGCAGGAGTATTATCACCCCAGGCCTGAGAGGGCAAAGGGAGGGAGTAATTGGTAGCTGAGAGAGAGAGAGACAGAGACAGAGAGACAGAGGGGGGGACAGAAAGAGAGAGAGTGAGTTGTGTGGCCAGGAGCACTGGGTGGGAGCCGTAACCTTCAGCTGAGGGACACAGCCAGTCCATGGCGACCCTGCGAGGGAGCCGGGGAAACAAGTGCCCAACCTCTCTTCCCTTCTTCCCTCCCTCCCATCCCAGTGGGGGTCCCCACTGGCTGCACCTAGTGGGGAGCCAGAGGACAGGGAGCCTGAGGAAGCCTGGTGAAAGGGTGCACAGAGAACGTGCAGCCCCACAGGAAGGAGGCCGTTCTGATACAGGGGCCTGGAGCCCTGCTGGACAGGGGAGGCAAAGTCAGTGGACAAAACCCAGCATGCCCACCTGCCACACTGACCTCACATAGTATCAAGCGTATTGATTCCTTAACCAGAGCTGCCACAGCCCACACTCCAGTGGGCGCCAGGCAGGTATCATAGATTGTGGACAGCACTCTCAGGAGATGGACGACATGGTGGCTCTGGCCCACCTGTATAAACCACGGGGAAAGGGATGGCCATTCCGACCTTGCTGACCCCAAGGACCCCTTTCCCATATGGATGACCTTGTCTGCAGTGGCCGGGAAATTGCTCACTGTGTTGCCCAATGCCGCCCCCATCACTGACCCCTGTTCTTCCGTGGCAGGTGTTCTGGGCCATCGGGACAGTGTTCGAGGTCATCCTGGCTGTGTTTGTGATGCCCAGCCTGGGCTGGCGCTGGCTGCTCATCCTCTCGGCTGTCCCACTCCTCCTCTTCGCTGTCCTGTGTTTTGTAGGTACCCTGCAAGAGGGCTCAACCTTTGCCACGTGACCTCCTGCTGTTCTCCACATTTGGATGGGGAGGCGGTAGAGAAGGACACCAAAGCTGCCTTTTAAGGGTTTTTTTTTTTTAAACCAGGAAATGAGACAAAGGAACCGGGCCTGGGGTCAGGCTCACTATGCGGTATTATTTGCTTTCCCCTAGACAAATACTGCTGGGAGGTTCTTCAGGGAGACGGCAGGGGAAGGGGGCGGGCACCTATGCCTCGCAGCTGACTGCAAGGTCTGCACTTAAGGTAACTATTAGAATCGATGGGACTCTTGGGCAGCAAGTGACGGAGACCCAGCTCCAGCTGGCTAGAGTGACAGAGAGAGGTAGACACCCGACAAAGGATTAAACATTTGCATGGCCGGGTCCAGAAGCTCAGATGATCTCTCTGTCTCAGCTCTGGGTAAACTCTCCCCGCACCCTGCCATGAGATCATGTGACACACTTTCTCATTTCATGTGTAGACCACGTGCATGGAGCCCTTTAAAGCCAGTGAGCGCCCCACATAAGCCTTGGGGTGGGTAGATCTCATCTACAGTAAATAATATAACTCCTCGTAATGACAAAAGGTATTAGTAATTCCTGAGCATAACTAAGTATCAGGCTCTTCACATGCACTATTGCATTTGTCTCTCCCAGTAGCCGTAGGGGGCGGAACTGCGATGAAAACCTGCATTAGTTAGGATAGTACCAGCTGCTGTAACACATAAAGCATGCACATTCCATAATTTAACACATGTTTCTCACTTACTCAATAGTCCAGGATGGGTGCTCCTGATTGGCCAGTGCGATTCCCAGTCCAGGTTCCTTCGGGGTTGTAGCTCCGTCAACCTCCAGGGCTTTGGAGTCGTCCACATGCAGACTGGGGAGGCGCAGGTGGAGAGGCCCACTCACGTCTTAAATACCTTTGCCAGGAATACTCTGCTCATACACCAGTGGGGAAAGTATGGCTCCATCTAGAAGCAAGGGGGAGGGGTCCCAGGAAATGTGGTTCGTGGCTGGGCCGCCATGTCCAAGGACAACTCTGTACTATTGGAAAAGGAAGTGTGAATTTTAACAGACCTTAGCAATCTCTACGACCTCATCATTTTACTGATGAGGAACCTGAGGCCCAGAGAGGTTGAGCGACTTGTCAAAAGGCACACAGCAAACAAACAACAGAACTAAGTCGAACCAGAGCTTCTGACTGCAAGCCTCACTCTCTCTCATTTCACAAGCTGCTGGTGCTTCACTTTGCAGAAACATTCTTATCTGGTCCCTTGGGGAGTGGACTCTGTTAGGCCTAAAGGTCCTTCAGATTTCTGTCTGGTGCTCAGACGGAGCTTGCAAGATGATGCTGAACACAGGGGAGCATAGGTTCTTAAGAGCTGGAGATGGTGATATTGGTGGTGAGAGTGGCAGTCTTTTTTGTTGTCTTTCTTTCTTCCATTTTTGGTGGCAGTCTTGTCTTAATTCAGCCTGTCCCTGGAGCTCTGACAGAAGCACGGGGTAACAGGAACAGGGGAAGCAAGGACAATAGCTCCGCTAACCCATTCCAGGCCCTGGGCTGAGCCCCCAGTGTGGGTCCTCCTGTTTGACCCTCTCAATAACCCTGAGAGGAAGGATCTGGCATTAACTCCATGTTAATTAAGGATGAGGAAATGGAGGCACAGAGAAGTCAAATGATTGCTCGAGGTCACGTGACTGATACACTCAATGGCAGAACCAGGGTTTGCAGCCAGTCCTCTGGCTCCAGAGTCGCCACCCTTGAGGCCCCCACACGGAGATGGGTGTGAGGCCGAGCCACACTAACCTGCCCTGCCGGCTCTCCTGTCCCTGCAGTGGCTGCCGGAGAGCGCGAGGTATGACGTGCTGTCCGGGAACCAGGAAAAGGCCATCGCCACCCTGAAGAGGATAGCGACAGAAAACGGAGCCCCCATGCCGCTGGGGAAGCTCATCATTTCCAGACAGGTCAGCTCCTCTTCCCTGCCCCTGTGGCGGTCGCGTCCCTGTGCGTGCACGAGGGCAGGCGAACGTACACGGGTGGGGCACGTGTGCGCGTGAGCACAGGTGTACATGGAGTGGGGGGGCGGGGCGGTGGCAATTCCTGCAAGGGCAACCTGGCAACTCCAGCCTCTGTAGTTTCACTGCCAAGTCCTGAGGGTGCCACCTGCGGAATTTAACCAATGATTACAGAAATGTGATGCCGTGTGCGCTAATGGATCCCGTAACTACTCCTGCTTCTGCTTCACTTTTCAGCGCCGATGAAGTCTGATTAGCAAATGTGATTGATCGGCAAAGGCTGGACAATAAAACCACATTAGAGAGTGTTGTGATAGGCTTACAGCCAGGGCGCCAAACTAGGCTTGGAAGACATCCTTAATGGATGGTGCAGAGCTCCGGCGGCAACACGGTCAGGGAGGACACCACCGTCAGAATTTAGGAGCACGTTCCGCCTGCGTATGCGCAGGCGCACCAAGCACGTGGGGAGAAGGGTAGCTATCAGATGGAAGGCTGCGACCCCTGCCGTCGTCCGTGCTAAATATACCCTTCAGCCAACAACAGACCCTACAAGGAAGTTATCTTTTAAAATAAAATCATATTTCTGATTATTTTTGTATTATGCAAAAAGAACTGAATGAAATTCCAGCAGACAGGGAAGAGGTGTTTTTGCATAGTCGGAGGATACTGCCCGGAAGACCCCCCCAAACCCACTTCCGGCAGCAGGGTGGTCCAGGAAGGCCCCAAGGAGGTGGTGAATTAGGGGCAAGAGAAAAGAGGAGAGAAGGGCTTTCTGGGAGCAGGCGAATTTTCCAAAAGCAAGTTTTCCTGAATTAGCTTGCTAGTGTATCAATTTACCACAAACATGTTTTGAGGACTGTTCTTTTCAAATATATCTAGGAAATAGGAAAATATTTTCTCTATGTACATATTAACACATTAATTCATCAATATATTCTCCCTAAATATTCCTAAATATAGTCAATAAATACACTCTCAAGTATATTCAAAAACATGTTTAATGAATGCTTTTTAATTGAAGAATATATCACAAAAACATATTTATTCATGAAGGCAATACTCAAAGACTTACCCTTCTATGGCCTGTAATTTTTCACTTATGTTTAAATAAGTAAACATTTCTGAAACTACTGCTAAGAAAAATATGTTCATTAAATATATCTAAGAAGAATATAATTAGTCAGAGAATACATATATTTAAAAAAACGATTATAAGGCAAAGATTTGACAAATTAGCAAACTATAAAATTGGTAAATGGGTCATTTAGCTAATCTATCTTTTGGCAAATGGCATTTAAGTGACTTGTCACATCCATTTTTATCACCCTGGGGGCAAGACGTGATATGGTTGGCCACCCCTTGGATGGGTTTTCTCTCCCTGGGTCCACGAAATTATGGGAAAGGTGTTGGGGCCCGAGCCCCAGGGGTCTGCTTCCCAGCTTCAGGATTCCGGGTTGGGGTGGGAGGTTCGGAACATCTCGGTCCTTCGGAGTCAAGCCTCTGGAAGTCGCTGGGTCCTGGCTCTGGGGGCCAATTTGGCCACGCTGGTCTGGGGGTCTGAGGTCTAAGTTCTTGGGGCCCAAGTGTCCAGCCCACAGGAAACCCTCCTGCCAGCCAAGGGTGGGGGGTGGTGCCCCAGCTGGCACCCACACGTCTGCACGTTTTTGTCTCGAAACAGGAAGACCGAGGCAAAATGAGGGACCTTTTCACGCCCCACTTTAGATGGACGACCTTGCTGCTGTGGTTTATATGGTAAGAGCCGTTTCTGGACACTTTGATCCCCTTCATCTGTGCCCTGGGATTTCGGGGTTTTGTTTGAACGCAAAGCCCGGGGAGCCTTTTGATCTCAGGCAGCATTCGCACGAGTCAGCAGAGTGAGCATCCCGACCTCTGCCTGGTCCAGGTGTCACCCTCGCTATTATTTTCCTGGTCGTTTTTCCCTCCTTAACTTGACTCACTGTTTACTGAGATAAATGCTTTTGCAAAGGAAACTTTATATGTCTTCTTTAAGGAATCAAACCTTAATTTCAGGCCCTAGATAGAGGGTGCTTTTCAAGATAAATACAGTCAAAAGTGGCCAGGTTGAGGGTTTGCCAAGGCACCGAGTGGCTGTGTTTAAGAGATGGAGAAGCACATGGAGGGGGGAGTTGCTAAGGACTCATTACCCCGAGCAGCTCATCATTTAAGACTGGGATACCATCGAAAGAATCAAAACTTAAAAAGGACTTGGTTTTTTCACGAGATCCCATATTTACGCCACATCAGTGCTCCGCTCTAGCCGTGTTGCCTTGGACACCACCAGTGGCACGGGCCCCATGTTTGGGGAGCCGCCGATTTAGTCAACATGGGCGTTCTCAGAACTTTCGGTTTTGACCGTGTTCTACTTTTCTTAAATAACAGCCATTGGCAGGGGCTGCAGGGGAGGCCTTTATCTCCACCACTAGTCGGATTCCAGCCGTCCTTTGAACTCTCTCCCAAATCGTGTGCATAGCATTAACAGTGCTGGCTCGGCCACGGCTTACGGCTTCGTGTTCTGTTTCATGGAACCAGTCCTCACTTTTCCTGTTCCCCTCTGCACAGAAGTGCTAATTAGTGGGGGAGTGTCAGTGAAAGCGGTTAATGTCAGAGACGAGAAGGGGAAAGCTTTGCTGATGTACCGAACTGGGCTCCATTCACAGAGCTCCATGCGCGAACTCTGCCTCCACATTCCTGAGAGCTGAACCAGCTCACCACGCGTTTATCGAACACCTACTGCGTGCCCAGGTATAAGGGTGGAGTCTGTAGGATTTTTAAAGAGTGTGTTGGGGGGGGGGGTGCGTACAGAACTGAGGGTATCTATCTTTGAGTGCATCTGATTCTGTTGGGCGGACACTATTCGAATACGGAAACAGTTATTAAGTAAAGGTTCATTTTAGAACTCTATAGAAATCAGTAAATTTGCTAGAACATATTGTAACCCAGGGAAATTAATCACTGGCATCTGATTGTGACTGAGTGCCCACATACTGTACTATACTGGGTGAGAATGTTCTAGTCCTGCAGACTTGAGTATTCTGGTTCCTGGGACAGTTGGGAATTAATGAACTGTGTTATTCTGACCTGAAATTCTAGTGACGTCTGCAGACTCCACGCTTTTACTGGACACACAGCGGTGTTTAATAAATGCTCGTGGCGTTGATTTAGCTCTCAGGAATTCGAGGAAGGAGCTGGAGCCCAGTTCTCTTGATTATTAAAGCTTCACACCCCGCCCCCGCTTTCCTATCCAGGTTGACCAGACCACCTCAACCCAGAAGCCCTGACAGGTGTCAATACTCTGCTTTCTACCAAATTTCAGTCCCCCCCATTTTTCCCCCTATTGCCAGTTGAGTAAACAGCCTTGTGGGTCTGTGATATGCTACAGGTCTTGCTCCTGCAAAGGACACAGGATTAATTCTCTTTATCACATCACCGTGGTTCGCACCTGCCACCTCCCTGCTCAGTGGCACCAGGAGAGCCCCCAAAGGCCCATTGCTTTACCTCTCCTGCTTCCTTCCTGGCAGGTTTTCCAATGCGTTTTCTTACTATGGATTAGTTCTGCTCACCACGGAGCTCTTCCAGGCAGGAGATGTCTGCAGCAGTGAGTATCGCAGCCCCATTGACCAGTGAACCCCTGCTGCTCTCCCACATGCTGTCTCACACACACACACACACACACACACACACACACACACACACAGGCACTCCCATCCCCAGGCCTGCCCTCACGGGGCCTGCCCTTGCCCAGATCCCAGTGATTTTACCCCGCACACTCCTGGGAGAAAGTTCCTGCAAAGTCTGAGCGCAGAAGATCTGGGCTGTGGGTTCCAAGGTGCTCCACAGAAACCTGGACAATCTTGTCATTGTAGAAGGGACATGACAGCGGAGCCACAACACCGCCCCCCCCCCCAATATTTACTGATTTTTAGAGGTGGGGGGGAGAGAAAGAAACAGCGCTTTGTTGCCCACTCATTGATGCGTTCATTGGTTAGCTCTTGTGTGTGCCCTGACCAGGGATCCAACAGCAGTCGGGATGGCGCTCTACCCTACTGGGCAACCCAGCCAGGGCTAGAGTCACCGCTTCGGAGCTCCAGGAAGTGCATCCCTGAGTTTGACCACTGTGACCCCGGGTGGCGATTCTCACGTGCACATTAAACCTGAGAACCAGGTTGGCTCTGAACGGTGGCGGCCACACAACAGAATCACTTGGGGGAGCTTCCAAACACTGCCAATACTGGTGAAACGGTGCCCAGACTAGTTTAATCAGCATCCCTGGGGTGGAGCCCAGGCATTAGTGGGTTATGAAAGCTCCCCAGGTGATCCTATTGTGCCGCTGGAGGTAGGAACCACTGGACAAAAGGAATGAAAAAACAGCAAAGTCTATATGCCGCTGCCTGGGCTTTCAAACCATTCTGTCTTTAAGAGAATACTAACTTCCTAGCATTGAACCCAGGATGGGAGAACAAAGGGGTCAAGTTCTCGCTTGTCTGCAGGATTTGCCCAGTTATCTTTTTTGTATTAAGCGTCTTTCATCTTAGCTAATGGTTTTGTTTTGAGGTATAAGGATTTAGTGGGATGGAGGAGCCACATCTCACTGGGGGGTGTGGGAGTCGAAATGAACTGCTCCGAGGAAGCAGCTCCGCTGTAGATTTGGGGTTTGGTACTGATGGAGCATGAATTGTGTGCCCTTCACAGCCAGCCTGCCAAATGAAGCAAAGCAGAGGGTCGGTGGGATGTTATAAAGCGGGGTTGGCAGCTTCTTCTGTAAAGGGCCAGAGAGTGAACATGTCAGGCTTTGTGAGACATACGCCCCGGTGTTGTAGCCGAGGAGCAGTCGGAATGACAAGCATTGCTTGTGTGCCGAGAAAACCTTATTTGTGAACACAGATTTGAACTTCCTATTATTTTTATGCCAAGAAGTGGTATTCTTCTTTTGGTTTTAAAAAATTATTTTAAAATGTAAAAACTGCTGTTAACCTGCAGACCAGGCGGAAACAGGCAGGAGGTCAGATCTGGCTTCTTGGGTGACAGTTTGCCGACCCCACTAAGAAGCTCTCTCTCATCTCTGGGTGGGAGGGTAATTCTGTGGAACGAGCCCACAGCCAGAAAAACCAGGGCCCCTGAGTGCCAGCACGCCACGTGGCTGTGGGACCTTGGGCGAGTCATTCATTCCTTCAGTATTGTCTTAGGTCCTGCCGGGCGCTGGATGTAGGACATATCAGTGAATACAAAAGACAAATAAATATGCCTGCTCTGGGGGCTTCCATGCTGGTGTAGAGAGAGGAAAAAGAGAGAGAGAGAGACTAGCTTAAAGCAAGTTAAGTAGTGTATTGGAAGGCGATAGGTGTGTTAAAGGAAAAACTTTAAAGAAGAGGTAAAATTGAAACTGGAAGAGTTGGTGTTTGTACCATTGTACTGTCACTACCAGAACCGATAAGTAGAGACAAGGATTGGATCTTTGCGGCACTTTATTCAGATGCTGACAATCTGAGGAGATGGCAGGTGGTGTACCCTAAAAACCGTCTTCCCGTGCTTTTTCCACGGAACCCCAGCCAAACCACACACAGAGAAGGAGGCGTGGGGAGCAGGAGGGTGTGATTTGAGCTCTGTACATGGCTTGCCCTCTCTCCCTGTCCCTCCCACCCCCCAGTTTCCAGCCGGAAGAAGGCAGTGGAGGCCAAGTGCAGCCTGGCCTGTGAGTACCTGAGTGAGGAGGACTACATGGACCTGCTGTGGACCACCCTCTCTGAGTTCCCAGGTGAGGGGCGTGTGGGGGGGTGGGGATGGGGCAAGTCACATTCCTGGTGCCGCCTGGAAGCACATCCCACTTCCAGGAGAGTTGGGGATTATTTTCTCAACTCTGAGCTGCAAATGGTCAGGAACTGTGAAGGGGCTGAGATTTTACTCTACCTGAAGGCGAACAAGTTAAGCTGCCCAGTTGCATGCATGCTGGCCGAAGACACGAGACTCCTGGGTCAGAGACAACAGACTCGTGGCACAGCAAAGAGCAGGGGAGCATACTAGCGTCAGCTCTCCTTGCCCTGAGTCCCACAGGGGTGGTGAAGAAGGAGCCAGGTAGGTATTACAGTACCAGGCATTTGCAACACAGCTGCGGAATCTCAAGCTTCAGGAACCTGCCCAGCCTGCGTCCTGGTGACGTCATCTTCATTATACTGGACAGAAGACAGACATGCCCTTTGCTCTGGAAGGAGACTGTCTCTCTATCTCCCAAGGCTATTTCTATAAAAACAACCCTGAAATGATAGTCTGGAACAACAGGGCAGCTAGTCCCTCAGCTCACAAGGTGTAGAGAAACACGAGACACCCGCGGGGCATTGCCCCCCAACCCCCGTCACACTGGCAAGGATCAGTGACAAGTCAAAACTCCAAACCTGCACGTGAAGCAACAGCGACCTGTCTTTCTCCTTTAGAAGAAATAATGACTATTATAATAATCTCTAGCAGTTTTTTGAGGGCTTACTGTATGTATACCAGGCACTGTGCTAAATGTTTCACAGGTAAGTTCTCATTTCATCTTGTGAAGTTGTATCATTATTCCCATTTTACAACCGGAGGAACTGAGCCCTGGAGAGGTGTAGCAGAAGCTATTCCTGCAACTTGCCGCTGCCAGTATCCTTGTCTGTGCCCAAGGGCTGTCTCGGGAGGAATGGGAAGCCTAAAAGCCAGCAAAGTGGCCGGCGGTGCCAGGGAATTAACACCCGGGAACAGCCTTCAACTGATAACTGCAGGAGTTGGTGTATCGATGCCCTGGCTTCCTCGCCCATCAGGCAGGCGGGGAATCTAAAGTGCACGCTCCACACTGGCTCCCAGAGTCCTCCTGTGGAATTCAGCCGTTTCAGCAGCAACCGCCCACGGTGGTAACCTGCCTGATAGGCACCTTCATTAGGTGCCTTCCTTCCTTCCCTGTCTCACTTCCTCACGCCCCTACTGGCACTTCCTGGGACGACCTGTCCGGTAAACACTCTGTACGTGCACCCTTGCCCCAGAGTCTGCTTCTCGGAGGTCCAGCGGAGACACCGCGCCCCACAGCTGCCGAGCTCAGACCTGGGGGCCTGCCTCTGGGCTCAGGGCCCTCACTCCTCTGCTACGCCGCCTACCTTTCTTCCCAAACCCTCTCCTCCTGTAGCCGAGGGAGGAAGAGCAAAGACTCCGGAGTCAAAGCCAGCGCGGCCAATTGCCATTTCCGAAACTTCAAGCACTGCCCCTCTCTATGATTTAGTCCTTCTAAAACTCAGATCCTCTTTTTTTAAAAATTATGTTTATTGTTTTGTTCTTCGTTTGGGCTCACTGACACGTCCCAAGCTCCCGGGACAGTCCCTGACACACAGCAGACACTCACTGTATGGACTGAATAAATGTGGAAGACGACATAATAGGTGTAAATAAGACAAGAGATGTAAAAGTGCTTGACCCTGATTTAATTATTCTTATTAATGATAATAAGCACTATCTTATACTGCATCCACAGAGGCCAGGAGTGTTGTTTTTATTGAATTCCATTTTATAGGTGAAGAAATTGAGGCTCAGAGAAGGCAAGGGACCAACCCTAGACCACATGGCAAGTGAGAGGGCAGAGAGGCCTTAGAACCCACGTGTTTCTGACTCCCGTCCCAGGTGTCCGCTGCCTGGATTCACGAATACCACTGTCCAGCTTCCCCTTGGTACCTACATTAGTTCCCCGTTACCGTGTAGCCAGTGATCGCCAGTTTTGGGGGGCTTCAGACAACCCATATCTATTACAGCGTCTGCGGGTCGGGAGCCTGGGAGTGGCTTGCCTGAGTCCCCCATGCAGTGTATTTCACAAGGCTGCAGTGGAAGTGTTGGCCCAGGGTTTGCGTCTCATCCGAAAGCTCATCCGCGGCAGGACCTGCTCCCACGCTCGCTTGCGTCGCTGTTGGCAGGATTCCGTTCCTCCAGGGTCGTTGGGCTCAGGGCTTCAAGTTCATTCCATTCCTTGCCAGGCGGCCCACAAGGCAAGCACGTGCAAAGCAACCTTCCATCACTTTGGCTGTACTCCATCATTCGAAGTGAACCTCTAGGTCCGGCCCACTCTCAAGGGGATTGTAGAGGGTGTGAATGTCAGGAGGTGGGGGTCACTGGGAACCACTGCAGACGCTGCCTGCCATGGTGCCTGCTCCCTTCCAGGTGTCCTTGTGACTCTGTGGATCATTGACCGCCTGGGCCGCAAGAAGACCATGGCTCTGTGCTTTGCCGTCTTCTCTTTCTGCAGCCTCCTGCTGTTCATCTGTGTTGGCAGGTGGGTGGTGAGATCTCAGGTCGCGGTCAGTGGCCCTTTGGGCCTGCGGGTTGTGGATCGCACCCCCTGGGGGTCCCCTGAGGGATTCCCTCCAGCCCCTCACTGGGACTGAGGCTCTTGGCTGCCTTAAAACTGACCAAAAGGTCGGGCTGAAAGTTGGGGAGCCTCAGACAGGGGGTGGGGACCCGAAGGCACTTTGGTCCAGGGTTTACTCCAATACCGTCACGTTTACATTCCACAGCATCTTCCGACAGCGTCATGCTGATAGCTGTTCCATTTATGTATGGGTTAAAAGTGTTCATTTGTTCCATGGAAATCTTTTAAATAGGCCCTGTTTTATAACCCCTTTCTGGTTCCAAATACGGAAGGGGCCATGCCTCTCTTGGCCTGAGAGGCCCCAGACAAAACCCAATGAGGAACCTGTGCAAGGTCTGAAGACGCAGCTTAGACCGAGAAATGTCGATATGCTGAGACGTTTACGGGAACACTAGAACAGAAGGTTGGGGATCAGGATCACCCTGAAAGTACCGAATGGAAGTTCGCTTTCCTTGGCTCAGCTGGTTCCTGGCTCAATATCCACCCCACTGGGTCCCGCCTGGACTTCTGATTATTTACATCACTTCTCCCCAGCCTGGGCTCCACCGATGTTTCCATCTCTCAGCCTGGTGCTCTGGAGAATGACACACTTTTAACAGCAGTCCATTAGAGAGGGCACCGAGATACGAAGACCCGCGTGCCTGCAGTATCAGGGCGTATCGAGTGGGGGTGGGCGTTGCCAATTTCCAGGGTGTAAATTCTGCCTGGGCAGATGGGACTTTACCGAAACAAGCTGACAGAACAGCAACAACAACAACAAAAAAGCCTGTTCATTTTATTTTTCTTTCCCTAGAACTATGCTCACTCTGTTACTCTTCATTGCAAGAGCGTTTATTTCCGGAGGCTTCCAAGCGGCCTATGTTTACACGCCTGAGGTAGGAGGGGTGCCGGGGAGCAGCGGGGCGGTGAGGCGGGGAGGCCTGTCTCCAGAAACACCCAGCCTGGGCTCCTCGGTGTGAGGTTTGTCCTTGGGTCTGAGCGACGACTATGAAGCCCTCCATTATTTCAGGCTATCTTTCTATCATTTTCTTTCTGCCTATAAAAGCTTATTATGTTCAATGTAGAAGTTCCAAATGATGCAGAGCTGTGTAGACCGAAAGTCCGAGGACCCCGCACCCCCCTTTGCTAGAGACGTCCTTCTTGGATAGTTCAGTGTAGTTCTTCCAGGTTTTTCTAAGCATCTATTAATACCTGTCGGAGCCTGTGTGCAACTGGGTAACTGAGCAACTGAGAGAGTTTCCTAAAGGGTCTAATGACGATGGCGTGGGCAGGGCTTAGGGGAACTACACAATGACCGAGCAGCACCGCAGCACTTACACTGGGGTGGAGGTGGCGGGGACACTGTTACCCTCCAAGACCAGAGAAGGGGTGTGACAGGGCCCCAGGAGGAGGTTGTGCAGAGACGAGCTGTGACCTTTAGTGACAGGACACAGGCAGCCTGAGACAACCTGGAAAGGAAGGAGCAGGAACATACACAGCCCAGCCTCTCTCTCCCACCTCCCGCCCATCCCTCTCCGGGGCTTTCCATTGGCTGAACCGGAGCAGAAGCCAGAGGGCCACGGAGCCCTTTTGTGGTCCACACAGGCCAGCTGCCAGGTAGAGATGAGGTGGGGAAGGTGGAGAGACGTTCTGGAGAGAAAGGCGGGAGACAATGAACATAGAACATGTGGGTCTGCTTTGTTCTTTTTAACAGCTGCTGTGCTGGGCTGCACTGCACTGTGCTGTGTTATACTGCACAGGACACACACACAGTGTGTGTTGTGTGCTCTACTTACCGTGTAGTGCATGTACTATATATCATATACCATGTTTTACTATATACTGTACATACACTCATATACTGTGCCATACTGCATAGTATATATACTATATACTATATACCATGCTTTACTATATACTACACATACACTTATATACCGTGCTGTACTGTATAGTGTACGTCTATACTATATATCACATACCATGCTTTACTAGATACTAGATACGTACACTTATATACCGTGCTATACTGTATAGTGTACATCTATACTATATATCATGCTTTACTGTATACTATACATATACTTATATACTGTGCTACATTGTATAGTGTATGTCTATACTATGTACTATATCCTGTACTTGCTATACTATAGAGTATACATATACACTATATATTATACTATCTTATGTATTAGATGTCGTCTATATGATATATACTTTACTATATATAATTACATGTGTTAGTTATTAATTGATATACTAACATATAACTATATAAATCACATTATATTATATTTATTGTTATATAATAAGATATATAATTCTAACATGTATATATACATACATATTAAGTTTAACTTAATACAGTGTCCACGGATCTCCTCTGGACTGTAAACAGGAACAGCAGACTGTGGAATACAGTCGCAGCCGTTGACAGGAATGAGGCGGCAGGTAGCTGGCTGTGGTGGGGTTTTCAGGCACATTGCTGAATGGGAAAAGCGAGTTTCAGACTGATATGTATAGAATGATACCATCTATGTATTAAAAATGATGCTATATATATTTTCTTTTTTTCAGATGTTATTTATTTTTAGAGAGGGGGAAAGGGTGAGAAAAGAGGGAGAGAAACATCAATTGGTTGCCTCTCACACACACCCCAACTGGGGACCAAGCCTGCAACCCAGACATGTGCCCCGACCGGGAATCAAACCGGTGACCTTTTGCTCTGTGGGGCAGCACTCAGCCAACGGAGCCACGCTGGTCAGGGCCAATGCTACATATTTCCTACATCTGTATTTTTTAACAGACCTGGGAAAACATATTCCAACTTCACAATAGTAGAGTCCTATGGGGAGAATTTTCCTGAGAGAAGGAGTAAATTAATAGGGAATTGAGGATTTTTACAAGAATATATTTATAGGTTGCTTATGTAACTAGCTGAATTAAAATGTCATATATAAATGCCTATGGTATGCATTCAGACAGTATTAGTGGAGTGAACAAATGAAAGAAGGAACATGTGTACAATCACAGAAAAACTAGGAGAATACACATGAAATGTGACAGTGGCCTCTGAGTGTTGGAGTCGTGCACGAGTTTGTTTGTTTTTTTTCCTCCTTGGGCTTGTCATTCTTTGAAAGCTTTCTGCACTGAGCATGGTGTTTGTTCGGGGCATGCCGCCTCCTAGAGCAAACTACTCCCCCGACCAGAACGTGTTGGCACAACAGACGTTTCTCACTTAAGAAACAGCCCAGCACGGGCGTTCCAGGCTGAAGGACAGCTGTCCTCCCCACAGAGGATCCTTGCATCTTGTGACTCCCTCCTCCAGACTGTGAACCAAGGGTGATGTTTGCCTCCCAGGGGACATTTGGCAATCTCAGTACATTTTAGGTTGTCACAGCTGGAATGGCAGGTGCAGAAATGTAACCGCAGCCAGCGGGTAGAGGCCAGAGATGCTGCTAAACATCTGACAGTGAGCCGAACGGCCTCCCCCGACCCCCGTGGTGCCCTGTTGGAAAACCCTGCCCCAAAGCCTCAGAGCCCTTCTTCCACCAGCAGACAGGGGCAGGGAGCGGGGAAGACGTGCCCACTTTTTAATCACCGTGTCCTGGAAGATGCACAGTCAGTCCCTTGTCACTTTGCCTGGAGGTACACCAGGCGCATGGCCATTCCTGGGCATGAACTGCAAAGCCCTGTAGACATTTCCATCTCTGTCTTTGTGAAATGCCTTGAGAGTCACTTTGACCAGTGCTTCAAGGTGAACCGGGGGCAAGTGGTGGGCGGGACGGTGCCTGAGTCACGAACGGAGCTCCTAGAAGAGTCTTTGGTGACCACGAGGGCAGAGGGACCCCCTCAATGAGTTCCCACCCACAGCTCAGGCTCCTCGCCCTCTTTCTCAGTTGAACTTCCTCTCTCCTTTGGGGTAAGAATCTTCACCCCAGCATCTCACTCCTCGGTGGGGTCACCGACACCTGAGGGTTCTGCCTAGCTTCAGGCCGGCCCCTGGGAGCCAGTTCAGCATTCCTGAGCTGGAGCAGAAAGAAGGATGTGCATTTTTTTCAAGGCCACATCGGGGGGCTGTGTTTCAGGTCTACCCCACGGCGACGCGTGCGCTGGGCCTGGGCACCTGCAGTGGCATGGCGAGAGTGGGCGCTCTCATCACTCCCTTCATCGCCCAGGTGGGTGTGGCCCAACTACGGAGCGGGTATGTATGTGTGACAAAGGCCAGTGCCTGGCAAGCAGTTACTATGTGCTGAGCCTTCGGTAGAGCCCTCTGTGTGCGTTATCTTAAGAGAAAAGACGTCCTGCTTGCAGATGAGAAAAGCTCAGAAGGGTCAAGGGACTTGCCCAAGGTCACACAGCTGGGAAGCAGAGAAGCTGGGGATCGAACCCAGGTCTTTCCCATGCAGAAGACCCCAGTGGTGTCATATCATTTGGCCGGAAGTAGTTCGGATGAAAACAAGTAGGCCCACACGATTCTGTGGGACACAAATGTCCCCGTCCCTGGTTTCTGAGTCGGAGAATTAGCTGTCGTTGTAGAACCTTGCAACTCCACGTGTGTGTCTTGAAGCATTTCTGCCCCGATTCAGGGAACTTATTTTGAAATCTTTTTGGCTTTTTAAATATGGAATTTATTTTTTTCCTCATTTGATCCCTGTTAAAATTGGAGATCAAAGCCACACCACACAAAAATCAGCCACTTTAAGGTGAACAGTTCAGTGGCATCTGGCATGTTCACAGTGTTGTACGACCGCCACCTCTAGCTGCTTCCAGAATGTGTTCATCACCCCCAAATGAAACTCTGTCCCCACTAAGCGGTCGCTCCCCACGCCCCTCTCCCTGTGGCCCCGGGAGCCTCCGATCTGCATTTTCTGTCTGTGTGGATTTACCTGTCTGGCTATTTCCTGTGCACGGAATTCCAACCCGTGTTTCGGCCGAGTAGTTCTGTTCTGCGCTGCTGTGTTCAGCCATTGTATGTGGCTGCCAACTAATACTGGTTGAGAGCTTGCCATGTGCCCGCGTGGTGCCAAGTGCTGCTAAGGTATCCTCTCATTAGGGAGTGGACACTGCCCTTGTGTCCATTTGCCAAACGAGGAAATGAGGTTCTGCCCTGCTGTGGGACTCGCCTGGTGCCATCAAGCTAGGAAGTCAGCAGAGGCACCGCTCTGGGAGAGAGCGTCGAGTTATAAGGAATACAGATTCTTGGGCCTGCTGGGGTCTGGGTTCAGATCCCCACCCCATCCCCAGCAACTGTATGAACTTGGGTATGGTACTTAACCCTTTTTGAGCCTCAGTTTTTCCCTCCATAAAATGGGGACAAAGAACCTACCTCATGGAGCTGTCCTGAGGACTAAATGGGACAGCCAGACAGTGCTAATAAGAGGGCCTGGCATTACCAATATCATCTGAATGGTTGGTGGCCCATTCAGGACGGATCAGATGCTCTCTCTGACATGTGTGTCTTCCTCCCCCAGGTGATGTTGGAGTCCTCCGTGTACCTGTCCCTGGCCGTGTACAGTAGCTGCTGCCTCCTGGCTGCCGTGGCCTCCTGCTTTTTGCCCATCGAGACCAAAGGCCGCGGACTGCAGGAATCCAGCCACCGGGAGTGGGGGCAGGAGATGGTCGGCCGAGGGACGCACGGCGCAGGCGTCGCCAGGTCGAACTCTGGCTCTCAGGAGTAGTGACCTCTGGGGGGCTGAGCTGGTCTTCGAGGCTGTGGAGTGCAGGGAGCTGGTGGAGCCCGTCTGGGGCGCCGACCGTCACTGCCGACACCGAGAACTCACCCAAGAGTACAACCTGGACCCTGGTTGCTCATTTCCATTGAGACCCCCCCCAGCCCCCATGGACGGGGAAGCATTTGCTCTGGGGGGTTTCTGTATGTGTGTGGGGAGGTTTGTTAATACCCTGTGGATCTGCATGGGAAACTGCCACACTAGGAGTGCCGGTGACACCGGTAGCCAGCCAGACACCATCCAGAGTTAGCCAGTCCACACCCTAGGTGAACAACAACCGAAAGATCTCCATAGATACCGTCCAGGCCCAGACCCCTGTGACACCTGCCGCCCACCAACCAAACCTGTTCAGTAGGTTTCTCCGACACCCCAGGCTCTGAATTTCCTCCTTTGAAATTGCAGGCAACTTGGGTGTGGCCTGAGCAGCTTTTCCTTGGGTCTGAGAAGTGCTCCCTCGGAAGGGGCCTCTCAGTTTGCCTCCCCAGGCAGAGCCTGGCTTGTGGTGACTCTGGCCGATGCACATACATTTGAACTTGAGCCATGTGCCCCACCTGGCCCACTTTGGAGTTGCTGCCCCTGGCTCTAGGGGGTCCAAATGTGTCCAAGGGGACAGCTGATGACCACCCCCGAAAGCGGTTGCACCGTGCACTGGGGACTGAGGCGAAAGGAAGGCAAGAATCAAGCCCAAAGTCAAAACAGGGAACTCCCATTTGTAAGCATCGAAGGCTACGTGGGGGCTTCCTCTCTCGCCCCCCCACCCGCCGGGCGGATTGGGGACTCTGGGGGAAAGAAAACAGTTAACTCAGGTCTCGGCACTTTGGATTTTGAGCTTGGGTGGATGGCCAAACAGACAGACGAAACAAAAAGATGCTGTGCCCACCACCCTTGCCAGCAAGGGTTGGCCCGGTCTTTACACAGAGGCAGCTCCTGGGGTTCCGATGACAGAGCCCACGGCAGGGATGCCACAGGGCGGGGAGGAACGGGATGTGTGAAATGTGTACATTTTCAAAGAGGGAGAAGGAAGGTCATTTGGGTTTCGGGTTGGCCTTGGAAGGAAGGGCTGACGCCGTGTCTCCGCCGACAGCATCCACCTCCTAGGTTTGGTTTACAGGAGTTTTTGCCCTTTCACGAAGGCAGGGGACCTAGAGAAGGAGAGAGGAAGCTGTCGGATCCCACCAAAGGCCAGAGAAGACGGACTCTCTGCGTGGAGATGTCTGCTCGAAGTCAGTATTGCGAGGAAGCCAAATGTGTACGTTCATCTCTTATTAAAACATGTTGGTGATGGACATCACAAGGGGCCAAGTTTGTTCATGTGTCGTGACGCCCTAGTGACAGTTCAGCCCGATGGTCTCGCCAACTTTGTCCATCCAGCGCCATCCCAACGCTTTAATAATATGACCATCTTTCCCATAAGGGGAAAATGTCGCGCAGTTGGCTGCCAACATTGTGACTTTGAGTTTGTTGGAGGCAGCACTTTCTTCTAACAGCGTCAAGGTCACAGTGGGCAACGTCTTTAGGTTCACGTCCTAGGTCAATGGCAAACGATCCTGTGGACCCTGGAATAGGGGCTGCAGCCCCCTTGGCCCAGTCGGTCATTCAGAGAGGAGGCAGCTTGGCAGGTCTTCCTCTCCCTGGCAGGGAGGGTGTGCCCTTGAACCCTGAATGGCTACAGCTCTAATTATTTCTGGTCTGCTGAGCTCTCCCAGGTAACACAGAACCTTCGCTTGGTCTTTTTGCCTCTTGGCTGGCCAGACACTGCCGGGTGAGTGCACCCACTCCCTTGCCCTCAAATAACCCGAAGGAACTGGGGGCTGGAGTGAGGAAGGGATGCTTGGTGGGCAGAAGCGTTTTCCAGGGGCTGGGGGTGAAGAGGCCTACCATGGAGGGCCTTCTCTTCTTGAGAAAATGAAAGTTAAACATTCTTGCCTTCTAAATTGCCTGCCCTTTAAAAAAAATCAATATTATTGAATGACACAAGAGCTGCCACGAAAGTTGCCCAAGCCTTTAGCCGAGGACATTTGTATCTAATTTTGAACCATCCGAAAGCTCCCGTTTCCGTTAATGGAAATGCCATCTGTTTCTCTGCGCCTTAGGAAAGATTTCAGAAAATGGCAAGAGAGGTTTGGGGTAGCCAGGGTTATATAGTTTCTTTTCCTTCAAATAGTCTTGGGGACACGTAGATGACCCTGGTGGTGTTGGCAATGAGAGGAGTGGCTGTCTTAGGGATGGGCTTTGAAATGAGTATGGACATTCGTTATTTTTAAATAACATTAATCAACAGAGGGCTTGTAGGGTGAGATTCAGAGTCTCCCTTGGTTACTACTAATAAACATCCAAGGACTGTATATCTTGAGCTGTAAGCAGGAGTAAAACTAGTCACCAGAAGCTTAAACCATTAAAATATTAATTGTTCATTTAATGACAAGCCCAGAATCAGGCAGGTCTAGGCAAGATTCAGCAGCTCAACAATGTCATCAAAGACCCAACTTCTTTTTGCCTTTCTTCTCTGCCATCTTCTGCATGTTGGCCATTTGAAACCTCATGGTCACAGGATGGCTGCTGGAGTGCCAGGCATCATCTTTATTTTCAAAGGAGATAGATTGGTAAGGAACCATCCCAAAAGACCTTCCTTCAAACGGGTCTGTTGGTTTTGGTTACAAGGGAATCCCTTCAGCAGATTTACCATCACTTTGCATTGGTCAGACCTGGGTCCTCCACCCATCCCAGCATGAATCCTTCCCTAGGACTGGGGATGGAAGGACCTACTTCCCACAGGATCGAGGGATATGCACCGCCTCTTGACACATGGGGATTCTGTGAGCTCGGCGGAAGGAAGACAATGGTGGTGGGAAGGGGGATGGCGGAGAGAAGCCTTGCCACAGAGTTCTCATCAAAGCTGTTTTAATTGTGAGGAATAGTGACCTGACTCAGGTTAATTCAAATGAAGAAGCACAGTTGTATTATAAGGCTGGGATCATCGGTAGTTAGTTTCCTACAGGGGACACCGGGGAAAGAGGGGAGGACAGTGGCAGAGTAGGGAGCGCAGGCCCTGTTCACAAAGAGGGCTGCATTGACTCAGTTGTAGCTGATTTTTTTTTTTCTGTACGATAGGATCTCCCAATTTCCAAGACAAGCATCTGGATTTTTATGCCAAATCTCCACATTTTAGTATGTTGGATCAAAAAAATGTTCATGATGTGTGAGCCCAAGAAAACTCATCTGCGGGCCAGGTTTGGTGAGTGGGCTGCCAGTCTGCAGCCTCCAAAAGGGTAGAAAGATCTCAGAAAGAAAGTACAGCCTGGCCTCCCCCCAGCAACAGGGAACTGGGGAGCCTCCAGGGTCTGAGACAGCCCCTGTCTGGACCTGCGGCCCCATTTCCACTTTTCTCTGCAGACCTGCTTGCTTCTGCGTCCTCGTGGTGGCTGCTATGCCTAATGGTGCATACGGCTCCCACTCGCTGTGGCTCAGCTCTGCAAACAAGGCTGACTCCAGTGCTCTGTGTCCCGCCCCCAAATCCTCAGGGGAGGCAGCTGATTGGTCCACATTAGTGTCAGTTCTAGTCCTGGTCTAGTGAAGATGGGTTGGGGGATGAGGTTGAGAGGTACAAACATGGTGCCTTTGGCCCAGTCTTTCAGCACAATGTCACAATGACAGGTATGTCTGGAACCCACAGTGACACGTGTAAACTCTCAAGTCTGTTCATCATAACTACTGTGGACCATGTGGCGGCATGGGTTCAGCACGTATGGAGTCTCCACTGTGAACTGAGCATGATACTACTCAACACTGAGGATGAAAACAAGAGTGAGACGTGGTCCTTATCTTCGTGCTGCACGCACAGTGTAGCAGTGGATGCAGACAGGAACAGGTCATGGTGATACAGTGTAATATGGATGCTAATGGGGGGTTGCAGAGCATTGTGGGAGGCACACAAGATGCCAACCCTGAAGCTCTAGAACATTCCAAGGCCTCTTCTGATTCCTCAAAGACTCAGTGGTTTCGGGCAGACTTGCGTCACTGGTAGTGCTTTACTGTAGTCGGATTCCTTGACATTTGAACATCCAGATACATCATATGTAACCATTTTTGGTTAGTCAAGAATATTTGATGGTGAACCACTTCAAATGCTCCTACCCCCACCCACCATGCCAGAGACCAGAATCCTTTGTAAATCCATCAAGAAAAGAATAATTCCACTCACAATAGCATCAGAAAGAATAAAACGCTTAGGAATGAATTTAACAGAAGGGGAGTAAGATTTTCACAGAGTACAAAACAGTGCTGAAAGGAACTGGAGGTCTAAATAAATGGAGAGACATTCCAGGATCATGGGTCAGCAGACTTAAAACTGTTACACAATCAATCAATACTCCCCAAACTGATCTATAAATTCAGAGCAATCCCTATTAAAATCCCAGCAAACGTTTCATGCAGAAATTGGCAAACTGATTGTCAAATTCATATGGAAATGCGAAAGGCCCAGATTTGCAAAAAAAGAAAAAAAAAACCCAAAAACAAACAACCATGTATAACATCAAAAAAGAAGAGTGAAGTTGGAGAACTCACCGTTGCTGATTTTAAAACTTACTCCACAGCCACAGTAACTAAGACAGAGGTGCTACACGCAGATAGCATGTAGATGAATAGGATCGCGAGTCCAAAAATTAACCCATGCATTTATGATCAATTGACCGAAGTGCCAAGACAATCCAATGAAGAAATAATCTTCCCTAAATTCATCAGGCTGTCAAGAATTCCTTAAACACACGCTGGCAGATGGCCTTCAGGGCAGGTTAGGGAGCCACATCGCAAAGAGGTCCTTACCACTCACAAAAAGAACGGGAGGGTCCCTCTAGGTCTGAATGTGAACTTGACTAGCCCCAGCCATTTGCATGAGTGAACTGGGTCCTGAGTCCTCTAGGGGTGCCGATGATAACTAACCTTGACCAGTAGGGGTCGCTCTCCCTGGGGAATTTTTAGGTTGGGTGAAGATAGAACTTTTATTTTTAAAAAATCAAATGTTGTGTTCCACTCGCAGCCCTGGGAAATGCTCCCCACCCCACCGGTGTGCCTTGCGAGTCTCCTGGTCTCAGCTGTGACGAGGGAGGGGCTCGTTCCTTCCCAGCGTGTTGGTGGAGAGAGTCGGGAAAGCAGTCCCGTGGTTGGCTCTCTACCCCCCCCCACCCCACCCTGGATCAGTGCTGCGTGGGGGTCGAAAGTGAGGCACTGAGATCCTCTCGGTTCTGGCCCCGAGTCTCCATTCTGTGGCTTTCCTGGTGCTGACCTCCCAGGGCCTCTCTGTGCCTCGGTCTGCTCGCCTGTGAAATGGGAATAATAGCTCTTCCATGGGCGGCGGAGGGGTTGTGAGCATTAAATGAGTGATGTGTGCAAGAGTGTAGCACAGGCAGAGCCTGGTACCTGTTAGAGTGCAACAACTTTCAGTTATAATAATAATCATAATTACTAATTACAGATGCTCCTTGACTTACGGGGGGAGGGTTATGTCCCAATAAACCCAGCATAAGTTGAAAATATCATAACCCGAGAACACACTGAATACGTCCAGTCTACTGAACATCACAGCGAGGCGTAGCCTGCCTTAAACATGCTCCGAACAGCTCTGTTGGCCTACAATAGAGCAAAACCATCTAACACAATGGCTATTTTATAATAGCGTCGAACATCTCATATAATATCATGTGTGTTGGTTGCTTTTGCAACATTGTAAAATTGAAAAATCGTAAGTCAAACCATCAAGACAGGGACTATCATCATCATCATCATCATCATCATCATCATCATCATCATTATTACTATTATTAGAATGCTAACTTAGACCTTAGCTCTCTCCCTACTTAGCTTAGGGCTGGCCAAAATCATGGCAGATACTTCAAGAAGAACCCATCAGGTGAAACAACACAGGAGGGAACAGTAATGGCACAGACCAATGGAGACCCCTTCACAGCGCGCAGGGTATCGCTGATCCCAGATGCACGAAGACCTCCAGGAACTGACCTTGTGGTTCCCCCTCACCTCGGGCTTCTTGTGGACGGGAGCCAGGGAGGGGTGGGGTGGGGGGTAGATGATGGCTTAGAGAGGAGCACGTTGATTAGTTGGCTGAGGAATCCTTGGGTAGGGGAGGTGGTCGCTGGCATCTTCAGAGGTGAGATGGTGGCATCGTGAGCAACTTCCTCTCTTCTAGGACCTTCCCAAAGAGCTTGGCCGCCTCCAGGGCGCAGCCCCAGTGGATGGTGAGCCCGTAGCCTCCGTGGCCATAGTTGTGAATGACCTGGGAGAGGCAAGAGACAAGATGGCCTGTTCTGCCCTGGGAGATTCCAGAGCTTTCTGAAGAGTCCTGGGCAAAGGCAGACGGCACCAGATGTCTCCTCAGCACCCTTGTGGGAGGTCGGACACCGCCCCCCGCCGCCCCAGGAACAGCAGTAAGGAGGTTGCTTGAGGAACTGGAGGTTGACCCCCTAGATTTCTCTTCTACTTAGGAGATGAACCTGCTTTACACACTCAGCACAGGAAACGTAAAATCGTCTAGAACTTGCGGTCAGATCCTGCTCTAGACTGCCAAACTTCCTGTGCTAACAGATGGCTCTTCCACCCTGCTCCGGAGGAAAGAAAACCAGGGGCACCATACAAGCGAGCAGACTCTGGGTAACGTGCTAATTCCTCCCGCAGGCAGAGGCAAGACCCTGGGGCAGTTTTCAAAGCTAAAACCATCAGCGAGGGGTAGAAAACTCCCTGCATGACTCCCCCCTCAGCACACACACACACACACACCCAGGGCAAGAAAGGCAGGGTGGCCCAGACAGGGAGATGGCTTTCCAGATGGAAGCACCCAACTGCCACCTGCTCACGTCAGTGCCTGCCACCCAGGACGACCTCTCCCATGATTTCAATAAGCCCACTTCCCACCCCATGAGAGAGAGAGAGAGAGCGAGAGAGAGGACCCCAGGGAGATGATGGAGCAGCCACAGAGAGACGGGAGCTGGAGTCAAACTCAGACCACCTTCCAGGCCTGTCCCTCACCAGTGGCCTGACTTGGGCAAGCGGCTGCACCTTTTGGAGCCCCGGTCTGCTCATGGGAAGCGTGGGGAGAAGAGTCCCGACCCCAAAGAGCTGGAGGGCAGGCTCCATAACATCGTTCATGTCATGGACACAAAGCAGATGTGTCTTGACCACAGGCTTTACCGGACCACAGGCTTTAGCAAACCTAGGCACTGCTCTCTGTGTAACCTTAAGCAGGTCCTTTACCATCCCTGGGCCTCAGTTTCCCCATTTATAGAGGAGGCGCTCTTAGCCACCACGGCCAGGAACCTTCTTTAGGGGGAGGGAGGGCCTCGCTTTCCCTGCCAGGGGAGCGTACCTCTGTGTTTGCAGATCCGAAGCGAAGCCGTTCTCGCTCTAGCCGGATCTGGGGGCGCACTGGCCGGCAGCCAGTGCATTCAGCAACGATTCTGGCGTCCTGGAGAGAAAAGTGTTAGTGGTTCATCTCCGGATTATTTTTTCTGCTGCCATTTTTACGTGAGAGAGAGAGAGTTTGCTTTTGGAACCTCACCATCATTACCAGCGCCGTTAACACCATCACTGTCTGTTTTATTCCTCGCCACTGCCACCGTCACCACCTTTGCCAGCCACCAGCATCATTCCTATCACTCGTCACCACCAGTTTTATCAGCTGCCCCATCGTCATCGACCGCCACCACCAGGCACCACCTCACCACCCTCCGAATCACCACCGCCAGTGTTTTCACCCCTATCGATCCCGAGCAGCACCTCCGCCCCCTCATCACGCTCTCTTCACCATCAGTGTTGTCATCGCCACTAGCAAGCACTCAGGGAAACTGGGGTTCATGCAACAGGCACAGCTGTCCCTGGTGAACACAGAGTAAGGTGTTCTGAGGATGGCACCTCAAGAGGCAGCAACTCTTAGTCATGGCCATAAAGGTTCATCCGCCCATGGCAGGACTTCCCTGGACATTACCAAGTTCTGGTGTATTCCACAGACCCCTGCTGGGATTGATTCACCCAACGATCCCACAGTGGGATCTTCCATCCTCAAGGGCCCTCGCGATCAAGCTGCCAGGACGCGGGTGTAGGGAACGGATAGCTCTCCCCACCTCACCTTCAGTGTGGGCTCCAGTCTGCAGCAGCCTTCCCAGATGGTGTTGTGGTCTTGAAGACTGTTGGCCTCGCTCCAGTTCCCCAGCTCGAAGATGCCTCCGAGAGTCAATGCCTGGATCCTACGTAGACGTAAGGAGGGTCAAGGATGGTGGAAAACAAAGCCTTTGTGACAAACGGGGGTCGTCACCATGCTGCCCCGCACCGCCACCTCTGCCTAAATCGCTGCTACCCTCGACCTTGTCATTCCTGCTCACAACACCATCAAGACCACAGCAATCACCGTGGTCACCGCCATCAGCCACCACCTCTGCCATCGCCAATGACATCACTGTTAACATTGTCCCCTCTTCCACCGTACGGCATGGTGACCATCGTTAACACTGCCGTATTACACGCTCGAAACTTGCTGAGAGAGTAGATCTCGAATGTCCTCACACACACACAAAATGTAATTATACGAGTAAGGGAATCATTTTACAGCATACACACCTGTCAGATCACTTTACACACCCTAAATGAACACAGTGCTGTGTGTCACTGGTATCTCCATGAAGCTGGAAGAATATGGTCGTGTCTATCAATGACATCACCTTCACCACTCCCTTCCTTGTCACCATTAAGATGGCATCACCATCAACCCCAGTCACCATTTCCACCACCATCATTAGCCATCGGTGTTGTCATCTCCTCCACACCATTAACATCGCCGCTGACACAGTCAGCACGGCCACAACATTGACCTTGACGCTGTCATCTCTGCCACTTGATTAACATTATCATTGACACCGTCATCTCCGTCAGCACTGCCTACCCCCCACTCCCAACCACCGCCATCATCAACGCTTAGCTTCTCACCAGGAGCAATACCATCTTTGCTAGCACGATGTCACCGTCAGCAGCAATGTCACGCGTCCACACCACCCCCATAATCAGTAACATCACCACCGCTATCACTGATGTCACCGTCCACTCCAGTCACCATTCCCACCACCCTTCCTCTTATTGCCTCACACTGCCTCCGCTGTCACTGCTGTCACGCCTTTGTCTCCAGCATCACCTTTGTCTCCAGCATCACTGTCACCCAGAAGCATGTTCAAGAGAGAGCCCAGGTAAGCCCAAGTCCTACCTTTCCAGGCATTTAATGGCTCAGCCACACTTAAAAAAAAAGACATTGGGCCCTGGCTGGTGTGGCTCAGGGGATTGAGCACCAGCCTGTGAACTAAAGGGTCACTGGTTCGATTCCCAGTCAGGGCACAGGCCTGGGTTGTGGGCCAGGTCCCCAGTGGGGGCGTGTTGAGAGTCAACCACACATTGATGTTTCTCTCCCTTTCTTTCTCTCCCCCTTCCCCTTGCTCTAAAAATAAATAAGTAAAATCTTTTTTTTAAAAATTGGAAGGAAAAAAGCCAAAGGGACCAAGCAAGGGGCCTGAGGTGGGCAGCAGGGCCATAATGAGGGCGTAAAGAGGCGCCCCCTTCTGCCTAGGATGTCGGGTTTTTACCCTGGGATGATGTACGGGGACTTGTAGATGCCGCTGTCTGGGTCGTGGGTGAGGATGAAGTGCTTCACCCAAGGAGCGTCCACCTGTTGGTAGAGGATGGGGAAGCCTCATTGGGGCGCTGGACCGGCAGCCCCCCGCCCTGCTCCGCTCTGAGACCAGATGTTCCCATAAGACGGTCAGTTCCGTAGCCCTCCCTGGATGCTGCCGGCCGCAAGTCTGCCCCGGAAAGCCTGCTCTTGCAGGAAGAGCACCCTGACTGAGAGCCGGCCTGCTCCCTGAGGCGTCGCTCAGTGCCACCCACAGGTGCACAGAAAAGCCCAGCACCCGTGTGCAAATGCACACACACGCCCATTCCCACACATATCCACACCTAGGAATGCACATGTGTATATTCACAAACGGACATGCCTCACACACATGGACGTGCACACAGTGAGAGGTGGCGTGGACTGATGCTGACACCCAGGCTCCTACACCAGGCTGCCTGGGTTCTAATCCAGCACCACCACTGACTACTGCATGAACTTGTGCATGGTACTTAAATCCTCAGGTTCCCCTCTGTGGGGTGGCAATGGCGATACGATGGACCCCACCGCAAAAGGTTGTGGTTTGGGTTAAACGATTCTCACTATAAAGTCCTCAGGCCTGTGCCTAGCACTTAGTAAACACTTCATAGATGTTTACTCTTTTTGTTTTTATTATTATTATTTGTATCCTCACCCAAGGACATGTTTTAATTGCTTTCAGAGCCAGAGGAAGGGATTGAGAGAGAGAGGGAGGGAGGGAGGGGGGGAGAGGGAGAGGGAGAGAGAGAGAGAGAGAGAGAGAGAGAGAGGGAGAGGGAGGGAGAAAGGAACATCAGTCTGAAAGAGAAACATCGATCAGTTGCCTCCTGTACACACCCTAACCCGGAATTGAACCCAAAACCTGGGTACATGCCCTGACCCGGAATCAAATCCTCAACCCTTCGGTCCACAAGATGATGCTCCAACCACCTGAGCCATACCAGCCAGGGCTCTTTTTATTATAATACAAGCATATTTGTACATATATGCAGCTCCCACATATGTACACACATATACACACATGCTTTGCTATTAAGAAGAAACCTAAAAAGAGAACATTTGGGAGGGTCGTGTTGTGTTGGTCTTTCTTGCTTCTTTGACAGGCACGTCCTCTAACAGATGTCCCTGCCGCACCCTCTAGCCTTGGAGATGAAATAAGCAGGCAGCTACAACCTTCCTAGCAACAAAAGTCGGGGGTCTCATCCCTCGACCCCACACTCACCTTAATGATCTGCCCCCGGCCTGGCTGCAGCAGGGGGTCTGGTTGCAGCGCCCCGGCCCACACGCCAGTGCAGTTGATAATCACATCAGCGCCTCCTCTTGCCACCTGGTGGCAACCAACAGGGCAGGTGGGGTGGAAGGGGGTGAGGCAAAACGCCCGAGTCCTTCTGGGGCTGACAAAAGCTTAGAGTCTGGGATGGGCCTCGAGGGGACCCTGAAAGGGGGCTGAGAAGGGGGCCCTCAACTTGGCAGCAGGAAGCAAAGCCTTGCCTCTTCTCCCCCCTCCCACGCCCGGCCCCTTCCAGCCCCGCAGCTCACCTCCTCAAAAGACTCCACCTTCCGCTGGAAGAACTTCACTCCCCTCTCAGTCAACCTGGGATGATCAGACACATGGAAAAGCTCACTACTCAGTCCTCTATCCATCTCTCTAAGAGGATGGCATGGGGGACATTTCCCAAAGAACCTTCTGTCCCACAGGATGCTCCTTGAGAGAACAGCTGTACAGCCAAATCAGCTCACGAGCACCTTGGTGCACCAGTGTGCCACGAAGGGTCTTTGGGAAACCTGAGATGGTCCAAGCTCCGTGTCGGGCAGATGGCCATGGGAGAAGGGCCTTGCTGCAGGATGACAGCAGGGGTGTCAAACTCGTGTTCACCAGGGGCCACATCAGCCTCGTGGTTGCCTTCAAAGGGCCGAATGTAATTTCAACTCCTTTAACAGTTAAGGAGTAGTTACATGTATACAGTCCTAAAGTTATATTACGTGCAAAGAGCTTCCCTGGTGGTTCTGTTGCCCAATTAGGCACGGGAACCATTGTCTTAGTGCATAGGACACAGGACAGCTGCTACCACGCCTAAGGGTTGACATTTGGGGTTGGTCAATACAAAGGCAAATACCATGAACAACCATCCGCTACAACCCTGGTCCCTGGGAGGTGCCTTCCTGAAACTAAAGGTGAAACCTCACCTTTCTGTCAGCCACTGCAGGTACGTCCTCCCCTCCAGAATGAGGTTTGTGCTGAACCAGCCGTAGCTAGAGTCACAGCAGGCAAAGGCAGGAACAAAGGGTCAGAGTCAAAGTTATATTTGAAGACCATCACATGGAAGTGGGAGCAGTGTTGGTTTTTTTTTGGGGGGGGGTGGAGCTTTCAAAGGTAGAAATAGAACCACTGGGTGAAGCTCAAGGGGGAAGTGGTTTTGAGCTCAATGCAAAGAAAACTTTTCTACCATGCAAAGCCATCCTGGACACGCGGACGTGCAAGTGGAGACGGGATGTGTATTTGTAGAGGGGACTCAGGCATTGGAGGTGGGGGTGAGCAGGGGACCAGGGAAACACTGGGCTGTAGGAAAACCAATAGAGGGGTTTGGGGTCACCCCGACTGGATTGGAATTCCATTTGGGTCACTTGGTTATGTGGCCTTGGGAAGTTACTAGCCCTTCTAAAGCCCAGTTTCCCCATCTACAAAGGAGGATAGCGATATGGCGCTTCTGGCCCTGAGATCTGTGATTCCGCATCCCCCACTTCCTTGGCCCAAGGCCCAGTCTGGGTGGGTGTCCCCTCCGAAGGAGCTGGACAGAGCACCAGGAGACCAAGGGATGAAGGGCCTTAGGCCTAGGGTGGGACAGGACCTTTGGTGACTCCATCTTCCGCCGCCTTCTGACAGGTCCGTCTGCACTGTGGGGCCTCAGCCCCTTTGCTCATGACAGCCACCTTACCTGTAATTAGGGAACATGTCCAGCTCTCTGGGGGTCAGTCTCCGAAATCCCAGAACTATGTCCTTCCAGAAAGGGTCCTGCGGAAGCAGAAGAGAAGGGGGTACAGGGATGGGCGAAAGTCAATAATAACAATAACAACAAAAATGTACATAATGTCAACTGTGTGCAAGGCTCCATTGCAAGCATTTTACCTATACCGCTGCGTGTAATCTTCACAACGACCCACTGAGCTAGATACTATCCTTATCCCCATTTAATAGATGGGCCCATTGAGGCTTAGAGAGGTTAAGTAACTTGTCTGAGATCACACAGCTAATAAATAGTGGAGCTGAGGTCTGAACCCACACAGTTTGGCCTCAGAGTGCAATTCTCAACTGTTGCAGGTGAGAGGAAGACTTGGGGTGAGTGATAGGGCAGGGGTCAGAAGTGTGGGAGAAAAGGGGAGTGAGTGAGAGTTGCCAAGGGGTGAGAGTGGGAGGCAGCAAAGCACAGGGTCAGACAACTGATTTGGAGATTTCGACCTCACCACCGATGACCTTGAATTCTCTGAGACTCAGTTTCCTGGTCTGTGTCATGCAGTTAAGAGTCCCATGTGGTCCCATGAAAGGTAATACATAACTTGGGCAATGCTCTTAGCACAGTGTTATTAAGTGTTGACTAAACGGTGAAGAGCTGGCCTGGGGTTGTGGGCACCCAGCCAAATCACCCTCGCCAAACAACCTGAGGACATCCTCCACGTGGTCACAGACTGCCTGGGTTCAAATCCCAGCTCCGCCACTTTAAAGCTTTATGAGCTTAGGTAAGGTACTTTATTTAATCTGAAAAAAGGAGATAGTAACACTCCCTTCCTGGTTATTTTGAGAATTAATAACGCTTTGTAAAGTAGTTAGGACAGGGAACAAAGGGGACTTAAAGTGAACTGGTTTTGGATACAGAAGTCTGTTGCCTTCAAGACTCACAGCACGCCCCAGCACCGGTCTAGGATCAAGGCTCTGCCCGTAGCCAAGGACTCCACTCACCGGAACAGCTTCATGGAAGAGGTTGTAGCCTGAGACTGGGGCCAGGCCCATGCGCACAGCCTTGGGAGAGTGGATGTGGCTCAGGAGATAGTCGAAGGTCTGCTGGTTCCAGTGCCTGGAAGGGTCCCCCAGAGTCGCATGACATAATACCCTGAGCTGTGCCGGACAGCCCCGAGGGTCACCTCGTGTAGGGCTGTGATCAGGCTGGCGGGGAGGTGTCCAAAGCCAGCATCCCACCACTTTCCACTCCTGCAGCACCCCCAAATGCCTATGGTCTTCCCCCTTCCCAGACTTTCCAGTATTTCCCCACGAACAGAATAGAGAAGAGGGAAACAAAGGGTGCTCCATCGCAGCCAGCTGGAGCCTGCCTCCAGCTTGGGGTCACGTAGCTGCCAAGTTTAAATGAAGGCTTGGACCCATTTGGGGGACTGTGAGCCACATACGTGGTTCAGGCTCTCTCTGAGCACCCCCACTGTAAAAACAGCTTGCACTGCAATATGCTTTCCTCTTCTCCCTGGGCACCCAGCTCACCTACATTTCCCAGACTCCCTTGCAGTTAGGTATGGCCATGTGACTGCCTTCTAGCCAATGGCAACTGAAGACTATGTACCTGTGGTCCTCACGCTCGGCTCCTTGCACAGGCGCCAGCCTGTGAGAATGGCCACATAGGAAGCCAAAGAGGAGGTAGGCAGAGCCATGAGATGGGAAGGAGCCTGGTCCCTGAATTGTCACCCAGTGATCGGGAATGCTGGTTTTGGAATTTGTGGGAAGTAAGAGCAGCTGGGGGCTTCAGAACTAACACAATGACCTTTACAACTTCTTTGCTAGACTTGAGCATTGACCCACCCACTTAGAACTATTCCTAATTCACCAACGCATGGGGTTTCGACAGCCACCTGGTTTAGGGGAGGAATGGAGACAGAGGCCTCTACCAGCCTGGCACATATCGCTTCTGTCACTGCTAAGATCATGTGTAGCCTCTGTCTAGTTGATAAAAGGGGCTTAATATTTATTATTTCCTTCACATCCTGCCAGGCCATCACCTCCACAGAGGACTTGTAACTGGTGACAGGGACTTGGCGAGGACTCGGCTCCCCTGGCCGCCCGGCCACCCTCTGGGAACCTCACTCACACCTCCTGTGGGTTGCTGGGGTCGGAGAGGTAGGGCTGCCACAGGCCGGCAGCCACGTCGGTGGTGGTGAGCGGCGTGAAGCGGTCTGCATAGATCTTCACGTCCAGCGACGGCAGCACTGAGTGGTAGCGCTCGTGGATGCAGAGCGCGGTGGACAGCCCAACGACGCCTGCTCCGATCACGACCACGCGCATCGTGCCAGCCTGCAGGAAGGAAGGGTAGCGCTGTGCCATCGTCACCGTCAGCCCCGCCACCAGCACCATCACCTCCACCGTCCCCTGAAGGCCGAGAAGGCACCGGAGACCACCAAGCCCTTTTAATACTTGGTCCTCTGAATGACCCTCCCAAATGGGAACACCGATGCATGGAGAGACAAAGCAACTTGCCCAAGGTCACACAGCTTCTCTGGGAAGATACCACCTTCTCTGGGAAGTCCCCCCTGCCAAATACACCTTATCTATTTGGAAGTATAAAAAGGGCCTAGCAGAGTACCCGGCCAGCTCCAGGCCGGGCAGTCTAATGGTTAGGGCAATGGGCTCTGCCTTCCCATCTCAGATCTCAGCTCTGCCTCCTGCTGGCCACTGACCTTGGGCAGGATGCTTCACAAGGCTCAGTTTCTTCTTCCGGAAAATGGGGGCATCAACTCATGCCTCGGAGAGTAGATGAAAGATTCATCAAGAAGGCAAATGTAAAAAGCTTAATCTAGGGTCTAGTACAGGGGTGTCAAGCTCATTTTCCCTGAGGACCACATCAGCCTCGTGGTTGCCTTCAAAGGGCTGAATGTGCCCTGGCTGGCATAGCTCAGTGGATGGAGCGTGGGCTGGGAACCAAAGTGTCCCAAGGTTCAATTCCCAGCCAGGGTACATGCCTGGGTTGCAGGCCATAACCCCCAGCAACCGCACATTGATGTTTCTCTCTCTTTCTCTATCTCTCTCCCTTCCCTCTCTAAAAATAAATAAATAAAATCTTAAAAAAAAAAAAAGGGCTGAATGTAACTTTAGGACTGTATGAATGTAATTACTCCATAACTAGGGGCAAGGAGCTTGGTGCTGCTGCCAGTAGAAACAAGGTACCAGGCCAGATATAACAAGGTGGGGGTCCGGATTTGGCCCGCGGGCCTTGTGTTTGCCACCTGTGCTCTAGTACAAAAGAAGCGACTTATGACATTTCTGGAGCACCTGCTGTGAGCCAGCCTCAGCACCAAGTGCTTCCTGGGCCTCATTCCGTTGAAGTCTCCCAGTGTTCTTATGAGGTAGGGCAGCATCACTGGCTCCACTTTACAGATGACCAAACTTAGGCTCAGAGAGGTGAAGTCACTCACTTGAGGTCACAGAGCCAGGAAGTGGTGCTACTGGGATTTGATTTCAATTCGAGGAAACTCACAGGCACTTATTGCACACCTACTGTGTGCCGGGCTGCCAGCTAGTGGATGCAGCTGTGAGAGCATGAGATGCACAGGATGCAATGGTTGGCCTCAGAACTCGGGTGTTCCAGCATCCCCCCCACCCCGCCCCAGGGGCAGGGCAGCCTGGGTTCTCAGGAGTTTAGGAAGCCTAGCAGCTTTTGACCTTGAAGCTGATTGGGCCCCCACAGCAGGGAAATATTCTGCCGGCTCCCGCTGAGGCAGAACAAGGGGGCATTTGTGCCCAAAAGGGCCAAATTCAACTTTCCCTCCTCTTCACTCACAACTCTCCCCCTCCAGACCTCACTCCTGGCCCGTGGCCCTGAACGGCGGGGCATTCTCAGCGCGGCCTCGTTTTGTGAAGTGGGAAATGACTCCAGCCCACAAGAACTGCACTGTTCTGGGGTTTCAGCAGCCAAGGGGAAGATAAAACCCCAAAACAAAAAGGCATCCTTGCTTTGGACGATTTTTCTTCCAGCCGCCAACCTGGGCTTGGCTAGGGGGTGGGCAGACCCTCTGGGGGACCCCCGGCCTCCTCGCTCAGCCTCCTCCTCTAGACAATGGGAGGAACCTGAGCTCCCAGGGTCATCGCAAAGGTTGAATGACTAGCACGGCGACAGATCCTGGTCCAGGGTCCCGCACAGAGTAGGCCCTCAGTACACGGCAGCCTCCTTCTGTGCCCCAGCACCTTGGAAATTACGAAGGACACAATGCTGGGTGTAGAGGAGAAGAGAGGACGGAGGGGGAGTCAGGCCCGCCTTCACTGCTGGCTCACTATGTGACCTTGGCTGAGTGGCTTCCCCGGTCTGGGCCTTCTGCCTGTCTTCGCGTAACCTCCATAGAGTTCGCCACTTCTGTACATCAGCAGTAAGAAGGCAGGAATACAGGGCTTTTCTGTACTTTCCAAATTCCCCATAATGAATACGGGAGGAGGCACAGCATGGGGAGGTGGCAATAGCAGCCCAGGCTGTGGGTCAAAACACCCAGGTTCGCTGCTGGCTCTGGCACACGCCAACCATGTGACCCTGGACTAGACACTTGATTTGATTGAGCAAGGGCGACCGACCTCCCTGATTTCCTGGGACGGAGGGTGTCGCCAGGATGTAGACTCTGAGTGCTAAAGCCAGGATAGCCCCGCAGCAAACCGGAATGAGTTGCTCATTGTAACTGAGCCTCAGTTTCCTCTCCTATAAAGTTTTAAGGGTTAACAAAGCTCCCCACCTTTTATCTCCTCACCAGAATATCAGTTCCAGTAAAGCAGGGACTTTTGTCTACTGCTCTAGGACCTAGAATAGTACCTGGCCCATAGCAACGACTCATGGGTGAATGAATGAATGAATGAATGGGGTTCTTATGAGGATCAAAAGAGAAAATACTCGAAGGTGCTTGGGAGCTCATAAATTAAACCAGTGGTCATCATCATCCCCAGTTTAACCGATGAGGCAGCTGAGGCTGGGAGAAGGCAAGGTTAATTAGAGGTCACAGCAAGGGCTGGAGGAAGGGAGGGGGAGTGAGCCCAGTTCTGCTTTTCTGGGAGGAAGTTTTTTCCACTCTCACACCACCCAAAGGATTGAGGGGTAAGAAAGCTGTTTATATAGCAAATGTATGTGAGGTGAGAGGAGAGACTGTTTGAAAACCCCTACGAGGTGTCTGGGCAGGGAGAAAAGAGGCTTTGAACAGAAGCTGAGCAGGCACGCGGCACGTCTCTGGTAACAAGCCAGGCCAGGCGTGGCGTCGCCTGCCCAGGAGAACAGCCCGAGGGACGACCCAGAGCCACTCCTGGAAACAGCTGGCAAGACAGAGGGACAAGTTACAGTGTGGGGCTCGTTTCTGCAGGTGTAAAAATTCTAAAAGTGAGCAAGGCGTCGCCATGCAGATGGGGAAACTGAGGCCCAAAGGAGAGAAAGGACTCGGCTGAAGCCCCACATTTGTGAAAAAACGATGTGTGGGGTCTTGGGGTTAAAAAGCCTCTGAGGCCCTGGCTGGCATAGCTCAGTGGATTGAGTGCAGGCTGCAAACCAAGGCATCGCAGGTTTGATTCCCAGTCAGGGCACATGCCTGGGTTGCAGGCCACGGCCCCCAGCAACTGCACATTGATGTTTCTCTCTCTTTCTCCCTGTCTTCCCTCTCTAAAAATAAATAAATAAAATCTTTAAAAAATACTTTTTAAAAAAGCCTCTAAAGAGGCCACGTCCCGAAAAGAACTAGATGTCGAGATAAACAGTGACAGCAGCCGCCACTTTCAACTCCTAGGGTTCTTCTCCTGTAGCCTCCTACCAACCCTCGGGGTTGCCGTGATGCCCATTTTCCAGAGCAGGCGACTGAGGCCCAGCCAGCCAGCTGGGGAGAGGCAGAGCCCAGGCTGGCCTGCCTCACAAGTGAACAATCTGAAGGTCAAGGAGGTGAAGAGAAACCCCAGTATTTCAGGGTGCTGTGTTGAGAAAAATAAAATAAAATAAAATAAAATAAAATAAAATACAACTTCAGAAATTTTTAGTGTGTTGGTGATAGGCGCAGAGTGGAAGAGGGAAAAACGTGTGTCCTAAATTAATTACCTTGATAAGCAATGTGTTTGATATTGATTATAGCAACCTTGTGCGTGTGGTATGTGCGTGTGTAATTATAGTGTCTCTGAGGGCGGAGTGGGAAGGGAACGATCTTGGCCATCTGTCACTTGTCAGACACACGCAGATGCAGTACAGACTGCCTCTTAATCCTCTCAACAGCTCTGGAAGGTTCTGCAGAGGTGGGACTGAGGTTCTGGGAGAGGAAGCTGCTCTCCCACAGTCCGCCTGCCAGTGTGGGCCGGAGTGCAGATCTGAGCTCCCTGTGCTGCGCCGTGAAACTGCTTTGCAGCCGGCAGCAAGTTACACAGACACTTTCTGCTTGCCTTTCAGTCTTGTATTTCTCTGCTTATAACCTCCCTTGTCCCGAGAACGGAATGTGAGGCCATCCTGTCTTCGATGGCTATATGTGCCTAGCAAAGCACAGGAAAGATGGTTCTGAACAAATCAGCAAGTCACAGGGGACGCATTTGAATGAACACATTAGCTCTTCCAAGTGGCACCCTATGGCCGCTTGTCATGAAGGTGAGGTTTTCAGAGTTTATCTTCAAACTGGACCAGATTCTACGAACGCTTGATAACCAGGCTACCTGCTACCTGCCCCCAAAATAATAATTACCATGTACTGAGTACTTGCTATGTGCCCAGTTCTGTGCTACGACCTTTACATTAATCACCTATGTTAATATTCAAATTAACCCTGTAAGAGGTAAGTTACGATCCCATCTTCCATATAAGGAAACTGAGACTTGGAAAAGCCAAGGTGCTTGCTTACCTGAAGCCCCTGCCCGACTCCAAGGCTGTCTGTCCCCTGCCTCGGGCTCCGCTGCGGAGCCTCCTCTGTCCACATCGGGGAGGACATGAGTTCTTCTGTACCCCCACCCCACCAAAAAATGCCCCTGCTCACCTGATACGCCAAACTTCTGGAGAAAAGAGGCAGCTGCTGTGGGTGCAGTGTCCTATCTCCCGAGGGCAGGCTGCTGGTTCTGGGGCGTCCTGTCCTCAGCCCTCTGCCTGCCAGCCGGGACTGGAGCTCAGGGTCAAAGTCTGGAGTTCTAGACAGGGCACAGCTTGGCACTGTGCTGCTTACAGGGGCTGAACTTGGGCCAGGCTGGGAGACCTCACCTCCCCACGCTCCCTGTCCCTGAAAAGCTGCCTGACTTTCCTGGCTGATCCCAAGCCCCCGTGTACAGGCCTCGATGGAAGGGAGGGGTGGGCGGGGGTTCTTGGAGGGCTGATGGGCACAAGGAGGCCTGTCTCCCGGGCCAGCTGGAGACGATCCTCTTTCTTCTCTCTTTCTGCTGCCACCCTCAGGGAGGGGAGGGTCGTTTCCTGGCCTGCGGGGTGGGGGTGGCCAGTCTGGCAGCCTCTGTGGAGAGGTCAAAGGTACAGACAGGACCAGGGCTCCCAGGGCCGGCCAGCCAGCCCCGTGCCATTCGGGGATGCTAGGTGGGTAAGGCCAAGAAGAGAGAGACCCAAGGTGGCACCTCTTTGGGCCGTGAGGACGGGTGGCTCTTTGCTCGGGGCCCCAGAGGCACTGGCAGCAGGACCCCGGGTCCCTCCTCGGTCAGGGCTAGACTTGGAGCTATGATTATTAAAGCTCGAAGATCATCAGATACATCCCTGTAGAGATGGGGAAACTGAGGCCCAGAGAGAGGAACCAACCAGCCCTGGGTGAGACATCCCTTGGGTCCGCTGTGAAGGTCCAGCCTCTTTCCGCCCCACCCCCCACCTTCAACATCATCAAATAAAAAGGGGAAGATAAAACCAGAGAATGCATGCACAGCGCTGAGTGCACAGTATTTTTTTTAAGATTTTACTTATTTATTTTTAGAGAGGGAAGGAGGGAGAAAGAGAGAGAGAGGGAAACCTCAATGTGAGGTTGCTGGGGGTCATGGCCTGCAACCCAGGCATGTGCCCTGACTAGGAATCAAACCTGCGATGCTTTGGTTCGCAGCCTGCGCTCAATCCACTGAGCTACGCCCACCAGGTAGTATTTTTTTAATAATTAAAAAAGGATAGGGTGAACTCTACCTTCTACTCTATAGGCTTCCAGGTTGTTTGAATTTTTTAAGAATAGCCACGTCTCACTTTTATGTCACACAGCCTTAGGGAAAGTCCTTGTGTCCCTGGTTCACGGTGGAAACACCTCAACAGGAACAAAAGTTAATCAGATATCTTCACACTCCCCCGCAACTCCCGTCCTACCAACGCTTTAAGGTTTGTGAATTTCGATGTGTCAGTTGTAAGTACTTGAATTATCTCATTTAATCTCACAACATCCCTGTAAACTAGGTGCTGTTATTGCCATTCCTCCCTTCGATTCAAAAACTTGCTCCCAGTATCCACTAAAGCTAACCATGTGTCTATTCTAAAACCCAGCAGCCCTAACCTTACATAGATCCCCAAGAGAAATGAAAACACATGCTTAACAAGAGGCTTGTATAAAAACATCCATAGACCCACACCAGAAATGACAAACTATCAGCTAGAGACTGCAGAAGCAAATTGTGGTGTCTTCTGACAATTCACACTGTGGAATATTAAGCAGCCATGAAAAAGACAAATACACCTACACACAGCAACCTGGATGAGTCTCACAGTCCCTGTGGGAAGCAGAAGAAGCCAGACAAGAAAGAGCCCGTACTGCATGATTCCATGTATGCGAAATTCAAGAAACGACAGGACTTTTGGATGGTGATAGAGGATATGGAGAGAGTGATTATCCTGGGAGGAGGGAGGAGCAAGAGGCAATTTTATAGGATGGTGGCAAGACGCACCTTTATCTGGGTGGTGTTTACCAGAGCGTAGGCCTATGTGCACGTTCATCAAGCTGTACATTTAAGATTGAGATGAATGTACTTCACACAGTTAGAAAGAAAGGAGGAGGGAGAGGGAGAAAGAAAGAGGAAAGAAAGAAGGAAGGAAGAACAAGAAGGAAGAGAGAGGCGAGGAGGGAGGAGGGGAGGAGAAAGAAAGAAGACAGGACTCGCTCGCGGTAACACTGCCTGTCAGCAGAGGCTTACAGCTGAACCCGGGTGAGGGACGCCAGGTCCAGCAGATAAAAATACAAGGCTCCCTCAATTTTATCTGGCGATCTCTCCCAAGACAATCCGCACCCTCCCCAGCACCCCGTGCCTCCAAGCAATCTGTGCCCAGAACTGGAGCGCTAGACCACCACGCTAGAGAGCACCACCACGCTAGAGAGCTTAATTGAGTGACAAGAGCGAAGGGTCTCAGGGAGCACACAGGGACTTCCCCCACAGCAGGGCAGGACGCTGCGGTTTGAGAGAGCCCTGTGCTCTGTGTAAAAAGCATATCGGGTATTATTATTTAATTTTGGGAAAGGAGGTCGGGGTGAATCCCCATTGTTTTCATGACACAAACTACAGAGAGTGAAGTTCCACAGAACATTCTTGGCTATTGGACTAAGTAGAATATATCCCCCAGGAGGGGTGTGCGATGTTTTATCTTTAGTAGAAGGGGACAGAGTTGTTTGTGAAGTCAGTCCCCATAGGGTCTGACTTTAAAAATTATTATCTCCACATTCGATGGTGCCGTGTGAATGGGTTTCGCTGTCTGCCGTCCAGTGGAAACGTGTTCAGGACCTGCCACGTTGAAACAGCACGTACAACGTGATACCGTTTTTGTCACATGAGGTGGTGTGTTTATGTTATACTGTTTGGGGCTATTCGCCCAAAATGGGAATGGCCCCTCTTTCCTGGAGGTGGCATTGGAGACAGGGGAGTCGGACTTTCTTCTTTATGTTTTCTGTATTGTGTAAATCCTGGAGGTTACGATTGGAGGTTAAGACTCAGAAAAGTTATAATAAAGCTCATTGTGTCTGAGAGAGAGAGAGTGTGTGTGTGAAGGGGTTAACCTGTTACTCTGTAACTTCACGTGGCTCCCCCACAGAGCCTGCCTCCTAGTAAGCCATCCTTCTGCCCTGGCTGGAGTGTCCCCCCCCTGCTGCCACCGCACCCCCACCCCCCGCCCGGAGCTGCTGGGAGGCCACATTGTTTATTAGCCAACCAGTGGTTCAGAAAGATCCTTGATTCCTAACACTTTAGCCAAATAAACAAAAATTACTTCCAAAGGTCTTTTGTGGCCTTTTAGCACGATCAGTAAACTGGACTTCAGAATAATTCCTCAAGGGCCTTGCCATCACCCCACCGAGCGAGCCCTGTACCCCTGTGGGACTTAGGGCACATCCCTTCCTCTTTGGGGGCCTTAGTTTACCCAACTGTAAAATGGGCAGGTTCAACCAGTTTGGTGTTTCTCAACTTTTTCTTTTCCTTTTTATTTTTTATTTAATTCTTACCCAAGGGTATGTTTTTATTGATTTGAGAGAGAAGAGAAACATCCATGTGAGAGAGAAACATTGACCTGCTGCCTCCCACATGCACCCCAACCAGGAATTGAATCCCCAACAGATATGTGCCCTGACTGGGAATCGAACCTACAACCTTTTGGTGTACAGGATGATGATGCTCCAACCAACTGAGTCACCTGGCCAGGGCCAGCTCCCTCCTCTTTACCCTTCCTTTTTGGAGTTTGCCTACCCTTCACCCACAGTTGCCTCTCTGGGGTGCAGGGGCAGTGATAAGGCCAGGACTCTGGAGCCCGGCCGACTCGGTCAGCACCCCAGCTTTGTCCCCCTTACTGTGTGGTCTTGGGCTGGTCCTGAAGGAAACTGGAAGGCAGTCAGGTGGTTACAGGGCCGAAGGTGCAAGTGCACACGCTTTAGTGTCCACCCCTAGCTCCACCCCTCATGGTCCCCAGGATCTCAGACAAGTTCCCCCTTAAAGCCTCATAGGCAGATTTGAAAAAAACAAACAAACCAAAAGCTAAGTAACTAGAGACTTTCAATAATCGCAAAAGAAATAGCGATTGCCGCAGGACACATTGCACAGTATACGCCCAGCAGGTATGTTTAACAAAATCCAACAGAATAAAAACGTGAAGATCTTGTTGCCTTTACTCAGTGATTCATGGATCTAGCAGCCTCCAGTCTAGCAGATGGAAAGGACGTCCGGCATGCTGTACAAAACGAAAGACTCTTCCAGACAGAAGGGAGCTGGAACAAGGAAGCTATACGTGCTACGCAGAAAAGCAGTCTGGCTATCACAGGAAGACTTTTCTTTAAGGGATGGCCGGGGTGTATGGGGCAGATTTCCTAACTGGTACTGATCAAGCAATTCCTGGCTGACTGGTTTAAGGTTCTATTTCTGGGAGAGTTGGAACGGTAATTAAGTTAAATCTAGGTTTGATGACATGGGGCTTAGCATAAGCAATTCCATTTTGGGCCTGTTGTCTTGTCTTTAGGCGCTGGCCAGGTAGCTCGGTTGGTCGGAGCATCATCCCCTTGCGCCGGGGTTCCAGGTTCCGTCCCTGGTCAGAGCACACTCAGGGGTGAACCAGGGAACACGTCAGTGGGTGGAACAGCAAACCCGTGTTTCTACCTCTCTGTCTCCCTCTCCCTTCCTTTCTCTCTCTAAAATCGACCTCGATGTGTTTGCGTTTGAGAAGTGAGATATCATTGGTCAGCTGAATATGGCCCATAATTTTGTCTTTTACTGCACATTTAAAATAAGTGCTTAATACCCACGGCGGCCTGTCCAGCAAGAGCGAAGCTCCAAGCGCAGGCGTGTTGGGCCAACTGCGCTAATAGGAGGAGGGGCGCTGCCATCTATAAACTTCTTTTTGCAAATGGGGAGCCACTCCTGACAAAGCTCTCAGACAGAACAGAGTATAGAGTCTTCCCTCTTTCGAAATGTAGCTGCATTTCTGACAATTTAGTAACAAATACTTTGTGTTAATATATGACATGGAGTTAGGCTCTGGCTTCAGATAATTACAAATCCAGTTTTCGCCCAGGCGGGTGTCTTGTGGGAACGGAACAATTCTTTCCTGAGTGGCTGGCCTGCGTCTCGCAGGACATTTAGCTTTGCTGGCTCCTTCCTCTAAACTCCAGTAGCACCAGTAGCTCTACAGTTCTCATTGGTCAGACAATCAAAAATATTCCCGTCCTGGCTGGCGTAGCTCAGTGGATTGAGCGCGGGCTGCGGACCAAAGCATCGCAGGTTCGATTCCCAGTCAGGGCACATGCCTGGGTTGCCGGCCACGGCCCCCAGCAACCGCACATTGATGTTTCTCTCTCTCTCTCTTTCTCCCTCCCTTCCCCCTCTAAAAATAAATAAATAAAATCTTAAAAAAAAGGAGTTAAAAAAATTAAAAAAAATATTCCCATAAATTTCCTCCCAAAAAATGCTCCATAGGGGCTGTAGTGCCCCTGCTGAGAATCACCTTTGAGACAAAAGGTGCAGGAGACCCAAACCCCTGAATCTGAGGGAGGCAGGGGGAGGGACCTAGGAGGGCGCCTGGGTTTCTGGTTGGGCGGTGAGATGGATGGATGGTGTCAGTGTGTGAAGATGGGAGGCAGGACTGGACCGCTGCCTTTGCTTGTGCGCGTGGAGGCAGAGGCCAGGGAAGGGATTTGGGATGAAAGAAAAGCTTCCAATTACCGAGTCAAGCCAGCGCCACCTTCTTGGTGTCTTACTCCACGTCCCTCTGTCCATCCCCATCCTGACCACCTCTCCTGGGGAAAGACAGCAGCAGTCAGTCCCCTTGCTGGTCTCCCTTCACTCCTCTGTCCCACAGTCCATTTTCCACGCAGCAGCCAGAGCTTTCCACAGCGCCCCCTGCCTCTGGCCATTCTGTCTCCGGAAAGCCTTCCCTGATCTCCCTACCCCCCAACCAGCCCGCCGGTGAGGAATAGAGTGAAGAAATAAAGCGGAGTCACTACAGTCACGCTGCTAAATTACTAAAATCAAGTAGGTTGAAGTATGAGGAAATGGATTCTATTCTTGTCCTAACTAGCCTGGGAACTTAAACTTATGAACTTTCCAGTCCTGTGTCAATGCCTGGGTATACATCAGACCTCCAGATTACCCTGTGATTAGCCCCGAAGGACTCGCCTATCCAGACCATCTGGCATCCATCATCCAGACTCCCTCTCCTCTGACTGGTATGGTCCTGGGCCAATCCTAGGCTAAGAATGCCGGACTGAGTATTCTCAGGAATGTGCTTTTTATTATAAGAAACCTTAACTTTCTTTTTGGGAATATTTCTGGGTTTTTGCCTACCTAGGTTTCCAGTTTACACACACTGTAAGACCCTTGAATAAATCTTTAACATTTCTTTCTAGCCAATGTTTCCTGATTCACTTATGCTTAATCGACACTGGGTTTCTGGACACATAGAAGGAATTCATATACAAAGATTAACAAAATAATTTTCAAAACGTGCTCAGTACAGTAGTACCTCCTTATCCATGGGGGATATGACCCAAGACCCCCAGTGGGTGCCTGAAACTGTGGATAGTACCAAACCCTATATATGCTATGGTTATTCCTATACATATATACCCAGGATAAAGATTGATTTATAAAGTAGGCACAGTAAGAGATTAACAACAACCATAATGAAATAGAACAATTATAACAACATACTGTAGTGAAAGTTATATGAATGTGGTCTCCCTCTCTCAAAACATCTGACTGTACCGTACTCGCCCTTCTCTTTCTGGTAATGACGTGAGATGATGAAATGCCGAAGCGACTCCTGAATGTGTGGGACCGCCCCTCACTTGCAGTGGGTGGTTTGGGACCACTCCTCTCAGGAGATCCCTTGCTGAGGTCTTCATAAAGGGTTGAAGCCTTCTGGTCCAACACATTTTCTGTTTATCCACCCACCACCCCCCCGCAAATTTAATGACTTTTCCATGTTAACTAAGCACTTACCACACACTGTGGCTGTAACTTTTGCAGTTCGAGGTGCAACAAAACCAGCACAAATTTCTTATTCCTTCTTCACAACTTTGTGGATAGATTTGTTCTTACCATAGGTTTTAACACCCTCAGCATACATTTTTTTTTTCTTTCCTTAAGTCAAGAACTGTCACTTTGTCACTTTTCAAGGAAGCCCTTCTCAGCCTCTTTGGTATGTCCAAATTGTGGCCATCCCTATCCTAGCACTTTGGGACCATTATTAAGCAAAATCAGGGTTACTTGAACAGTAGCACAGTGATACTGCAGCAGTGGATCTGATAACCGGCTACTAAGTAACTAACAGGGAGGGAGTGACACGGGGACAAAGGGATGATTCATGTCCTGGCAGGACTGAGCAGGATAGCTTGAAATTTCATGATGATAATCAGAGGGGTGCACAATTTAAAACTTATGAGTTGTTCATTTCCAAAATTTTCCGCTTAATATTCTGGGACCGTGGGTAACTGAAACCGGGAAAGCGAAATTGAGTTAAGGAAGGACCACCGTAACGAGATTCAGTTTTGTAAAATCCTTATCTATCTTGCTCACTGTTCAATACTACACGCTTCACAGTAGGTGCTCAATAAATATTTCATAGATGAATGAGTAGATGAATGATTTAATTTCTGCAAAGACTGCCTACAGGGGTTCCGGGCAGGGATCAAGGAGGATTTAATTTCCTGGTCCCTGCGACTCTCCACCCCCCTCCCAAGCAGTCCTGCCAGCGTTGCCACCCAGCCTCGATTCCCTAGCCAGTGCAGTGGGCTGGCCTTCGGATCCGGCCCGCTGTCGGGCACGCGCAGACCGGTCTCCCGAGCCGAGGGCCCGGCGCGCGGGCCGTAGCGCGTGTGTTCGGCGCGCGCGGAACGTGACTGGCTGGCCCGTCAGGGCCTCCAGCGCTGCTTCTGCTCCCGCGCCGCGCACGCGCGCAGCCCTGCGCCCCGCCCCGGCCCTCCCCCTTCCCCTTCCCAGCGCTCCGGGTCCGGCGCGCGCCGGCGCGGGAGGCGGGAGGTGGGGGGCGGGGGTGGTGGACGCAAAGGGAGAGGGGCGGGCCCGGCCCGGCCCGGCTCGCCCCGGCCGCCCGCGCGCGGCTCCTAGAGCGCCCCGGGCCCAGCCCGGTTGGCGGCGGCGGCGGCGGTGGCTGTAGCCCGAGGCCTCGGTGGTGCCCGCGCGCTGCGCCGCAGACATGGCCCTGGTGACCCTGCAGCGCTCACCCACGCCCAGCGCCGCCTCCTCCTCCGCCAGCAACAGCGAGGTGAGCCCCGGGCCCGCGGCTCTGGCCAGGCCGAGCAGCCGCCGCACCAGGCCTTGGCCGCGAGTGCGGGGCGGAGGGCGCTGGGGCGGCGAGGGGGCTGCTGCGAGCGGTACGGAGCCTGCGGGGACGCTGCTGTACCACCCCACCTGGCCAGCAGGACTCGAGTGACTGTGCGGGAGACTGTGTGCGAAGTTGTGACCCCTGCCTGGTTGTGACTGCGGGACCCTGTATGCGGGTGTGACCCCCCCCCCCCCGTCTGGGGGTACTGTGTGTTGCCGGTGTGACCCCTGACAGGGTGTGACTGTGCAGTGAAACTATTTGGCTGTGACCCCTCCCTAGGGGTGACTTTGCAGACACTGTGTGTAACAGTGACCCCCGCCTGGAGGTGACTATGCGGGAGACGGGATGTGCGACTGGGACTCCTAGTTGGATGACTGTGTGAGACCCTGGTTCTGAGATTTGTGACCCTGTGGCTAGCCCAGGCCCTCTCCCTGAGTGCCTGGCTGTGTGTGAGACTGTGCGACTTTCACTGCATGTGAGTGTGGCCTGTGTTCTGGGAACTGTGCCTGTGTAATGCCGCGAGAGAGGCCACCAGCGTGCCCCTGTGAATATGTGAGATTGTTTCCTTGACTGCATGCCCCTGGAGTCCTGGCTCTTGGTGTCAGTGGCTGTGGCTGTGTCACAGTGACAGTGACTGAGTGAGTTCAGGATGCTGTGTGACTTGTGTCTTATGTCTTTGTGTGCAGCCGAGTCTGGATTTTTCCTTATTGCAATATCCCTGGGGCTGCATGTTTACCTGCATCTGACTGTGTGGCAGAGGCTGATGCTGGGGCTTCTGCCATCTCGCAGATGGATGCTGAGGCTGCATGGTTACCCTGCGCAGGATCCTCTGGGACTGTGTGTGATCCAGCCTACATGTGACTGGCTCCTTGCTCTGGGGTCGCTGGGAAATGGGTCCTCTTGAGCCTGCAGTCAGCGGGACTGCAGTAGGCTGGGGCGTCAGCCCTCCGAGCAGGTCTCTGCGGCAGCTGCAGGGCCCACTTTCTTGTCCCCACTCTTGCCCACTTTCTCCTGGAGAACCCGTTAAAGCCTTGGGTCTAAACTTACATCCAGGACAAGGCCGAGTGCTGACTGGAAGATAGAGCAGCTGGAGGAGAAGAACGTGGACTGTTTGGAGAAGGAAGAGAAGGCTGGAGGAGGAGGAGCCCTGCAGACCCAGGAAGTGGCTCCGCCAGCATCTGAGCTACTCAGGCCCCTTCTCTATGGGGGAAGTTGACCGATAGTACAGAGAGGTTGGCGCGTGTCTGTGAGAGACAGAGATGAGGACTTGGATTTGGTTCAGCAGCCCGGTCTGTCCCACCGGCTCGTGGCAGGGTAGATCTTTGGCCTGTTCTGCTGGGACTGGCAGGAACAGTTTCAGACTGGCTGCCCCTTTCCTTTCAAGGAGAGGCCGCTACGTGACATATCTTGTCCACAGGCAGATTCTAATAGTCCCTCCTCTGCATGCTGAGAAGGGACATGGGTGACCAGTTACTGCCTGTGACCTAGGAGCCAGGCTGCAGTCATTTCTCTCCTCCCCAAAGAGACATCTGTTCTCCTCCCATTGCGTCTAGTGATTGACAGTAGTGCTCCTCTGCAGTTAATCCCACGTTTCCTTCTCAGCTATGTGAGATGAGGGAAGATGCGGTGTGAGGAAAGACCTCCCAGCCTGGGTCTCTGGTTCTAAACCCCACATTCCCGGTGTTACTCACGCCGGATCTGCTCCTGCCTTGGACACATGAAAAATGCTTTATTTCATGATTTTTTTCGCTGAGATAGAATTCACATACCATAAATGCCCCACATGAAGTGTGTAACTCAGTGGTTTTTAGGATATTCACAAGGTCGTGCAGTTATCGCCCCTGTCTCATTCCAGAACATTTCCATTGCCCCAGAAAGAAGCCCCCCACCCCTTGGTCATCACCCAGAGCCTTCCTCCCACTGCCCACCACCAACCACCCCTGCCCTCTCACACCAACTCTAGGCAGCCACTAATGTACTTTCTGTCTCCATGGATTTGCCTGTCCTGGGCATTTCATATAAGTGGGATAATATCATGTGTGGGCTTTAATCTCTGGCTTCGTTCACTGACGTCACGTTTTCAAGGCTCAGCCGTACTCCTTTTTATTTCCCTTGTATTGGTGAACCACATTTTGGCTGTACATTTGGCTTCGTTTGCACAAGAGACATTTAAAATTATTATATAAAGCACTGTTTTCACAAGGTGCCAATGACCCGATACACATAGACTCAAACTCAGCCAGCTTTTATTTGACTTGCGTCAATCAGCAGCATTCGTTGCCCGGCGAGCGAGCCCAGGCAGGGCTATTTCCTGGAAGGCCAGGCTTCCAGGTGGCTTGAGGCATGGAGAAGCAAGACTGAACAGAGAACGAGCGTGTGCGTGCGGCCAGAGCCCCTGGGCCAGGTGGCTCTGCCTCGGGCCTGACCTTCCTCAGCTTACTCCCCCTCTGTGGGCCTCGGCTCATTCAAAAGGGCCGCGTTCCTGCTTGTGTGTGTGCTTTGACAAATGCGGTTTGTTTCTTTGGAGTAACTGACCTGACATTGCCTTTTATGCTGACAATCACAAGAGAGTGACCAAGAAGTATCTACCCCCAGATCACTTCCTCATTCATCAAAATTCTCCTTTGAGGCAGAGACACTTAGGGCAGCTGTGTCCTGACCCAGCCTGCCTTGCTGCATGGCGTGGGAACGGAGGGACATCTTAGCCCGGCCAGCAAAACAGTCCTCCCTTCTCTCTTAATCGTTTTCTCCTTTTTTCCCCCCAGTCTTTAATCATCTCACTGAAGTCCTTTTATGGTTAACCTTATCGCATTCCTTGGTGGGAATAGGTAGAGGGCACGAGAATAGATAACTCAATAACTGTCAGGAATGGATGGTCCCATTGTTATTTCTGACAGACATTCAAGATGACGACCTTTCATGGGCACATTCCCAAGTCCATTTTGCCTGGGGGTTGGGTCAGGGTTTCTGAGCCTCTGCACGGCTGACGTTGGGGCCGACAGTTCTCGGTTGCGAGGGGCCGTCTTATGTATTGCAGGACGGTTAGTAGCACTGTGTCCTCTACCCACTAGATGCCAGTAGCACCCGTCAGAAAGAGCCTGCAGGCATTGCCCAGCGTCCCCTTCTGAGAAGAGTTGCCCCCGCGTGTGAACTCTGGGTTAGCCCCGGCATGCCCGTCCAACTTTATTGTGGAGGGGTGGTGTGAGTGGTTTTCTGTGTGCTTCACTTTGGGCCCGAACCTCCTGGGCCTGTGATTTTTCTCCTTCTTCAGTGAGGGGGAGTGTGATAACTAACCGGCCACCGGTGTATGTATGCATGCATGCCTCGGCAGGAGACTCTACGTGCATTATCCTAACAACATTAAGGGACGCCAGGACCCTCTGGCGAGTGGCCCTTGCAGGCCAGGCCCCTCCCTACATCAGCTCTGCACCCTTTTCCCATCGCCGTCAGGGTTCTGTCCTCGACCAGCCTTGCATCTCTCCCAGCCATCACTGCTTTCCAGGTTTCTCTTTCCCATTCAATGGGCGCCTCTGTGCAACATACAAAACATGCCAAGTCCCAGTGGTGCAGTTGTTTGCGGTGGGGATTGGGGGGCGGGGGGCGGTGTTCTCATTTCAGTTTTCTCCTTGAAAGAGGGGAAAAAAAAGAAAAATTGCAGTTGGGGCTGAAGTCATGATTACTATTGGAGCCTCCCCCTTTGGCTTTTTACCTTTTAGAAAATATTAAATGTCCCTCCCTTTCTTTCATTTATATGAATAAACCACTCACCTAGAAAGTTTTATATTCAACATTTAAGCCTTTCTGAGAGCCCGAGAGAGCTTTGCAGACCCACGGACAGCCGGCCTGATCCTGGCCACTCTCCATTGTGAAAGACTTGCCTGGAGTGGTGGTTGTTTTTTTTAAACCCGCCCGTTGAGGCTTAAAATGGTGTTGATCACTCAGCTATGGCCTAGCTTGAAGGAGGAAATGGATTATCTTAAAACACAGCCCCCTCCCCTTAAAAAAGAAAAACAGGATAAGATCCAAAACAACCCTGGAAAGTTGAGACCTGGAGGCTGAACCGGCGCGTCGAGCAACAATGCCAGATAGCCTTGTCCAGTCACCAGATACCCATCCGCCGTGCTGCGGAAGGAATGTGGGTAAACTTGGGAAACTTCTGAATTCCTCTGTGGGAATGGCTCCTAGGAGCAGCAGAGCGGGGTCTGAGTCAGTGAGGAAAGGGTGTGCTGTTTAGAAATAACCAGCTTTCCTGGACATCTGTGTCTTCCTCAGACACCGAGCAGAAAACATTGAGACGCAGCCTGAGGCTTTTTGCTAGCGCTGTCTGTGGCGTGACACTCTCTCTCTTTCTCTAGTTGGAGGCTGGCAGTGATGAAGATCGCAAGTTAAATCTCAGGTAAGCAGGCTTTTCTTTTCGGTCTTGAAGTCTTTCTTCCAAGCAGGTAAGAAGTATTCTTGTTTCTTTCCCTAAGGGAGAAGCCTTCCAAAAAGAATACACTGATTTTTTTAGTCGTGCCTTAAAAATTATACATGTTTCGACCTCACTGGTGTGGCTCAGTTGGGTGGGCATCATTCTGCAAAGGGAAAGGTTGCCGGTTCGATTCCTGGTCAGGGCATGTGCCTGGGCTGCGGGTTCAGGCCCCACTCCAATAAAGTCTTAGAAATATGTATACATGTTTAACTATAAGCTGCTTTAATAACATTATATAATGTTTAGGAAAAAAGGAAAATTGTCATTATTCCGCCACCCTTACTTTGCCAGCATGAGCATCCTTATAAACCTTCTTCCAGATTTTACCCTTTGCTTTAAAAAAAAATAAAATCATGTAATGTGTTCTCACATTTCTATCCTGCTTCTGGTAAGGTCTTCTTCTTTGAGGTAAGGACATTGCTGATTTGAAACAGACATTCAACCCCCGAAGTCTGTTAATTCAAAGTGGGTTTTTTTTTAGTGCTTATGAGAAATCTTTAGCTGTGCTCATTTAAAAAATTCCCAAAGCTCTGGTCCTCAGTTGCTATATTCAAGAGTAGACACCAAAAGCATTTTTGTTTTCCTTTGCACAAATTGGAGGTTTTTTCCTTTGGGTATTTTGTCGGTTTACAGAAGATTTAGCGCTTCATTATATAATGTATTCCTCTGTGCCAAGGAGCCATTCTTAAGCTCTGACTCTTACGTTGGAAAAAGTAAACAGTTTCAGGGATATTGTCCTTTAAAAAAAAATGTCGGTGTTATCTTGTGAGGGGGAGGAAAATTAATTGGAAGAGGAAGTATGTGTGCAGAAACTGGGGTCAGGCCTTCATTCCCGAGAGCAGGCTGTTCCCCTGGCCGACCTCAAGCACAGCATGCAGAAGGGGTAGAAACGTGCTGAGTCTGTTCTTGAAGTTTCTGTGTGGTTGCATGAAGGGAGGGAAAATGCTTTTATTGGGGCACATGGCATTTCTCAGGGTCATATGTGTGTAGGGCCATAATAGCCTGTAAAAATCAAAGAGGTGTCCTATTTCCCTTGCAGGGCCCTCATTTTAATGTTACACTCAAGGAAGGACTAGTGACAATGACAAAGTTACTCTTTTCACCTGGTGGTTTGGGCTGCGTGGGGTCTCGGGCAGGGCTGCAGGGCTGGAGTTGGGCAGCCCCGCAAGCGGGGGCAGTGACGGGCCATGCTGCGGGGAGAGCCCACCAGCATGTATGCGGCTGTGCGCTCGGCGGCGGGGAGGGGCGAAGAGGAAGTGTGCTCCTTGGAGGCTCTTTGGGGGCAGAACTGGGAGAAGGAGCCACTGAGCACCGTGACAGCCGTGCAGGGCCCTCAGAGCAGTGGCAGGCGCCCGTGTCCCCCGTGTCCCCACCTCTGCCTCCGCCTCCCTCCAGCCCTGACCTGGAGTCAGAATCACTTCAACCCTTTGACTCCCAACCCTTCCCTTCAGGGCTGTGGTCCAGGACCCAGATTTCTCACTCAGATTGTCTTTGGGGCAAAGAGCTGTTTTTGGCTTTCTTTAATTGCTCCTAATTGGCTGACAGCATAGTGTTTTGAAATGTTTTCAATTAAGAACTTACACATAGCCCTGGTGGGGTAGCTCAGTTGGCTAGAGCAACATCACGATACGCCAAGATGAAGGGTTTGATCCCTGGTCAGAGCACCTACAAGAATCAACCAATGAATGCATAGATAAGTGGAACAACAAATAGATGTTTCTCTCTCTCTCTCTCCCCCTCTCTCCCCCTCCCCCATTCTTCTTCCTTCCCTTCCTCTCTCCTCCTCCCATCTTCCTTCCTCTCTCTCTCTCAAATCAGTAAGTAAAAATATTTTTAAAAAAAGAATTTATAAACATCTGTGATATGAAAATATGTATTTGCCCTTCTGGCCAATACAAGGCCCCTTTCTCGTCACCGTCGGGAGCTGGAGAGGACCTCACAAGGAGAGGAGGCACCACCAGGCAGCTGTGTGTGTCGCCGTATCTAATCCCCCAGCAATCCTCTGGCAGGGGTGGTATTTTCTCAGCTCCCAGGCCAGGAACCTGAGGCCCAAGGCTGTACAGCAGGTGTATTTGAAGTGTGGCCTCTGGTGCCTCTCACAGCTGAGTTTATTGTATTGTTTTGTCCTTCGGACCCGTTCATTCATTCAGTTGAATCATCTCTTAGATGTACAGGGTACAGAACTTGCCTAAGGTCCCCCAGGTGGCAGCACCAAGGCCAGAGCCGAGGACCACCCCTGGGTGCTTCCCAGCATGTCACATCACTCTGATGACCACTGTGAGTTCCTCTTCACGGCTCTCAGCAGCTCCCCAGTGCCACTGTGAGCTCAGGGAGACCCCAGGCTGGAGTTGGGGCCCCGGTTCTGAGCCCGCGCCCTCAGGCTTCCTCCCAGCCCCTCCTCACTCACCTTGACATTTCACTCCCCTTCTCCGGCGGAGGACACCAGCTTGCCCACTGACCCTTTTAGCCAAACAAGAAAGGCTCTGGTGTCCTGGTTTAAACTTTGAGTGAAACTCATTCACATCCGTGTTGTAATTTGCATTTTCAGGCCTTTCCTCTCTAAGCCTCTCCTAGAGAAAAAATGTGTGGAATATTCGGTGGTTTTTGCTTGTTTTGAGGGGAGGAGAGTCAGGGAAAGCAGATTTCTCTTTGCTTCAAATTGACCCTGAAGGGAAACTGAGATGACTGTGTTTCTAAGGGATGTTGGTAAGGGAGAAAAACTGGGAATGACTGGGTATTCCTCTTCCTCTTCTCCTCCCTCTCCATCCTTAACTGATGGGTTTATCTTTGGGGTTACCTCCTTTTGCACGTGCTGTTTTTCAGTCTTTCCTGCTCCCTGAGTATGTTCTTTATTTTTTTTTTTATTGATCGATTTTAGAGAGAGAGAAGAAGAGGGCGAGAGAGAGAAACATCAATTTGTTGTTCCACTTCCCTTTGCATTCATTGGTTAGTTCTTCTATGTGTCCTGACTGGGCATCGAACCCACAACCTTGGCACCTTGGGATGCTGCTCCCACCAAGGGAGCTATCTGGCTGACCATGCTCTTTCTCTAGGCCGGTTGTTTCTTCAGTTGGCCACAGCCCTCACAACCAGGCCCAAGTGTTCCCACCCCAGAGGTTCGCCACTGCAAAGGTTCCTTCTCTGCAGAGGAAGCAGGTACTTGGGTTTCTATATCTGTTCTACGTACTACACAGGTACATGTGCTTTCGTTTCGTCCCTAAGTGCTGGCGCTTCCCTTTATGACAGGGCCTCCGTTCCCTGCCTGCACACACATGTCAACAGTTTAAATGTATGAACCTAGTTTGGAGCCTGCAGTAAATTGCGTACCTGTATGAGAAAGGACAAGGCGTAGAGGAGAGAGGTGGGGTTTGGGGTCAGGTAGGTGCAGGTTCGGAACCTGGCCCCTGTGCCAGCAGCAGCCAAGTTCCTCTCCCTCTGTGTTGCTGCACCTCTGGGGGTCTCGGCCGTTCATCTGTAACAGGGCGACAAACTCCGACCTTTCAGGGTTGTCAGCGGTTTGAACGGGGCTCCTCCCAGGGTCAGGTCCCTGATGGGCTTAGAGAGCGGTTACTGCTTTGGGCTTTGTGAGGTGTTGCTCAAATCAGCGCTAGTTCTGGGCGTCGAGTGACAGGGGCCAACTCCCTGCAGGCATTGTGCCTGCCTTGTCGTGTCGCCCTGGGCCGGCCCGAGGGCCATCACTGTGGGTGCTCAGCGACCCGGAGCAGCCTGCATCTTTTCTCCCCCCGGCTACCTCCCGGTGAGATGGAAGTAGCAGTGTCCACTTGCACGATTGGTGTTGTGGATCAGCCAGTTTCTCTGAAGGCCTCCTGGGAAGTGTCTCGGGAGCTGATAGTCTCCAGCCCGGAACGAAGCCGAAGCCGACTGACGCAGAGCAGCGTCGACGCCGTCCTCCTGCTCCGCTGCCCCGCGCTCTGCGTGAGCGGGCCGCCGCCGCCGCCGGCCTGGGCAGTGCCCTCCTGGAAGCCATGCCGTTCAGACTGTGGGAACTGGTGAGCAGATGGCCTTGCTGGCAGCCGCTCCTGGCTCCCTCGCCATCCTGGGAGCCGCCTCAGCCTGGCATGGGATGCAAGCGGTTGTGTGCCAGGCAGGGCCCCAGGAGAGAAGACGCTTGTGCTCTCTCCAGAGTGTGGATCAAGGGTGAATGTTTTTGGGTTTTTTTTCCAGCGTTTCCAAACCCAAGCGCGTGAAAATGCTCATTAGAGTTCTTTTCATTTTTTTCTTGCCTACCCAGGCCAATGTTTGGGCCAGACCGGCAGGGTTTGGTCTTCTGTATTTCATCTGGTTTCAGCGGTAAGCTGTAAAGTCCCTTAGACCTCCACCTTTCCCTTTTGGTCCTGCCCTGGAATTCCCCAGAGGGACCTCATTCTCTTTAGAACCTTTGAAGTGTGGCTGTGCCTCCTCTCCCCCCCCCCCCCCGCCCCACAGTGTCACGGAGGGGTGGGGTTGTCACGTCCTTGTCTCGCAGGACAAGCTTCCTCATCTCCCCTCAGGACCTCTTCTCTTACCCCTGTCCACCCTTGGGGTTTCTTTCTGCCTCTGGGCACTTTCTTAGCCTGGACTGTATCGTCCCCATTGACACCCTGTCTGGTTAAGTTCTGCTCAGAGGTGTCGGGCCCCCGCTGCGTGCAGGTCTTTGCGGCAGGTCGCCGTTGCAGTTAGCTGTTGCTGTAGAACGAGTTACCACGGACGCTGGGGTCCAAAACAATGTCTGGTTATTATCTCGCAGTTTCCATGGGTCAGGAATGCAGACTCGGGTTAGCTGGCTCCTCGGCTTGGGGTCTCACATGGCTGCAGTCAAGATACGGGCCAGCCCTGGGGTCTGATTTGAGGCGGGGCCTCTCTTCCAGAGTCACACTGGTTCTTGGCAGAATTCATGGTCTTGCAGCCTCAGAAGCCGTGGCAGC